ACCGTGACCAAACAAGACTTTCAACGTTCATTATCATAATGGATGGTCAGCTGCAGACAGGCCATACCTCCGCGTGAAACAACCATTCAGAATAAGCATCGTAAAACTACGATAACCTTCTTTGATGTGAAGAAATCATTAGATAAATGTCATGAGTAACATTTCCGCTACTTAATTTCACGGCAGCATAACATTTCACTACTCTCTCACAATTTACGGAGCAACGGTGAACGTTTCAAAACGCTAGCCGTCACTTAAAACCCAAACTTGTTGCATATCTAACTGGAGTATTGATGGATGTGCCGTCAACTATTTAACACAAAAACGTTTAGACGAGGAAATCTTTGAAAGCCTTTCAACTCTATTTAGTAACCAAGTAATTGCATGAGTTTAAACAATGACAGTGCCTTGTCATTGATCTTGGCTTTTGTCTTGACAATTGCCGTAATTAGCCCACTTTGTCCTAGCTGCTTGCAGAAAAGTGAGCCTTGATTCAATCTTCACTTCAAGCTTTCGTGACTGTAGGAATTAATATTCTTTGGGTCTTTTGTTAAAGTCACGTAAATAGGTTCAAAAATAATAATAAAATAATAATACAATTACGACGATTCGATCGTAATACAAGCGACCGTCATCAGGTGGTCCGTCTGTCTATGACTATCAAGCAATTGCTTTCATTAACGGAGAGAGCATTAACATCAATTAGTTACTCATTGTGAAGGCAAAACGGCACGGCTCACTGACGCCAATTAAAAGGCAGCTGCTTTAGTTCCAGCCACGGCTATCACACTGAGACGTGCTTTTTGCGCTAATTGATAGCACAAGATCACAACATTTATTTCACAGGAGTGATTCAAATGCCACCAGCATGTCAATTGACAGCCTCCAGGCATGCTTTGGCCGGAATTATCGTTACCTTGAAAATTGAATGCGTTACAACAGATATATTTTGTTCACGTATATATATTGATTGTGCTTGGTACCAATCATGGACACTTGCAAAAAAACTTCCTTCTGATTAAAATTGTCATTAGTCTGCATTATCATTCATCAACAATGCATATATACTATTTGGTCCTTTCGGTAAAGTCAGGTAGGTATAAAATATACACAATAAAAACAAATCCATTCAGAATGCAGTTGAGCCACGCATGTTCACTTAAACATATCAAGTGATTTTGAAAAGTAAAACGAGCACAAATTATGATATAGGTAAAAGGCAAAATTGTAAAGGTACCACTTTGTAATTTCTCACTCATGCCACTGCTGGCAGTTGGGCCCTCTATTGGAGGGAGCTCTGGGGCACCCGGTATTTTGGCCCACTCCTCTCTTCTATGCTGAAGAGGTGGCACTAGCCAGATTCAACCTCGCCACGTGCGACCTGTGGATCGACTCGCTGTGGTGCCCAAATGTCTCCTGGACATCTGTGAAAAAAGAGCTTCATAGCTCACCGGATTCCTCCAGTTTAAATAAAGATTCTTATTCTGTTAACTGCTGTGGGCACAGCGGCAATGGGGATAGTTAAGAAGCTGGAACCATTTTACACCTGCCGTGCTGAGAGATCAAACGTGCGACCTCTCGATTGCAAGTCCAGAGTGCTGACCTTTACGCTATGGCAGCATCACGGTTCATATAAAGATAAACGTACTAAAGTTAGTCTACTTACGAACTTACGAACATTCAAACATACAAACAAACCTGTCCGTATGTCCAGAGAGGAAACACGAACACTAAAGGGAATTAGCATCGACATCTGCAGAACATGAAGAACCAGTGGCATCTACATTTGCAGAACATGAAAAACCAGTGGCATCTACATTTGCAGAACATGAAGAACCAGTGGCATCTACATCTGCAGAACGTGAATAACCAGTGGCATCTAAATTTGCAGAACATGGAGAACCAGTGGCATCTACATTTAAAGATGATGATACAACTTTTAAAGCCATTCCCCGTGTTTAGTGTACATGCCGTGCAACATGTTTGGTATCGACAGGAGTAAAGTTGGACTTACGAACAAATCGATTTACGAACAGACCTCTGGGACCTATCTCGTTCGTAAGTATTCTCTATGCCTAATTGTGGAATGCAAGAGTGATACTACATTAGATGCGTGTGATAATGCACACACTGTTTTGTTTTTAATATGGACAAACGTAATTTTACCTTTTATCTCTTCCGCTCTGACACAAACTGTTTAGAAAAAATATAAATCGATGTTTCCCGACTCTTCTTACGCATTATATAATCCACTCACATTACAGGACTTGCTTTCACTTCACACGTTCTCTTGATCATATAGTTTAAATGATACTATACAGGATTCCGTAGACACACACTGTTGCAAATCATTTCTCAAATGCTTTTTTTGAAAAAAGAAAACCCCACATATCTCAAGGGCAAAACTCTGTTGTATTGTCCACTGCATAGTAACGAATTAGTGTCTTACATAGAAGTGAAAATTAATTGAATTCCGAGATAATTAATATTTTTGGAAGTGGATACATTTTCGAGAGCCACGGTAACCTTGAAGAATGCAAGCGGGCGATGGATGTGTGGTTTGCACGAAACAAAATGCTGCTTAATCCCGAAAAATTGTAGGTTCTGCTGGTTGGCACTCGACCTCTGGCGAGAAAAATGTGTGGGAGTATCACGTGTGGCGGTCGCAGACTCCAGGATTCAGTTGTCTACTCATCTAAAGAGCCTCGGCACCATACTTGACGAGAATGTGTCGTTTGAGCACGCCGTGCAAATATATAGTGAGGTCCTGCATATTTAATATCAAGGTTCTTCGACACATTTAACCATTATTGAGTGGTGACAAAGCCAACATGGTGGTGGGCGTTTAGCAAAGAGGAATTACAACAGAGCCTGCATGCAGTGTGAGGGGACTAGTGGCCATGGGAGGTAATGTCAGGGGAGTGCACTAGTGGCCACGGGAGGTAATGACAGGGGAGTCAACCTACAGTATGAGTGAACTAGTGGCCACGGGAGGTAATGACGGGTATCAGTTGTGAGTGTGATGGGATTGGTATCTACGGGAATGTTCGAGAAGGGAGCGTGATTGGGATGACGGAAGAGGACGGTGGAGTCTGCCGGTATAGCGAGCACCCAGAGTCAGCGAGAATGATGGAGAAGGTGGGCGTGGCCTCATGCTGAGATATAAGGGAGATTGCGCGGGAGACTCGGGGCTGTTGCAGTGGGGGTCTCCGCCTGATGTCAAGTGAACGTGTCTTCAATAAAGTGCCATCGTCATTACAATAGTATCGACAAGGCTCGATTATTGAAACTTTCAATACTCTATTGAATGTTTGGCAAAAACATTACGTCATCTGGTCCAACCCATGTGAGACTAGGCTCTAAAGAAAGCTGTCTCGGGTGTGGACCAATCATCTTCAAGGACAGTGCACATTATCAGAGTTATGTTTTTTTTTTGCATTATGGCTGCAGGTATTGTGGTCTATGCAAACATGACTCCTTGTAAAAAAAGGTGTCAGTTTTGTTGCCAGATAGAAGGGTAAAAAACAAATTATCATTACCAAAACTCTTTGGCACGTGTCGTGACGAGTACCGCAAGATCTGACCATGTCCGTCCAGTGTTCGCCGAGCTGCATTGGCTTCCGGTTACCGAACGAATATATTATTATAAGGTCGCACCCATCACACACAACGTGCTTGCCACAAATGAACCACAATATCTTGCTGACCTCGTCAAGGCGCAACGGCTTTTGGCTAACCATTAAACAAAGACCGTTACAGCATCTGCAGCCGTCTGGAACGCTCTTCCTTTCGAAATTAGGAAGCTACTGGAGCTATGCACTTTCAAATCTGGATTGAAAATATTTTTTTCAGAGCTACTTTTTGTTTTTAGTTTGTTGTCTTACCCCCACGCCTCCGATTAGCGTGATTATCTAAAAGCTTCTCATGACGCACTTGTATCGCGTGAAAACTCTGGCCATTGTGAAAACTTTAATCTAGCTAAAGTCACTCCAATTAAATTTTAATGCAGGAAACGGATAATGAATCCAAAAAATATCAAAGTTCCCGGCTTTAAGCTGAAAATATTGCTTTTAAAGACAGCGAGTGGATGAGGGTTGTGAAAGTCTTACCATTGCCATGTTGTGTGATCACGATGCCCCCTGTTGAAAGATTAATCAAAGGGGGGACAAATATTTCATGCCAAAGTAAGAGCGATAATATGAAACCCACCGATGATGAAACGGCACTATATCGTTGCCGTGGTGTCACGCTGAGCACACCGGACTTACAATCCAAAGGTCAACGGTTAGATTCGATCTCCAGGCGCGGCAGCTAAAGCAAGCAGTGTATACATGGGTAATAACCAGTCAGACAAGTCGATCGACAGGCCGCGTGTGGTGGGGCGAAGTGTGGATTACTCCCACCTCTTTTAAGACAGACATCGGGTCAGTGTGGAAGAGTAGGCCAACTACCCTTTAGAAGGGGCCATCTTTGAGATGCCTCTTTTCAGTGGGGGGGGGAGGGGGAGGAGAGCTTCTACCAGCGCGGAAGAAAGCAAAAAATATTACAGGGCAGAACGTGTACATGTATTACTACATCTTTAGCGTGTTAATTTATCAAACGTAATAAATAATTGGCAGATAATAAATAATGAAAAAACAACGAGCACGGTGTTGTAAAATTAAAAGGGAGATTATTTACTGCATTTACTTTCAAATGCAAATCAGTCTAGATTTTATATACGCAAAAGAAAAATCACGCTGTGCACAAAGCCTTTGTGACCCAGTTTTCCAACACGTTTTTTTAAAATGCTAATTCTGAGCCCCCTTCCTTTGAATTGAGATGGTACGTGACATGCGTTATTAGTTCTTTTTTCGGGGGCGCGGGCAAATAAAATCCGCCTGTTTGTGTTGCTACTTGCAGCTCCAATTTCCCTCAAGTGGCCTAACTACGGCCAAATCCTTCGCAAGCAAATGTGCTTGTTTTTTTTGCACGGCTGTGTGGCGCACTTACAAAGAGGCGAGGGGGCCGTCGAATGGGTTAAACAAAAAAATCTCCAGCCAAACGGCTCGGTGGAAGTCCGCAAAAAAAGCTACGGACTTTGTCTCCGTTGGGCAAACACGGATGCTTAAGTTGCAAATCTGTAATCGCGCAAAGCAATCACTCAGAGCGGGAGAGTAACACGTCGTCCATCTGTGCTGTCAGCTTTGCTCGGACCAAGGTAAGCCTCCCTCCCCTGCATTCATGTCCGAGTCGCCTTCACGCCGCTGTCGTCGTTTTAAGGCCGTCTCCCCGTGTGAAACGCACACGAGGCTATATCAACTTAAGCGTGTCATCAAGCAGAAAGAGTAAGGGCCATTAAGCTAATTATCTTCGAGATTGTGAAATGACCGAGCGAGACGCGTTGGCGGAGGTCATGTTTAAGTTTGCTCGTGCCTGTCTCAGAAATAAATGAGTGGCTACCTGTGCAACAGACAGGGCCTTTTCTGGGACCTAAGGGCAGAGGTCGCAAACGGGTTTTGAGTCCTTACCCGTACCCGTACCCGGCCGCACCAGGGTCGCAAATGGGTACCCGTACCGGTACCCGGCCGGGTACGGGTACCCGTTCCCTACCCGTACCCTACCCAAATTGAGTAACAAAAGGTGACTCACCAGTGACTCACGGTCTACCCGTACCCGTACCCGGCCGCACCAGGGTCGCAAACGGCTACCCGTAACCGGCCGGGTACGGGTAGCCAGGTATCGGGTAGGGTACGGGTATCGGGTACCCGGTTGCGACCTCTGCCTAAGGGGCACTTTGTACACGAGGGCACGAAAACAAGTAATACCTCGTATTGTTAACTGTTACAGCATGAGAATAAAAAAGCATCCTTTATTTATATCTTCTCCCCCTCCCCCCCATGTTATTTTGCAGTATAAGTAGTGATGCAGCCCTACAATTAAATTGTCATGCATGCCACTGCTGGCATAAGGGCCTTCCACTAGTAGAGGGGGCTTTAGAGAACCTCACTGGAGGGCATTTGGTCTACTCTTCCACTCGGGCAAGACGTCTTTTCATCCTCACAGCAGCGGCTTTTACCTGCTAGCCATCGAACAAAGACGTTCACCACATCGCGCGCTTTCAGATGCCCTTCTGCGGCCGTCAGGAACGCTCTTCCTTCCGATGATAGGAAGCCACTGGAGCTATGCACTTTTAAATGTAGGTTGCAAACTAATTTCTTTAGAACTGATTTTTGTGTTCAGTTTGGTGTCTTTCCCCCGCACCTCCGATTAGCACGCTTGGCTACGTACGGTGCGAAAGAAGTTCAACATACATACATTGGAAGACGTGGGATTGCCCACACTTTACCCCACCACACATAAACCTGCCGATAGCCTAACCCATTGTACTGCTGGGTTAACATTTGGCGAGGGGTAGATTAGATAAACGTGTCCATTGTTTGACCTCAGTGTGGCCATTAATTCAATATTACTTTTTATTATCAGGTTGACTTCTCTGTAGGTTTAGAACACTGTTAGTAATGGTTAAAATATTCTGCGTCGATACAGTGTATTATCTGCAATGCCTTGAAGTGAGAAATAAGTAGTTAATGGATAACGCGATGTTAACTTTGGTTTTAAAAGCGGCTTAGGCTGTTTTGGAAGCTGGGGACATGCAAGGACACATGAAGGTTATTCCCAGCATGTGACAAGCGACTGATGGTCCGAACAGCACCATGTAGTCTTGCTCTCCACCAGCCATGATCTATCCGTTGATGGATGAAGGCCACCCCTAATGCCATCGGTATCCCACACAGTCACTTGATGCAAAAAAATTATCCGTTTTTCAGAGGCGTCAATCTCATTGCCCCATATCCGCGACGGGCGTCCGATCGAGCGTGTTTTTCCCTCTTTGGCCTGTTATTCCATCATCTGTCTCATCCATCACCCGTCAACCTGTCCTGCTCACCTCCTTTCCTTCGGGGTAAATGCTGATGTCCTTAATTTTGTGTTTGTTCTCTGATCCCTTGTACTCATTGTCTGTACATACTTGAAAGCCGCGCATCCTCGCTCCATGCTTGCTTGCCCAAATTCAAAATTTGTCCCAATTATTGCTTGTCCGTGTCCATGTTGTTATTGACGACGAGACAACTTGTGACGCGCACCATTTTGGCAAACGGACTGACGTTCGAGAGACGCCTCGGAGGCGCGGAGCCCAGTTCAGTGTCACTCGAAGGCTCGCCAGAAGAATTGTGTCTTTAGGCGTTTTCTCAATGTGGAAGATGACTCGATGTGGCGTATCTGAAGGGTGATGGAATTGCCAAGCAATTGCACGGCTGCGCCTTTAAGATTTCACCTTTAACTGTCCGTCTTGTTTTTTAGTTGCTTTACGTTCCAGAATCACTTTATATTTGAAAATGAACCTGTTCATTGGTATTTTTGAAGGGCATTTATATGCATCGGTGATGAATGATGATGCACTATTGCCAAGCCGGGTGGCTCGGCCATAGGGTGAGCAACTCGCAATCAGAATGTTGAGTTCAAATCCTGGTCGTGAGTTGACTCAGCCTATCATGTGTATGCATCTAATTATAAAATATTGTCCGACTTTGTAGGGAGGTTATTAGTGGTTGTCTTCTGAAGAGACTCGTCCCTGCCACAGGAATGGAGAATTTCCACCACTGGCTGAGAGCTGTAAGCAGGAGCAGAGCGCCTCGACAGACCAAACTAGGACGAATTTCTCACTCAGCCTAGTTATATCACAACTATGCAGTATACTGTGATGAAGCTCAACACAATACCACCAGATCTTGCTACAAATCGTTTTATGCTCCCCTAAAAAATCAGACGGCATTTCCCTAGACTGCCGAGGTCAAACCCCGCACACAGTTGCAGTGCCGGATTAAGCTAGAGCGGGGCCTGTAGCATGTGTTATAAAGGGCGCTAAATAAAAAAACACACAAGTATTAAAACATACATTTTTAACTGGCATAGTAAAGTAATTGTATGTTTTCATTTGCTATACAGCCAGACAATACGACAAATCGCTGACCATAAACACCCAGTCTTTCATAACAGTTAAAGGCGGTATAGTACTATAGTAATAGAGCAAGTGCAGAATCACTAAACCAGAATTTATAGCTTGAAAGCGTTTAGCGCAGGGCCCTTGAAAGTGCGTGCCCGTAGCTACATATGTAGCTACTTTTGCAGAGGCGGACCATCAGGGCCATCAAGGCCTTCTCTGCTGGCCTAGAGATTGTCAGAATCAGAAAATTATATGTTTATAATTTAACATGTATTTTCATTAACGCTCTACGTATTTTACAAAGTTCGTTCCCATCAGTCTATTAACGTAATTTCATCGCTACTCTCTCTCCCTCAGTTGCGCTGCTTCCAGTACAGCTCGTATAAATTAGATCTTTTATCCCATCAGATTTTCCACCTGTCCTGTCACTGGGTGAAAACTCTACCTTGAGGCCTTCAGAATGTCGAGTGAATCCCGTCTGCTGTTGAAGCAAATGGGGACGATGTTGTTGATTGGCATATTCTTTAACCAATCAGATTTCGAGTTTGCCATGCTGGGCGTATTCTTTGACACGCCTGAGCCTTCTAGCTGGCCTAGCCGCCGACGTCAGCATTTTCGTGTGGCGTGATCGGAGGGCCAGTTAGCTAAATGAAGTAAAACTAGCTAGCACGTAATGTAGCATCATCTAAGATTTATTGAAACTTTCTTTCGTGACGTTTAGGTTTTTAGATGTAGTGCTTTAGATTTTTTATTTAGATTTTTACTTAGCCCAACAACAGTGAGGGACCTCCTTTGCCAGCACCAAAATATGATAATCGTTTTTTTTTCCACCTTTACTTAGTAGCCCTGTGGTTTTTTTGACGCACAATCGCTGTTTTAATTGCGTGAGGAGAGCACTGAAGGCCTAGGCGTAAAATACCCGGCCCGCCACTGCTTTTTCCACTCGGATAATCCGGCACTGAACAGGTGGCAATCCCATGAGCACCGCCTAAAATGCACATTTGAGCAAAAAAAAATTATATAAATTTTTTTATGTTTTAAATCACAGGTGAACGTTTGAGAATATCCGCCCGCGCTCCGAGGCTGGCACGAGCACCGCCTAAAATGCACATTTGAGCAGAAAATTTTATATAAATTTTTTAAATCCTTTATATTAAGTTCACTTGCTTGCTTGCTTGCGCGCTTACGACCGTGCAAATCTTTCGGTCGTTTTTTAACCCACTTCCCGTGATCTAATCGAACTGACATTTTGCACACAGACTCGTTGTGCGTGACAATTTATTTTCAAAATTTTACACTTTTTAGGAAAAAATAAATAATATTTAATTACCAATTGCTTAATGGTGGCAGGCAATCATCTGACCCATAGGTGGCAGCCATCTCAAGCCAGAGGACGAGAGGACTCTAGCCGCCACGCATATAAAGGATTTATAGTGAAAAACTTTGTTTTTACGGGTTATACTTATTTAATCTCTTAAATCACAGGTGAGCGTTTGAGAACATCCGCCCGCGCTCCGAGGCCGGCCACGATGCGAGTGGCCGTGGTGGGCGCGGGAGTCATCGGACTCTCGTCGGCGCAGACCATCTACGAGCGCTACCGGCACGAGGCTCCCGACCTCCACATCACCGTCTACGCTGAAGCCTTCTCCCCGCACACCACGGGCGACGGCTCGGCGGGGTTCTGGCAGCCGTACGCCCTAGGCGAGATGTCCCCCGCTGAAAAGTGCGCCTGCTGGGACACACGAGTCGCACCGCACACCGCTCACCGCCGACCCCCCCGACTGCTGTGAATTGCGGCCGATGGCAGCAACGTGGCCGCACCTGACGACTCTTGCGCCGATCGCAGTGCGGGAGAAATGTGTCGTGTGTCGGCGAGCGTGTTATTCGCGAACTCGTCTTCTTCGCCGTGGACCGTGCTGGGCCGCAGGGTTAACGGCGGCTGCCCCCGTGGCTCTGTTCTTCCAATTTGCCCGCTGTCATCGGCAAACTTGCCAAGAAGTTTTGCCGATGACGGCGTTACACGGGTCGAAATTGAATATTTACGTGGGTGAAACACACCGTCGTCAGCTTATTATATGAAATAAAGTGAAGCGTTGTAGCGCATTACAAATGCATAATGCAGCCGAATTAGCTTCGACTGCCATTTGATCAAATACGAATCTATTAAATATTATTGTATGGATGATACAAATAATATACATCCCTTTCTCAACCCACTGCTGGATGAGGGCCTCCCCACGCTGTGCAGGTCGTAGGGTTGATTTGACCGTACTCCACCATGCCGATGAGTGGGAGTTGGTGAAGGTATGTAGTGGCATAGATGTGGGTCCATAGAAGTACCGTACAACAATGCATTTTTGTGCCGTGCAGTCACCTATGAGTATCCGGCGCACATGGTTGTCACCAATCCAAGCATTCTCCAGGCTCAACCCTGCCTAGCCCTCCGAGAGCTGAGGCATTGGTCTGGGATGATCACAGTTAAGAAAATTACTCTATAGATTGCTTTTTGTTAGTCTCAGAAAAGGATACCTGATAGATTGTTCATGTTGCATTCACTCGTATGTAATTTTCCATAATAATCTTTACCTTTTCAGGAAATGGAACAAAGATACATTTGACTATCTCTTGGGCTTGGTCAACTCTCCTGAAGCAAGCGAGATGGGCCTTTTCCTCCAGTCTGGCTACAACCTGTTTGAAAACCCAGTTCCAGTAAGGACATCACATTGTTTTTATTCTGCTGCAGATACTTAAGCAATTCACTTGCTCGACTGATTTATACAAGCGCATCACTGCTCCTGCAACATGGATCTCTCGTGCACATGACCTCAGCACCATTCACCAACCCCATCCTCAAAAGTGCCAGATTATAGATACGTATGTCATCACACCTGGTACTAATCATTGGGATTGTAGCGATGCGCGAATTAATAAATTACTGTCATTTAAATTATCTACGCTCACGATGCATGCAATTGAATGTGTCATAATATATGTTTTTAGATGTGTATATGTTGTATGTAATAGGCTCTCTAGACCTCTCTCTAGTGCGGGCCCTTCCACCAGCAGTGATGTGAGCTAGCAGTTGCAGGGCGGCACCTTTACCTTATATGCAGTACTCTACTTTTTTAAAGTGACATTTTGCCATCAAAACACAAACTAACATAATGACAGCCAATCAGCAGCAAATCAGTACCATACAAGACGGGAATTCTTAATGCCATTAATGCACTTCAAGATCATGCTTGAAAGTTTTTAACAATTATTTTATACTGAACGTGACAATTGTTATACTGGCATGCATTGTCAACTTCGCAGATTAAAAATGTCATAATTTATCCCTTTACAATGACAACTACAAATCGCACAGAAGCAGGAAAATTGCCAATTTAATTCCGACTTATTATTGAGGCCTCCTATCACTGCAGTAGCTGGATTATTAGTGCACACAAACTAATTTTAACATGTGTTTGGTCCAAGGCCACGAAATATAATCATATTCTTTGGTTCTTTCAGTAAAGTCACGTAGATAGAAAAAAATGTAGACTGTAGCCTGTATCTTAATCAGAGTGAGTGTACTGGCAGTCTATAATGTAGACTGTAGCCTGGTTATTAAGGTTGGTGAGTGTACTGGCAGTCTGTAATGTAGACTGTAGCAATGGTTATTAAGACTGCCAATACGGTCACCAAGCTTAAAAACCAGGCTACAGTCTACATTATAAACTGCCAGTACACTCAGTCACTCACCGAGGTTAAGAACCAGGCTACAGTCTACATTATAGACTGCCAGTACACTCACCGAGGTTAAGAACCAGGCTACAGTCTACATTAGCGGTTTTTGTTTTTATTATCATTTTATTTTTATTCACTTTATTTAGTTTTATTATTACTTTACCGAAAGAACCAAAGAATATGAATTCCTGCAGTCACGACAGTTTTAAGCCGAAATATAATCATTTATGCTCGTCTTGTATCACTAGGATCCTGCCTGGAAGGACATTGTCTTGGGATTCAGGCACCTCACAATTGACGAGCTGAAGATGTTTCCAGGGTGGAGGTGCAGTTTCTTTTGTATTTTATCTTTTTTGACCTGTAGAATGTAATGGGTTGTACCACAGGGATCGGCAAACCAAAATTACAAGAACAGACATTTTTTCGAATTCTGTAAAAAAAAAAAATAAACCTCAATATTTCAAGAGCCGCAGTGCATTTTGTTTTGAGACGATCCTTAATAAAAAAGAAAACGTCACAAAACAGTCCTTGAAGAGCCGCACATGGCTCCGGAGCCACAGGTTGCCGGCTCCTGCCCATGGTAAACTGGACTTCCATGGTAAACTGGACTTTCATGGTAAACTGGACTCCCACGGTAAACTGGACTTTCATGGTAAACTGGACTTTCATGGTAAACTGGACTTCCATGGTAAACTGGACTTTCATGGTAAACTGGACTTTCATGGTAAACTGGACTTCCATGGTAAACTGGACTTTCATGGTAAACTGGACTTCCATGGTAAACTGGACTTCCATGGTAAACTGGACTTTCATGGTAAACTGGACTTTCATGGTAAACTGGACTTTCATGGTAAACTGGACTTTCATGGTAAACTGGACTTCCATGGTAAACTGGACTTTCATGGTAAACTGGACTTCCATGGTAAACTGGACTTTCATGGTAAACTGGACTTTCATGGTAAACTGGACTCCCACGGTAAACTGGACTTCCATGGTAAACTGGACTTCCAAGGTAAACTGGACTTCGGTGATAAACAGGACTTCCATGGTAAACTGGACTTCCAAGGTAAACTGGACTTCTGTGGTAAACTTGACTTTCATGGTAAACTGGACTTCCAAGGTAAACTGGACTTTCATGGTAAACTGGACTTTCATGGTAAACTGGACTTTCATGGTAAACTGGACTTCCATGGTAAACTGGACTTCCATGGTAAACTGGACTTTCATGGTAAACTGGACTTCCATGGTAAACTGGACTTCCATGGTAAACTGGACTTTCATGGTAAACTGGACTTTCATGGTAAACTGGACTCCCACGGTAAACTGGACTTCCATGGTAAACTGGACTTCCAAGGTAAACTGGACTTCGGTGATAAACAGGACTTCCATGGTAAACTGGACTTCCAAGGTAAACTGGACTTCTGTGGTAAACTTGACTTTCATGGTAAACTGGACTTCCAAGGTAAACTGGACTTCCATGGTAAACTGGACTTCCAAGGTAAACTAAACTTCAATGGTAAACTGGACTTTCATGGTGAACTGGACTTTCATAGTAAACTGGACCCCCATGGTAAACTGGACTTCGATGGTGAACTGGACTCTCATGGTCAGGGGTCAACAAACAAAATAACAAGATATTTTTTACGAATTCGGTAACAACAAAAAACCCCTCAATATTTCAAGAGCGGCTCCGGAGAGGCAGGTTGCCGAACTTTGGTCGAGCACTATGCCTCATATGATTCTTACCAGGACAGTGACCTCACTGCTCTGTTTATTATAATAATTCCAGCTTGTAACGCGCCGCTGCACAGTATTCGCTCACTCTTCAAGAGAGAAAACGACTCAGAGGTGTGATAAATCAGAGACAAGTGGGAGAGGTAGCAGGGCGGTGAGCTGACACCAAATCCGCCCCCCCCCAGCTCTGCAGTCCTCTTTATATTAAGGTGTTCCAGGCCAATTAATGAGTGTTTACATGGGGGAGGAAACCGGAGCGCTCTAAAAAACACTTTCTTGTATCGTCTTCTGTAAAGTCAGGGTATGGGACCTCGACGCCCCCCCAGCTCTGCAGTCCTCTTTATATTAAGGTGTTCCAGGCCAATGAATGAGTGTTTACATGGGCGAGGAAACCGGAGCACTCTGAAAAAACACTTTCTTGTATCGTCTTCTGGAAAGTCAGGGTATGGGACCTCGACGCCCACGGCAAGGGAGTTTCACAACATTTACGCGGTCAACCGATGTTCGCTGCCTGCACGGTGCCGGAGCAGAGGCGTGCACCGCCACCACCATCGTGTCATGTCTCGCCTCTCGTTTCAGCTACGGGTGGTTTAACACTACATTAATGCTGGAATGCAAAAAATACCTCCCCTGGCTGATGAACAAGTAAGTGGAAACCAGGTTTGCTTCAGGCCAGTAAATTCACAGTCCCTATGAAGTGTAACACTGGTCAACACACTCTTTCTGGCATAAGGTATTCCAATAGTTTTAATGTAATTTTGGGGTGCTGATTCCAAATCTGGCATCAGTTTTTGTCTATCACATCAGCTTTTTGAGATATCAAATATTGCATTTTCAATAAAAACTGAAGAAGAAAAATATTAAATAAATGTGGATATCTACATAAAATTATATTATAAACACACTATCCTAAAAATACAGCACCATATTTTAACACTAAAGCAGTCACTGACTCGCAACAACTTGCAATCATAAGTGACAGAGTTAATTTCGGGTAAAATCAATGAAAATGGGGTATGCCGATAGCATAAAATGAGATGTAATAGAGCAAATCTGAGATCAGATTTGGAATCAGCACCCTGAAATTTGTCTAAAACAGCTGCAAAAGTCCAGGCCAGAATTTTTTTTTTGTTGACCAGTGTAATGGTAAAAAAATTAACCCGTAAAAACAAAGTTTTTCACTATAAATCCTTTATATGCGTGGCATCGGGGCGGCTAGAGTTCTCTCGTCCTCTGGCTTGAGATGGCTGCCACCTATGGGTCAGATGATTGTGTGCCAGCATTAACCAATTGGTAAATAAATATTTTAAAAAAATTCCCTAAACAGTGTAAAATTTTGGAAAAAAAATTTCACGAAAATTCATTGTCACGCACAACGAGTCTGTGTGCAAAATGTCAGCTCGATTGGATCACGGGAAGTGGGTTAAAAAACGACCGAAAGATTTGCACGGTCCAAAGCAAGCAAGCGAACTTAATATAAAGAATTTAAAAAGTGCAGCGCTGCAAGTTGCTTACTCGTGCCACTGCTGATGGAAGGGGCTCCACGAGAGCCCCTCCCCCCTCCCCCGAGGGGGTATTTATCGATTCTTCCACGTTGGCCAGACGTCATGGGAGAGACATAATGTGGGTAGGTTAATAAGCCATTCGTCCTTTCATTAAATGTTCTTTTTCATGATAGGTGACTCAGTAATTTTAGCTGTGACGGTCCCACCTGATGACGGAGACTTGTGTTGCCTCCGAAACGTCGTGATTTATTATTTTATTTTATTTCCATTATTACTTTTATTAACTTTTAATTTTATTTGTTACCTACGTGACTAAGAGTAGGTGACTCATGCTTGAACGGGTTTACATCTTGCGCTGTTAAGTGTAGAGAAATACCCCCCTCCTTCACTCATTAAGTCGTGCATTAAGACCAACATTAAATAAACAAAAATTAAGCATGAAGGGCAAATTCATGTCCAATTTTGGAAAGTGATCACTTCGCTGGAAAATGTATCACGTTGTTATGTCCGTACTTTTAAAATGTAGCAAGAGTTTACAGGTCTGGGAAATGCCATCAACAAAGGTGTTCAATGCTCGATCTTAATATCTCTGGAAAAAATGTGGAATTTAGCTTTTCCTGTGTCCTTCTTAACATGTTTAATTGTAACCCGACAAATAATGGAATTAAAAAACTGCTCGCAGCTGACATTGCACGGTGGTATAACAACAATCGGTACATTCGGGAGAAAATAAGTGCTAAAACGTATCATTATACCTCCTTTGCCAGTACCAAAATATATTAATAGGGTTTTTCCCCTTTTTTCTGGCAACATAACTGAAACCTTTGTACAAGGATTCATGTCTGCATTAACCACAATTGACTGCAAGTATTGTGGTTAATGCAGACATGAATCCTTGTAAAAATGTTTCAGTTTTGTTCCCAGAAAAAAGGGGAAACCCCTATTATTATTATTATTATGCTAAAACGTATTTTATTTAACTAAAATATTTCCTTTTCAAACCCTTAGGTTGAAAAGTTATGGAGTCCAGTTTATTCAGAAGAAAATCCACTCATTTAGTGAGGTAAGCCAAGTCGAATATTCACGTCATTTTCTTTTTGTTCGTAAAAAGAATTAAGTCTTCACGCTCTGTATATATATACCGACATACCCCCGGGACTACGCCCAAGATGCATTCCTGAAAACCAGAACATACATCGAAAGTACTTTAATAGCAACAAACAAATGTGATGGTCGATCCTAACCTGGTACAAGACCTAAACAGAGGATTCCGAGTAACTCATTGCGCATCTATACTGTACAACCGTGGGTGTGAAAAGTAAGCGTATTTCTAGGTTTGAAGCTTTCGTGACTGCAAGGATTCATATTCTTAGGTTTTTTCGGTAAAGTAACGTAGGTAAAAAATTAAAATTAATAAAAGTAAAATTAAAATAAAATAAAAATCACGACGTTTCGGAGGCAACACAACCGAAACGGCGTGATTTTTATTTTATTTTACTTTTATTAATTTTAATTTTTTACCTACGTGACTTTACCGAAAAAACTTAAGAGTAAGTAAGCGTATGTTATTACGTCAGGGCCACGCCCCTAGGCTTCCCCCATTGGCTATGGACCAGGACCGGCAGAGCCAATCATCGTGACGAGTTGTGATCCGTCAACTACCCGGATATATCCTCACATTACAGATATATCAAGCTCTATTGCCTCGTCTATTTATACTATACCTATCATTAGTTGTTTACCATATAAACAAAAATACGTTAGACGTTTATAAATATAGTCTCTATAATTACGGTATGTGGGGAAAATATCTTCATAAAGTGCGTGTGCACATGCAAGAGACGACTTTAGCCAGGGACGCTCACGTGTGGCACATGCATGTCGCTGTGAAACGAAACAGAAAAGGGTGGGTCTTTATGGTAGAGTTCGAATAATCTGTTAAGGCGAGGTAACCACACAGTATGTAAACACGGGATTGGGCATCAATCAATACTTTGAGTATGTTATAGCGAAAAGTACGTACAAAGGGACAGCATAAATCAGGGTATTGCTGTCTTTATCTTTAATGTTTTCGACCGGTTCCCTATTCCTCCATAATATAGTGTTTTTTTGGGTGAGATCGTGTAAATATAAATGTGTCGTTCAACCTGCCACCACCCGACACAGCCAATTAGTAAGGTTTGTCACGTTAACAAAACATGCCAATTCGTTACTAGTTCAGCACACCGGTTGTGTTGGAGAGTAACCCACAACATTTACAATTCTTGTAACATGTACAGCGCATAGAGATACTTTTTGTGTAGTTTTGTGACTTATGTAACCACGATTTAAATTGACATCTGTATTTTACAACATCTGTATTGTGCCAGTATCACCCATGGAATACAGCTGAGCAGCTTAGTCGGCCCTTACTGCTCAAATAAATAAAACCAATCTAACATAGCAAACACACAACGCAGCAGGGCACCTTCATGCAGTAAATAATTCCGCAAACGTCAAATTAACTCAATGCAAGTGACCCACTGAAATATCATACACATACAAATGCTCTTATTGCCCACTTGTGTTTCATAAGGCATTGAACAAAATAAAACAAAATTAAGATTTGTGTCAGAATACTTAAAAGATCCTGCCAAGTTGTTGTTGTGTAACCCTCGCTCCACCACCCAAATTAGCCAAACAAATTAAAAAGCCACTTGTACAAGCGTTTACCTTGCACATCATGAGTAGTTTAGGCACACGATGAGTAATTTTATCAAATGGTAATATTTCATTTTCAAGAATATCGTACCCTTGTTTCATGATAAACTGAACACATTTTTTTTTTACGTTGCAACTATTTGTCGTGTGCATGAATCGGCAATTGTCAATTGCGTGGCTCTAATAACAGCTGAGCGCGAGCTACGAAGTGATCCTGAACTGCACCGGCGTGTGGGCAGGAGACCTACAGCCCGACCCCCTTCTCCAGCCCGCTCGGGGGCAGCTGATGAAGGTACGGACACACGGAGCTCGACATCCACAAAAGGCAGGGGACACTGAGGGACAGGGAAGACAATGAATCAATGAACAGGGTCGCCTGGCAAAGGCGCAGACAGAACACGATGAATGACGTCGCCACACATTTTACAGGTGGACAAAAAAAAAACATACGTGCCAAGACACGGGAAGGTGAATATGCTGTACATTGATTTAAAAATGATCTGACAATCGAGTGTGGGAGGATCAACCGGAGGGGTGAAAGGTACGGATGAAATAGACAAATTGGTTCCAATTGTTTCTTTCTGCTGTGGACAATTACCTGCTACTTTTCTTGAAGGCAATTTCAAAACTCATTATAGTCCTACAGATTTGTCAACACGTGGTAGATTGCATGCAATTCATGAAAGTGGGCGAAGAATCGTGAAATGTAATGTCTGATGGTACAAATTTGATTGCTTGAGAGTATGTTTCGGTCTATACTATTCTCTAAAACAGCATTTATAAAATGGATTCCTAATAGTCAAAATGCACTGTGTTCGTTTCACGTCAAAAGGTCTTTGCTCCGTGGATTAAACATTTCATCGTCACCCACGACACAAATAAAGGCGTGTATGAAACTCCCTACATCTTGCCAGGGTAAGTTAACGCCAATATCATGACACGGATACAACTTACGTTTCTGCACATTGTTTTTTTTGCCCAAAGCTTGCCAATTACATAGAGTGCTCTCGTGACTTGTGCCATCCAGGAGCTCTGGCGTGGTTGCCTTGGGTGGCTGCTTTCAGGTGGGGAACTGGAATCAAGGCATCGACAAGAAAGACAGAGCCAATATCTGGGAGGGCTGCTGCAACCTCGTGCCAAGCCTGAGCGTGAGTTGGAAACGTCCTTTCTTGTGTCGCGTGGCCTTTACACCTTTAGAATGATTGTTGCCAGTCATTAGTTCCATATTCTTCTGATTATAAGATACACTTGAATAAAAGAGGCACCCGAAACTTATACCCGGTGTTAAAAAAAAGTGAAACAGATCTCGTCAAACAAGACACACATCATGCACCCCCACCTTTTGCTTTAACATATGGGACGGGGAGGGGTGGGGGAGATTGTGTTATAATTGAGATAACGCGGTTTATATGAATTCATAGATTTTGTACACAGCTATATTTCGATAAAAAACAAGTATAACCCGTAAAAACAAAGTTTTTCACTATAAATCATTTATATGCGTGGCGGCTAGAGTCCCCTCGTCCTCTGGCTTGAGATGGCTGCCACCTATGGGTCAGATGATTGCATTGCACCATTAAGCAATTGGTAATTAAATATAATATTTTTGTCCTAAAAAGTGTACAATTTTGGAAACATTTTTTTACGAACATTAATTGTCACGCACAACGAGTCTGTGTGGAAAATGTCAGCTCGATTGGATCACTGGAAGTGGGTTAAAAAACGACCGAAAGATTTGCACGGTCGTAAGCAAGCAAGCGAACTTAATATAAAGGATTTTAAAATGACTGTTCCGCCTCGCGCTGTCGTCTTACTTTGAAACTAAATCAAACATTTGTAGAGCCAGTGCTGGGAGTTTTTATATGAAACAGAAGCGTGTGCATAGTTAAAATGCAGTATGAAATACGGAAGTGTGGATACTAACCAATGTTTCAAAACCGTCTGGCCAGCATGGAAGAGGGGTTCTTTAATACTTCCTTTCTGCCAGTAGTGATGTGAGCAATCAATTGCAGGGCTGCACCTTCACATGTTATGCCTTTATTTTAGAGAGTGTAACATTTTGCCATCAATGTGCATACTATAAGGACAGCCAACAACAGGTAAAAAAAAATAACGAGCGTAGAACTACAGCAAAAAAAAAGTCTGTGATGACAAACCCATCGGCTTTAAGCTTGACAGTGAGCAGACACGTTTGCTGGCTTAAAACGGTCATTTATTTGACTTTTCAGAAAGCTCGCCTCGTGGAAGAATGGGCTGGACTGCGGCCAGCCAGGCATGCAATTCGCCTGGAGCGAGAAAGCCTCAGGCAAGGAGGAGCTGTACAATCCGAGGTGAAGTTGCGTTTCACAATTAAAGGAAGAGGGGGAAAAAACGGCCATGTTACTTTCTTTAAAAAAATCCAACACGTTAGTAATGAACTACAGTTTTGTAAAAAATTTTTTTATTATAATAAACTCACTCGTGATGACAATTACAATTTCATCACATTTTTGCACGCTGGTAGGTGTTCCGAACTGACAGATTAATTATATAAAATGCCGTGGGTAGTGGGTGATGCGGTTAATTGGATGAAGACCTGGGAGGGCGCTTTTTCTGGAGATAGGATTTCGTCCTGATATAAAATAAATGTACAGCGTTATGGAATGCAATTCTCATGAATTATGTTATGAAAAATGCAAGTATCATTATTATTATTGACTATCCACTACTGCAATGAGGACCTCCCAAAGTCATCCTAATTTGATACAATCGGAGGGCTATTATATGTCCTAATAGTGTTTTCCACTTATCGCAATGTTTTGTTTTTTTCCATGAACAGCCAAATGAAGTTGACTCCAAGGTAATCTAATTGGCCTGACTTTTCCTCCAACTCGATTCAATGAACTCAAGTTGGTTAATAATATGGTATTTCCATAATTTTCTGAGATACTTATCGCTAAAGAATTGATTTGTGTTTTTCCTGGAAATAGACTTTTCCAGAAATGTTTGTTCGTATGCGATCAATACTGCACTGGCTGACAATATTACAAGGTGATTTTAAGGAGAAGAAAGGAGGAGGAAGGAGGGAGGATGAATGTTCCCACCATCTCCCAACATTTTTGATTGAAGCGTTTGTTTCCGTGCTCAACCTAAATTCTGCTTTTGGAATTCAGGCCATACCCCGTGTCTATAAAAAATAGAAATTGGCCTGAAGAATTCGGACCTCCAGCCCAATATAGCAGCCAACTCAGTGGGTAGCAACGCAGTTACGCACTCAAGACGCGTGGTTCGAGGCAATGCAGGTTTAATCTTTGAGCATTCAAAAAATGTACGTGAATGATACAAATGTTGCTGCTCTCATTACAAAATATAGACGCTGTCACTCGAAACATCAATGCTGTCCATTTTTACATTTCACTTTGCACCAAGTTTTGCTTCATGTGCACCTCTGATTAACACAGTTGGCTACGTACGGCGCGATAGAAGTTCAATATACTTACATGCATACGAGTTGTAGCTGCATAAAAAGTGAACTGTAAAATGCACTATACATGCACAGCTGTCAGTTCTACGAGGTTGTCTGTCCGGTGGCGGCTCGTGACATTGCCACTAGGTGGGGCTGTTGTGAGTGACCTCTGAAAATATGGTGGTCTGATTAAGAAAAATCTCGTCATGTTATTGGCCTTCGCGTGAAAGTGATGTAACTGTCTTATCTACCAACGGTAGGCATTTATACGCACTAAAATGCTGTCCCCACGACCCTCAAAGTCCACACTACACAACCTCCTAGAGCCGTGCCCTGCTATATTTGCACACTGCAACCTAGCGTTGTGACATCGTCATTGCATTTCTATTAAAAGCTTTCGTGACTGCAGGGATTCATCTTCTTGGTTCTTTCGGTAAAGTCACGTAGAATTGAAATAATAAAATAATAAAAATAAAACAATAAAATAATTCTCAAGACGTTTCGGCCACAACGCAAGTAGTCTGTCGAGGAGACAGAGTCTCTTCGACAGACCTGTTCTCCACCTGAGTCTCCTCGACAGACCTGTTCTCCACCTGAGGACGGCTACTTGCGTTGTGGCCGAAACGTCGTGAGAATTATTTTATTATATTTTATTTTTATTATTTCAATTCTACGTGACTTTACCGAAAGAACCAAGAAGATCGTCATTGCAGCCACGGGCACCTTTTTCACCGCCCTGAATGGGTCTCAAACGGCGTGGCTACAATGCGAAGTTGCTCTCAATGAGTGAAGGGATATCTCTCACTCGGACACGCCTTCACAGCCGCCCCGAGACCTCGCCGAGGCACACGTCAGACTGTGTTCTTGCAGCGGTTTCTAATACAAACAACTTAAAATGTTGTAATAATCATTAATTAAAAAAACACGACAAAATAATTCTTAAAAAGTTTTTTTTTTATTAGAAAAATATTTTCCCATCTCCATTTGCTTGGTGGGGCACGGCGCCCCAACACCCCGAGTGGACGAACCGCGCCTGAGTCTGTCCTGACATTTCTGTGTTTTTGTTTTTCAGATTATTCACAACTACGGCCACGGTGGCTATGGGGTGACAATCCACTGGGGCTGTGCCCTGGAGCTGGCAAACATCTTTCGTCAGATAGCACTGGAGAAGAAGCACGGTCCTCACTCCCGTTTGTGACCGCCTTGCAATGATGTCCCGATCAAAGGCAGTTTTATTATTGAAGAGCAAATCCCACGCTCTGTCACGAACGTATGGGACATTGATAAAGGCGAGTGATTAGTCCCGTAAAATGATTCGCACAACCACACGCCAATGTAACGATGCTATGCATCACGACTCACATTGCTGTTGTTGAAAAAACTGAGAAAATAATGAATGTCAAGTTGTTTTAGTATTTACCAAGGTGATTTTATTGTTTCACATTAATTATGTTATGCCTTTGACGTATAAATAATTAGTTTTGTGAAAAACGGTAAACACTACTAATATGGTCCCATCACGATCAGTTTGTCAGCAATATTCCTGTGTGTGCAATTAAAACTGTGTAAGATTTAATAATAATAAAAATACATTCCAAGGAGCTACTGCTTGTCTGTTTTTTTTTATTCACCCCTAAGTGGAAGTCACTTTGGTTGTCTTTGCGCACAATAATTCACACTAACACACAATAATAAACAATAATACATAGACCAATGTGACTAAATGTTAAATAATGACAAGGTCTAAACAAATATTTGCTGGGTTAAATCTGAAGTGTTCCCAATAATTATATTTATACGTTTTCTAAACAAACACCGTTGCCAAATTACAATTATATTTCATACATGACTTCAACATTTGCAAAATCTACAATTATCAAACAATTTAGCGAACAGTTAATATACTGAATATTATCGCAGTTTTTTTACATTCACAAATGACCACAACGGAAGTATGTAGTACGATATTTTTTCGAATGACTCGCATATACAAAGTGTGCTTACACATATACAGTTCTAATGAGAAAAAATATACAGGACAATATGTACAAAGTATTACGTGTAAAAATATATAACGTTACAATTTAAAATACCAATCAACCATTTTCAGTTCATATTTAATTACTGGAAAGCATAAGTGAGTGGTCTATCACATGCACGTGTGGCTTGTTTGGCCTATAGAAGAGCAGAAAAGAAATTTACACATTTGAATACAACTCAAAACAGAAAACGTACCGCTCACTCTACATACTGTGACAATCTAACATACAATTACATGTAGTGATCTCACCAATAACATCTGGTAATCCAAAACAATGTTTAACAATCATAGCTCTGCTGATGAGACCCAGAAGTTCGAAACTGCTCGAGGTTTTGCATGTGTAAGCACATGCTGCTTGACAGCATCGGTCTGGAAAACTGATGGATGAAAACATTTTCATATTTACACATGAAGACACGGAACAGAGTTTTGCTTATATTTTCTTTCCCCATAATGCTCCAAAAGCAACGGTTGAGTGTGTGCGAAAAATTAATTAGGCGCACACATTGGAGGTTTGCAAATACAAAGAGGCAAAGCGTTGCATCTCATGGGAAAATAATGTAAAATGTAAAAATCCAGTCCGACTGCTTTTCGTGTACAGCGCTGAATGTACAACATGAGGGTTTTTTGTTATCAGGAAGATTGTTCAGCTGAGCTTGGGAACCACCTGCCAGAGCCATAGAAAGTACAATCATGTTTAGAATAACACTTCTTTGTCATGATATCAGGTTTGACATCACCTATGCCATTTTAAGATAATAGCTGGCTTTGAGATATCAGGTTTTTATTTATATGTATAAATATAAATGCACATCTAGCTATTGAATCATAAATGTCAGATATTTGTGAGAAAAAAGTGCATTTTCTGCAACTGCAAATACCATCACGTGTTTTACAAGCAATGACTGTCCCAAAAAATACCATTAATTCACCATTGTGCCAATTCCACTGATTTTGACCCATTTATCGACTGAAAAGTATTGAAATAACAACAATTCAGACGATATTTCTTACCACAGAAAGATGTCCACGTTTGTCTTTAAACACAAGGTGTTGAGGCCCTGTAGAAAAATCAACACTGCCTTCCTTGCCTTGAGGCCCAATGAAGGTGATGCTGTAAAATAAAACACAAGTTCTTTTTTTTAAAACAAAGTCTTACATTGTTATTTAAATCTTTCGTGACTGCAGGGATTCATATTCTTGGTTCTTTCGGTAAAGTCACGTAGAAGGGAAATAATAAAATATAAAACTATTAAATTTTCACGACGTTTCGACTGCAACACAAGCAATCATCAGGTGTGAAATCCACAGTATGATGATTGCTTGTGTTGCAGTCGAAACGTCGTGAGAATTGTATTGTTTTATATTTTTATTATTTTATTATTTCCCTTCTACGTGACTTTACCGAAAGAACCAAGAATACAAAGTCTTAAAGTCAATACATAGACGATGCATTAACATTCAAAGGTAAATATATAGCCCTGCTAATTGAGTATTCACGCTACTGTTGGCAGAGCAACCTTCACTACATGGTGCCCTCAAGAGCCCCTCTTTGAGGGCATTTGGCCTTCTCTTCAATGCTAGCCACGTGGATGTATGTTAAACTGCTTTCGCACCATATGTAGCCAACGGTGTTAATCCGCAGGTATCTTGGAAGAGGTGGGAGTAACCGCGCTCTACGCCCATCGCACAGGACCTGCCGATCGGCCAAATGTGGTGAATATTTTTTGGACTGCTGGCCGGCCAGAGACAGGTGGGTGGGTGGGTGGGCCGGGGGGCGGATTTAGGAAACGTGACCCTGATTGCTTCCACTGCCATACCTGGAGATTGAAATGGCGACCTCTAAGATTGCAAGCCCAGTTGTGCTCACCTTTATGCCCAGGAACCCCTTTAACGTTGAAATATTGAGGCAAGGAAATTTGAATTCACCCATTCTCTTCTCAGATGTTTTTTTCAAGGAGTTGTAGAAGGTACTCGCGAGCTCAGTCATTATACCCAGTGTGCAATGTTACGTTGGTAACTGAAAAAATTCTACTGGGGCGCTCACTCTTTCATGATGTCGCAAATTATCCGTTACACAAGTGGGATAGTTGCAATAGATGTAAATAAACACACGCACATTAATATGCTCAATACAACGGCACGCAAGTTTTCACCCTACCTTCCTGAGCAAATGTTTACGCATGTGGCTTTATTGGCGAGAAGTGCGAGTTTGGTCAAAGTCTCAAACACGTAATTGCTTTGCAGAATCATGTCACCCTGAAAAACACAAGCATACAGTCACAGCATGCTCAACGTCAACTTTGACAGTTCGCACACTGTACTTTACTTCAGACTCCAAAAAAACGTGTTCAGGTATGGACAAAGCAGTCGAGATGCATAACGCCGCACATCGCATGACATCGTATGACCGTCTACAGCACTCCGCATTTAAACTGTGGCTGGCTGCTCAAGGATTTTAATGGGCTTGCTCCACCATCTATTCAGCAGTTGCTTTATCCGCACACTCCATTGAGATCTCCGAGTTCCACTCATCGTGTCTTACCCAGTGTGACCTGGGGTGACCACCAAGGCTTTTGTCAGCACAGTGCCCAGGCTCTGGGATTCCATCCCAATGGAGGCGTTTAAGTCCTGGCTGAAGACCCCCACCAGCTTGATAACAAGGCCTCCTCTCTCTATCTAGTTCTCTACCTGTCTCTTTAGTCTCTATCTCCCTGGTTACTTCTCACTTATTTTCCTCCTTTAAATAAAAAAAAACAGTTTAGTTTATATTCACGGCGCTCTGAGGATCCACTTGTTAAGGGCAACTCATGCATCTAAATTAGTTTCGTGAGATAACAACTGTAAAAAAAACACGAACCTCTCAAAGTATCGATTACAGGTTCCAAATGTCAGGAACCGGTAACCATTTCCTGTGGAATTGTAGGAATGAATCCACCAATTGGCACGCACTAACATACAGACGGCACGGCGTGCGTGCGCGGACTCTGATTGGCTAGCGACAGCCGTCTCACAAGCACCTGCAGCAGTCTCAATAACTCTTCTCAGTTCAGGTAAGAGGGTAAAGGTGCAGCCCTGAAATTGCTTTCTCATGCCACCGGTGGTGGAAGGGCTTCCACTAGAGGCAGTTCTAAAGAGTACACATTCTATTCTTCCACAGGTACCAGACATGTTGGAAGAGGTGGGTGTACCAACACTTTGCCCCACTTAATGCAACCTGCCAATAGACTAACTGTTAAGTATTCTTGGGTTTTTTCGGTAAAGTCACGTAGGTAAAAATTTTAAACTAAAATTAATAAAAGTAAAATAAAAATCACGACGTTTCGGAGGCAACACAAGCTTCCGTCTTCAGGTGGAACCGCCACAGCACGATAGCTGGACTGTTTTCTTGGAATTTCTCTTACTTGATACAGCTATCGAGCTGTGACGGTTCCACCTGAAGACGGAAGCTTGTGTTGCCTCCGAAACGTCGTGATTTTTATTTTACTTTTATTAATTTTTGTTTTAATTTTTTACCTACGTGACTTTACCGAAAACAACCCAAGAATATGAATTCTTACAGTCACGAAAGCTTCAAATCTAGAATTAACTGTTAAGTATCCATTATACTGCTTGTTGGACAGGGGGGGTAGTAGTGGGGGGGGGGTGTTAATAAATGCCCCCGTTGTTTGAACTGCCGTGACCTCTGGATTGCAAGTCCAGTTTGCTAACCATTTCACCACGGCAGCTCCCTCCGTGTATCCCTTAGTTACATATTACCTTTGTCGCTATGAACATTTGTACGGGTGCGGCAAACCCGATGACCGATTATATCCATTCGGTTAACGGCAACGTAACCAAAATGATGCTAACAAACCCTCGTTTAAACGCAAAGGGTTAATTATGTTACAGCACCCAAACACTGGTTTTTTCACCGGACAATTGGCAGTGAGGAATCACCACCTTGTGTCTTTTGTCCTCCGATGACATGTGCAAGATGAAGAAGCCATCGCTCAGTGAACTGCATGACACATCTTCCGTAAAGCAAAGGGAGAAAGGGCAACATGGGAACTTTGTTGTCACAATATAACGCTCACGGCTCTACTCGAGCTGAAATCAAGCAATCCATGTATCCTTATCAAGCAATAAACAGTTTGTGTAAAGATTGCTCCCAATGACATCATCATATTCTATGGGTCTTTCGATAAAGCCACGTAGATAGAAAAATAATACAAATATCACGACGTTTTGATCGCAACACAAGCAATCCTTTTTTTCACCTGAAGACGATTGCTTGTGTTGCGATCGAAACGTTGTGATACATTTTTTTTATCTACGTGGCTTTACCGAAAGACCCATAGAATATGTATTCCTGCAGTCACGAAAGCTTTAAGTCGAGACATTTAATAATGTCAAGTGTTATGAAGCATCGTTTGTGCAAATGACAACTCACAATAGCTGACGAACCACAGCCTAGCTGGAAGACAGCATCCAAGCGGTGAGCCTGGATACTGCCCAAGCTCTGCAGTCCTTTATGTATTTACATTTTTACATCCAACTGACTGGGCAACCCAGAGAAAACCCACACGTGCTAGTGAGCAACACTCTATCCCATACAGAAGGGACAGATAATTAGTCCGCACTTTGCTGTATTGCCTGCTCTTAGTGCCTCTTCAACGCCCATAGGAAGGGGGTTTTACAACAATTTGCGTGATCCACCAACCATTGCTTTCAGTGCGTGATTACAGGCGTGCTTCACTACCGTCCAGCATATAATAATAATAAATATACAATTCTATAATTCAGAAAGCTCAGGCCATGTGTTTTCATGGTAGAAAATTCGTAAAAAATTTTTATTCATTTTGAGCTCTTGTGGAACATTGCGAGTAATAAAATCAATATACTTCTGTAAGTTTCTCCGCATAAAATAACATATTTAGTTGCCTCTCGGACTGTGGGCTTTTCATATATAATATTGCTCATATCGTATATGAGTATTCAACAGGTTAGTGGCGGGCAAATCGGTGTAATAACCAGCTAAATTGTTAATGGACATATTTAATAATCATAGACGTTGACTTAAAGCTTTCGTGACTGCAGCAATTCATATTCTTGGGTCTTTCGGTAAAGTCACGTAATAATCATAGACGTATTTATCAGTTTAACACGTAGGCTTTCGCAACAAATATTATCCATCATAGAGGTTTTTTGGGTTAGATCGTGTAAATATGAATGTGGCGTTAAACCCGCCACCACCTGACACAGCCAAATAGTGAGGTTTGTCACTTAAACAAAACATTCCAATTCATGCCAAGAAGTATTTATTTTGTGGATTACTATGAAAAATGTAAATGTGCAGCCCTGTAACTAATTTCTAATTCCAATGCTAGCAGAAGGACCTGGCCATAGAAATTGGAAGAAAAGGGTTACAATTGTTTTCATTAACAATGCACCCAGCAATTATTTAAATGAAAAACTTCATTACTTCACTTGATCACTCTGGAGTGATTTACAATCCTATATTTATCTACTTTAAAATCATTACAGGACATTTGTGTTAAAATCACGATTTATATATTCAACAGGTTTACCCTTCAAGTTGGTGTAAGGTATTGTCTGTTTGATCTTGGATTCTTCCACGATGTACACACAGCCCTGTGTAAGCAACATTTGGCGAGTCCTTGGCTTGAACCCTCGCCGGTCGTATTTCATCACAGGACAGGCGTACTGCGTATCGACAACACAAAAATGACCTTTCAACATACAATTTTTACCTTTATAAAGCATTCTATTTTCTTTTTTTCTCTAGAAATCTGGTAAAGCTATCCTCAGAGTCCAATTTGCACTCTGCTTATAGGAGTAAAAGTAGGCCAGCCCAGTTAGAAAGGCTCAATCATGAGCAAGGACACTTCTTCCCCATGCCCCCAGCATCCACCACCAATCCAAGGGCTTAATGTGAACTTCCCTGAATTCACTGGGTGCCACGGTGGTGAGATGTTAACGCCCTCGCCTGGTGTACAATAGGTCGTGGGTTCGATCCCGATCCCGACCCCTACGCCTGCTGTACATTTGGAGTTTGTGTGTCTCTCTCCCCATGGTCCTGTTGATTTTTTTTCTCCAGGTCCTCTGGTTATTCTCATCCACATTTAGAAACATGCATTTAGAATATTTGATTGCTATACATTTCCACGTGATAAGCCACTTCGTTGAGCTTTCATTTGTGGCCAGGTGACTTCTGAAAAAGAGTTATATATCTCGGTAAAAAATAAAGAAAAATAGTAATGCCAATGAGTTTTCACCAGTCCTTGATTTCTCACTCGATATTTCCACTGCTAGGCTGGTTTCAAGTAGGGATGATCTGCTTACGGCACTACATACCTTTATCCTCTCTTGGCCCACTGCTTGCAGGACAACTTTATTGATGGTTGAGTTACCTATAAGATAGGACATGAAGACACAAGTACAGTATATAATTATAGTCGGCTTGGGTGCAGGTGCCAGGTGATTACATTGCAGGATCATTGTGAGAAATGGTGACTGCTGGGGCAGACCTTCATCCAGCTGTGGATTGATCCAAGTAATGAAATCGACACTTAATACTTGCCAATCTGAACATTTTAGGCAGTTGGCTATCAATTATGTTACCCTTTCACCGCACACTGATATCCAACACAAAAATGGCGTCAACATTTTTTGTTTCAAACGTCTTACAAAAGTGGTCTGATGAGTTTTGAAAAACGGTTTGTGGTAAAAAAAAAAAGAGCTTAATTATATCGTCAGCCGATCACTTCATTTGGTGGGGTTGACACGTATGTGATAATGGAACTCAGCAAGAACGTTCGAATCTCACACGACGTTCGAATGGGAGCGGATGCAGTATATGGGACTTGTTTGACCATACTTCACCACACTGGTCGATGCGGGTTTGGTAAATTTGGTTAAAACGAGTCGCAATATGCATATGTATTTTATGATTGATTACACAAAAAATGTAATGATCAACCCTATGACTGTAATTTGTCATGAGATCTACTCTATCAAGGCCTCTGATTTCGATTTAAAGCTTTCGTGACTGCATGGATTCATATTCTTGGTTCTTTCGGTAAAGTCACGTAGAAGGGAAATAATAAAGTAATACAAATAAAACAATAAAATTGTCACGATGTTTCGATTGCAACACAAGCAATCATCATCAGGTGTGAAAACCACAGCAAAGAAAATAAGGCCTCTGATGTTACACGTTCGATGTTGGCTATCAACAACAAGGCAACTCCTATGACTAATTGAGAATGGGACGCAAGCGTAGGATTGATCACCCTGTCGCTGGCCGCCTTTGGGGAGGGTGTATAGTGTGAAAGGCCGAAACACCCTAGGAACCAAAGGTACACTACTGACGATGCGCTCCCCAAATTTCACCAGGCTCACTGTTCATGAACTCTTGGAAGTGCTTGCACAAAGGATAGTAACATCTCATCCTGTGTTCTTGGAATCCTGGAAGGAGGAGGCAACGCTGAAATTCAGTGGCGATGAGCACCTCAATTATAATTGAATTCGAGGACATGCTTTGGTTTTGAGTAGAATTTAATTTGTATTTTTTTAATTCAGCTGCACAATATTTTCAAAGTCTTGTTCGCATTATTCACCGTTTTATTGGTATGGGGAAGAGTATAAAGCATACTTGAAATGTGAAACATCACAGATATTTTCTACGTGATTAGTTCATATAACCTTTGCAGCTACTAGTGGTCACTATATTCGGTACGGTCAATCTAATACCTGTGTAATGAGAGCCTATGTCCGGCTCACGTGGTGATCGGCTCTGCCGGTCCTGCTCTACAGCCAATGGGAGCATGGCCCTGGCGTGATCGAGGGATGTCAGCTAGGGTGATTGGTTCTGCTGGTCTTGGCCTCAGCCAATGGGAAGACAAGTCAGGGGCGTGGTCCCGGGAGTTGATGGGGGAATCTGGAACATTCAGCGCAGGCTATTAAGGATTGGCTGGAGCGTACCACGTGACCCAGGCATTAAATAAGGGAAGAGCCGAGGGACACGTGGTCAGACAAGGAACGAAGAGAGAGAGGGGTCACGCACGAGCGAGGCTCCGAGTGCCACGTGGCGGTGCGTCTCTTGCGAGCTGTCTGCCCACTTCCCGTTGCCTGCCAGCAACGGGGAGTGCTTGTGAACTGAGATAAGTAAATAAAAGGACCGATTCCACAAGCTGTCTCCAGAGTATTATTACACCTGTACCGGTTTGGATGTTGTGAAGGCTTACTGAGTCGTGTGTCCACAAATGGTGTGGGAATGCTTTGGGGAAATCCATCCTTGTGGCCCTTGAAGATCTGGCTTGCCACCAGCTTCTGCTCCAACTGTGGTCATTAAAAGCATATTGTAGTTTCAGTTCATGTGTCCGTTCGATATATCACAGCAGGTGATTTGCGCTAATGGAAAACGTTCTTATGGGCACATTTGCTTTTCATTACATATATTTAAAAAACTCAATTTAAAATATATGTATTAAAAAAAACTCTGAAACCTGTTCTCGTTAGCCTCTCAATTCTACTTTTGATCAAAGCCCACCTTAAATAATTGCCCAAGGTATCCTTGTAATCAGACTCATGCGACATATATAAGGGTTATTGAATTTTACTTTCCATACCAATTAGTACCAATTTGTGTCAAAGCTCCCCTTGTCATAGATAACGCACTAACTGGATTATTGTTGACAGCCCATTACATCCACTTGCTCTTGAGGTACGCGGTGAGCTTTAATGTTACGCTTCGCAGATAAAATGGCAATTGAAAGTATCGAATAGATTTATTTTGAATCTTGATTTGTGCAATCAATCATAAAAGATGTATTTTTAGCCAACTGGTTTACAACATACTGATAGCATGCACTGACCTATGACCCAATGCACAAGATAATTAGCACAACGATTTGGAAATTATTGATAACAAATATAGTTTTTTAATGTTGTTTTGAACATCATAGTGAACTCCGGAACAGTTTCAACTTGCTAAGCCTCATCAGCAGTGTGTGGCCTGTTAAACAACAGTCGCTGAGTCTCCTGACGTTCTAGACAAAAGGTTTTAATGAACACTGGGGCACACCAACACTGTACAAATTGTAACGTGCGATTTTTGTAGTGGATTGTGTATAATTGAATAATAAACAAAGACGAGGCTCTATTTTACCACAAATAAAACAGGGCTCTTGCCTCGTAACAGTATGCCACCGAGTAGCATTTATTTCAGAGGCCAAGCCCTGCTGATGAAACTCCCAAAGTCCAAAACCGGCCCTCAATTTTTTATTTAAATTAACGCAGCTGGGAATAAACACATTGCTCAAGCTGAATACCCATTGGCTGATGGACCAGGAAGTGTCGTGGAGAGGGGGGAGGTGACATTTTGAATCAGGTTCCAAGTAATTGACCACAAAAAGTAACAAGTTGATGGACAATGCGTGGTCGACTAATGGACCACTCGTTCCAACACTCCTCGGATTCGCGAGCATCGTGGCACCTGTCACCTGGCAGCGATGCTCACTGGGGAGCCGCCTGCAGTATCGGAACACCATGTTTCTCATGCACAGCTTCTTGAGCAGATCCGAGGTCTGAAATTGAAAATCCATAAAAGCGAAATATACGTGCATGTATATCATTGGAACCTCATTTGCCAGTAAAAATATAATAATTGGTTTTTTACCCTTCTATCTGGCAACAAAACTGACACCTTTTTACAAGGAGTCATGTTTGCATAGACCACAATACCTGCAGTCATAATGCAAACAAAAAACATAACTCTGATAATGTGCACTGTCCTTGAAGTTGATTGGTCCACACCCGAGACAGCTTTCCTTAGAGCCTCGTCTCACATGGGTTGGACCAGATGACGCCAAAAGGCGCACAACGGGTGTGGACCAATCAACTTCAAGGACGGTGCATACATTATCAGAGTTATGTTTTTTGTTTGCATTATGACTGCAGGTATTGTGGTCTATGCAAACATGACTCCTTGTAAAAAGGTGTCAGTTTTGTTGCCAGATAGAAGGGTAAAAAACCAATTATCGTGCATGTATATGTTTAGGCAAAAAAAAAATCAACGCGACGTTTTGACACCTGCACCTCGCTTTCGAGTAAACTCAACCGCATGAGGACGAGTTGACGAGGAGATCTGACGACCGACTGTGATGTTAATGGCACGGCAGATTGCAGTGAATTTAAACATCCGATCGTCATTAAATACCGTTCAGTGAATATGCAATACATGCAAGTTGCGTGCCTCTTGGCGCAGCTTTATACAATTGACTTATGTAGCTTGTACATGGCGATGCATTTTCAAGATGATTCGCAAAGCAATGGGATCATGGGAAGTACTGTGGGCAATGGCGGAGCCAGGATTTTCAGGTAGGGGGGCCAACCCCTCCAGCAATGAAACACGATAGAGGAGTTGTTAGTAAGTAAGGACTTGTGCCTTGCTTTTTATTCGACGCGTGTGCGGCGATGGCGCAGCCATCGATCGAGGGTCGAATTCGAACCGCGTTGTGTGATCGGCATCGCGCTCGCTGAAGGTGAATGCCTTCAGGGAAGTCGTATACTGTATACGCAACTGCGCACAATTCTGTGAGTCACTTATAACTGCTTTATTATTGCCAATTATGGACTCAGACTATTGACCTATCATCTCATAGAGTCCCTGGCACATAATAATATGCGACACAGTGGCAGTGGGGGTCGCAAAATGCCGATTTATTCCTAATAAATCCCAATGATCCGATCGAAATTAGGGATTTCGATCGGATCATTGGGGGGCCACTTGTCCCCCCCCCTCACTGGCTCCGCCAGTGACTGTGGGGAAAGGAGGTTTATGCATTTATTTATCCCCCTTGAGAAAAACTGAAAGTCAGTAACGGAGCAGAGGAGGGGTTTTGTGCCGAGACTCTAATAAGGGGCAGAGAGAGTCAATAGCACGGACTTGGGGGAGGAAGTTCCTGGCCATGGAGGGTAGCAGTGGAGAAACGGCGACCTCCCACCGGGTGAATGTTGCCTGGGGACCCACCCGTGGCCGCAGCTGGGTTGCAGGGTGCGGTCGCAATTCGCCGATCAACAAAGATCGATCTTCAAATGCATTCACAACAATCATGACAAGGTGCCGTGGAACCATTCACACGGATGAGTTCGTTTTCTTGGACCCCCCTTTGTGCTATTGCCGAAGTCTTGCGAGAACTAAAAGCTCAGGGTTTTTTAAATCTCAGGTGCAGTGTTCTGTGGCTTGGCCAGCGAACGGCGCCGGTTGCCCAGAGGGCATTCGACTTCACGGCGCACGGCTGCTTTGGTAATGACACTTAAGCACCGCCTCTACAACGGCTCATGCCTTAACCGTGATCATTTCCTCCCCACGGTGTAATACGCTCGAGGCTAGAGGGCTGAGGTAGTGCCTCAATGCTGCAGCGAATACGGCATTCACGGTGCAGGTGAGAATGAAGTGAATCGTTTGTACCTCTTTGAGGGCCGTGGGGTGTTCAGGCCAGGACTTGTCCAGAACGGACTTGGGCAGGTTCTTTTTGAGATACATGAGGTACATGACGCGCACACCCACAAAGTATTCCTCGTTTTGTTCCGATCGAGGCTTGTGGCGATTTCTAAAACCCTGAACAAAGCTGCAGAGATGCACGTACGCTCATGAATAAGGTGCTCCTGAAGATAGAGGCGCAGCCACTCATGTCGGCCGTGAGCAGAAACGACGCTCAGGTTACTGGGTTACAAACCATATAAAACAAACACCTGGGAAGCACATTTGTCTGACGTCGGCATGGAACATCTATTCTTTTTTCAAGCAGCGATTATTATTGCAGGTGTTAAAGCATCTATTCATCGAGCAACATCGGTTCAGAAGCTAACTTCATACACGTCACGCTCGTGACCATTATAATTCACCAATGTAAAAAAAAAAGAATTGCGACAAAATCCACGGCATCTTCAGTGTGAGTGGTGAATCGTTACAACTCTAACCAATCGTAACACTTATTTTTAAAAAAATATGTATATATATAAAATGCCATATGGTAACAATAACGACGATAAATTATTACGGTAACGATTATTGAAGACAATAAGAAACATCACCGTCATGTAATTAATACAATGATATACACATGCGATACCATAACGGATAGTAGAGCATGCCATGGTGATAATGTTACGAATGCAGAGATCACAGACAGCGAGGAGTGCCACAAATCGTGAAGATTATATGCACGGCACCGTAACGATATTAAGAAGTGTGTGTATCATGGGAAGAAGGTGTCAACTGCGGTTCGGGTTACGAGTGTGAGACGTACAGCAGTGCAATGCGACGCGTCTGTATGCACATACTTCCTAATCACCTCTGCAGCCCATTTGCGCTTCGCAATCATCTTTCTCACCATGTGTCCTTTCCAGCGAGCCGCCAGCTTGACAGCTGTGAACAGATGCGAGCGTTTGTGTGGGTGTATATTTTGAAATTAAATGCGATCCTTTGTTGTAATAAGCAGCATTGCTGCGCCGATCCAATTCATTAACGGCGCACGAGGAGCGCTTACAGAGTCTGCGACTTTTCATTTCGTAAGTCACACAAAGGAAAGCTTGAAAATGAAAATTGTAATTCTAGATTAGAAGTTTTCGTGACTACAATAATCCATACTCTTTTGGTTTTATTCGGTAAAGTCACGTAGGTAAAAAATAAAATAAAAATGAAAACAACTAAATTAAATCACGACGTTTCGGACGCAACACAAGCGTCCGTCATCAGGTAGGGACAAACACAGCGAAGACAGTTGTACGCGACTGCTAGATGTGCAACTAATGTAGAGTGAGTTCTCTAGAAAAACTGTATGCTTTCATGTTATGTGATTTCAACGTAGCCGTTCCATTTTTGAACGATAAATTTGTTTCTATTAAAACAAAATCGGCTTGGGTTTGTGAGAGCCAAGCCTGACTGCATCAATTACATCATGGGACCTCGTTTGCTAGTACCAAAATATGAGAATAAGTTTTCCCCTTTTTTCTGGCAACAAAACAGGTTTTGAGATGTTAAAACACCTAACTGAAACCTTTTACAAGGAATCATGTCTGCATTAACCACAATACTTGTGGTCAGAATGCAAACAAAAAACATACTCTGATAATATATGCGTTGTCTTTGAAACTGATTGGCCTTTTGGCGTCCTCTGGTCTAACACCGTTTTGAGACTAGGCTCAAAAGAAAGCTGTCTCTGGTGTGGACCAATCAGTTTCAAGGACAATGCATTTATTATCAGAGTACGTTTTTTGTTTCCATTCTGACCACAAGTATTGTTGTTAATGCAGACATGATCCCTTGTAAAAGGTTTCAGTTTGGTGTTTTAACAACATAACACCTGTTTTGTTGCCAGATAAAATGGGGGAAAAACCTCTTCTTGCATCAATTCCCATCGAGTTGTCTCGTCAGGATTCTACAAAGGCTAGGCACGTGCAGACATTTGAAATTCATTTTGAAAGCCATTCACTTTTTTCCCAGGATGTTTTTTTTTGACGGCACAGCAGCCGAAGTGCGCGATTGTGAGACTCGTCAACGAGTGTCGTTCAGAGCAACTTGAGAACAACTTCGAGAAAACACGCATCACGGCGAAGCAAAACAAAACAAAAAACGCCACTCCCAACAACAGCAGCGCTTCATCTTCTTGGCTCTTTCGGTAAAGTCACGTAGAATGGAAATAATAAAATAAAACATAATAAAATAATGTATTAATATAATATAATAATATTATATAATAATATAATAAAATAACATAATAATATAACATAATATTATAATAAAATATTATAATAAAATAATAAAATAAAATAAACAAATAAAATAAAATTATATAATCATTTTTCTTTTTTTCTTATTTCCCTTCTACGTGACTTTACCGAAAGATCCAAGAAGATGAATCCCTGCAGTCACAAAAGCTTTAAATCGAAATTTAACAGCAGCACTGTTACAACCTGCGCCTCTTGTTTTCTTGAACTCCACTCGTTGGCAGTGACCCTTGTAGCGTGCCTGAATCTTGGCCGCTGAAAAGGCAAAACAGCGACACGGCTACGCAGGCAAGATGCGGCAGTACAACACGCGCATCATCTCCACGCCGACCACTCGAGTGCAGTTGCGATCATATGCCTGCGACAGGTGTGCTCAAGAGGGAATGTTTTATTATACTGTATCATAATAAGGGCATAAGCACAACCTCTTGGAAGCAAGGCCGCGTGTTGCTTATATACGCAGTAGTGTGCTTGTATCAGAAGTTGCCCTTTGCCTCCCCTTATATGACAACGGTGCTTATATAAGGTGTGCTTATATCCAGCTTATACTGTAAAAATAATGTAATTTATTTACCCATGATGCCCATAGAAGGACCTATTTTTCTCAGGATGGTCCTGCATGGCAATGTTTGGCCAATGCCTGTTAACGAGCGTTTAGGCACATGGAGAAAACCCACCACTCAAACGAGAAAGAAGGACTCACAGCTCCACACAGAGAGATTCATGAATTCATTGGCATATCCCAGCCACCTTACTGCCCGAACCTGCGATGCCTGTTATTGCCAGGCACTCTCCCATCTGATGCCGATCCAGGCTCAAACCTGCTTAGCTTTTTATAGAGTTGATGAAATCGACTCCGTTCAGGATGATTTGGTCATTTTTACAGGAGCATAACTGGTTGTCAATCGAGCTACCTAGACATGGCCAGAGATTGGTGTTGGTGTTAGTTATGGTCGGAGTTTGTGGGGGGGGGGGGGGCAGTGGGGGGCAATGCCCCTTTCAAACTGGACACCTTAATTAATTTATTTTCAGTAGTTTACAATTAAGATTGTTTTAAATATATATTAATCATATGCACCCGCGTAATATAGAAGTCAAACTCCGCCTATGCAAGGAGTCTGATTTTGCACAGGCAGTGCATACAACGTGACCCTAAACACTGTGATATAGGGGAAGAAGTGACTCGGGAATAGCCAATGTTGTGACATTTCAGAATTAGGACCCCCCCCTCTTTCCACGTAATATTTTGCTGAAAGAAACACCCATTCTAGAATTGAAGCGTTCGTGACTGCAAGGATTCATACTCTTAGTTCTTTCGTTAAAGTCACGTAGGTAAAAAATGAAATTAAAATTAATAAAAAATAAAACAATAAAATCACGACGTTTCGGAGGCAACACAAGCCTCCGTCTTCAGGTGAAACTGTCACAGCAAAATATCTGTTTCTTGGAATTTCTCTCACTTGATACAGATATTTTGCTGTGACAGTTTCACCTGAAAACGGAGGCTTGTGTTGCCTCCGAAACGTCGTGATTTTATTGTTTTATTTTTTATTAATTTTAATTTCATTTTTTACCTACGTGACTTTACCGAAAGAACTAAGAGTAAGAAACACCCATGGCGATACACAGGTTCACAACTATCAGACATGCATCGGATTGTTACGGAGGTGTACGTTGGGGGCTAATCCGTAAGCGCCATTTACTTTTCTAGCGGCTAAAGGGCCAACTGTATGCCAGAAATGTCAAATAAGGTAGAAATATCCAACACAAAACAACAAACACGTTGTCGGCAATTGAACACACACCTCCAGGCACTGTCACTACTGCTTGAAGGCTCAACAAGAGAGTGATGGTATTTAAATCTCATTAGAACTAAGCCACTGCCTGAATTAATTAAGGCCTTTAATCAACACACGGTGTTTGAGTCTCATTTCCATAACCGGTCCTCATTATTTCGTCTATTACAATGCGGGAATAACATTAAAGAAAGTTTTTTTTGCCCATTCAGTGTAGAATTATGTTACGTGTGTGTAAGCAATGCCACGTGTGTTAATAAGAAATGCCATGACTAATTGATCACGTGTGGCTGTAGGGCAAGGGTGGGGAACCTTTTTTCTGCCAAGGGCCATTTGGATATTTATAACATCATTCGCGGGCCATACAAAATTATCAACTTAAAAATTAGCCCGTTATATTTGGTCAAACATTGAATTAACTCACCCCTAATGCGATGGCTGGAACTGCTTCTCTTTGGTGAGACGTGTGATGTTAGCTGGGTATTGATGATGTTGCTACTCGCAACTGCTTTTCCAGGTTTGCTCCTAGATTTATTGAATTTCGAGTCCCGCCTGCGGTTGCCTTGGCAGGGCCACACCGAATGATTTCGCGGGCCTTACACGGCCCGCGGGCCGGACGTTCCCCACCCCTACTGTAGATGATAGGAAAATAGCATTTATATAAAAAGTAGGAATCGATTAAACCACCTCCCAGTGGATTGAGAAATTGTCAAGAGGTGGGGGCATTCATTATTTTTACGTTAACTTCAATGTAACATTCACATGATTGTAAAAAAACATTCATAGTCGTGAAATGAATGGATTAAATATATGCATCGTGAAAACATAGGTTTTACATAGAGGTATCATCCATTATTAAATAACTATGATTAGACAGCATTTTGAGCTATGTCTATAAAACACACAAACTCACACACAGTGGTGGGGATTAATAGTTTATCCTCATGTATGCCATGGCATTGGCGAAAACGGCATCTCAAGATTTGACAAATTCAACCAACATCTGTTTAGAATTGCTTTTTGTGTTTAGTGTTTGTTGTCCTTCCCCTGCACCTCCGATTAGCGCGGTTGGCTTCACCCTGCGCGAAAGAAGTTCAACACGCATCCATATCCAGTGTTGTAGTGTGCCGTTGATGATCACTCAATATCCACACGTGCAGTTATGAATGATGTAGAATCATGGCCACCCTGAACATGTGATAGTGCAGTGGCTGGATTCGAGTGAATTCGATGTTACCTAAAATCTGTTTCTTTTTTTCAAATGCCTCCTCTGTAGCAAAAACAATCTTGGCGTGACGGATGAAGATTTTAGTCCTGCAACAGAAAAAAAAAAGTTTACCTGAGTTGAGAAGTTAAATTCCCCACAGATCCTGAAGAAGCTCCCGCTACGCGGAGCGACGTCACGCCGAACAACAGAGCACAACCCGAAAACTTTTACGAGATTTGAATGATAATACATTTTACGTAAGTCAGCACTCGTATAGATTACTTCAAATGAGCCCTACATTTAGATATAAAGTCTCTTTAACACGGCAGACCTCCAGTCGTGGGGATTGCACGGACCTAGAAGAGACATTTTCTGCAAGACCAAAAAAATACCACAATGTCATGCGATATTGCGGCTCTAAATCATGTGCTCGTAAGAAAAGAAATTTCAACCAAATTTGTGAGTGGGAACAAGACACAAATCTGCATATAATCGTACAAATATGTAAATTGCACTGCTTTTCTATTTACGCTCGAATCGACCACTTTGTCTCCAATGGGATGCTTGACCTATCAACATCATCGCAAAAAGGACGTGCGCACATCCAATGCAACTAAACCACAGGGTGGATCACACATTGTCGCGTGTGCTACAGACATCTTGGCCCCGAGTCTCGCGCTCTATGTATATGCCACGTGGCTTGCCTGGCTGGCTGGCAGGACGTTTGGTTGAGTTAAAGGGGACCGTCACAGCCAGATTTGCTGTATCAAGTGAGGCAGGGATTCCAAGATGCAAGTTCTTAAATACAAGTTAAGGGGGAGGAGAGGGGGGGGCTTATCAGAATGTGGTAGCCAATGAATGGAACGTATCGGGAGGGGGGGGGGCGGGGCTAAAAGAGAGCACGAGGTGCACGTAGACGTCGACGTGGACGTGTTTGTGCGCAAGTCCCTGTTGGTGCACATGATGACGTATTGGAAGGGGGGGGCTAAAAGAGAGCACGGGGTGCAAGTGTACGTGGACATGGAGACTTGTGTTGCCTCCGAAACGTCGTGATTTTATTATTTTATTTTTATTAATTTTAATTTCATTTTTTACCTACGTGACTTTACCGAAAAAACTAAGAGTATGAATCCTTGCAGTCACGAAAGCTTCAAATCTCGAATGAGTTAAAGGGGTTTCCGTTTTTATCCAGGAGGTGGCAGCACAATGCCTACAGTGATCGCTGCAGAGGATTTTTGAAGATGGAGCAAGTGGACAATACGTGCACCTTCTTAGAAAGAATCCAAATAATATCAGCGTGTTGGAAATCCACTGCTGGATGAAAGCGTCCCCATGCTGTGCGCTGGTTATTGACGGGTCAGTGAAGGCGAGTGGCCAAGCAATGGTTTAGATGTCACTTGCCACTGATGTTAGCCGTGAGTCTGGAATGGAATTCAGGCTGTCAGCCTCATCGTGCAGTACATGAACGTCGGCGCCACTCCTTACTAAGGTGTCGGTGCTAAATGTTCACGTAACGTCACCACAACACGAGCTTTTCCATTTGCCCAATTTTGTGCAGAGCAGCTTCAACAACAACAAAAACGGTCGTCTGTGATTGTCTGTAATGCGCGAGCATGCGGAGATGTTGTACGCAACTGGAAAAAAAAATCTGACATTAATCCACTTGAGTTTGACGATGACAAGTTTCCAAAAACTACCTTCCCATTTTGTAGTCTTCTGGTTTGTATCCAATGTACTTCACGAGCTTGGCCACGCCCTCTGCCGGCAAGCCTCTCCAGTGCGGCCACGTCTCCGGACAGAGCGACTTGTATCTGGGAGATCAAGTTCAAGTTCATTTATTTGGTATAGCCCTGTGAGCCATTCGGCTCTTGAATCGGGTGCAACCGCAACAAACAAAAAACAAAAACATGAACAAAAAACATCTTAAAGTTAATATGTGACTAAGTGCAAACAGAAAATCCAAGAAAAGACAGCAAAATATTGCAGAAAAAAAACACCGTACACCAACACTGTGTGCAAAAATCCCAGTGGGATGCAAGTCAAACAACAACAACCATAAGACAACTTAGATTAAGGCCATCAGTCTAACTCTGTACTACAACAAACAAACATGGCTAAACCAATACACTTTTCGAAATCACCAAAATAAAGCCATGAAAGCAATGAAAAAGCAATCATAGGAACTGTGACGGAATTTTCACAATAAATGGCATAAACATGTACTACCAAAACCTTGCAGCCATAGCTGGCTGCATGAGCCACTCCACAACAGCAGGAGCATCAATAGGAGTATTATAATTTTTCAATGCACCTTTAAGATCGAAAGGAACCTGGATAGCAAAATGTACCCTGCTGTATATCCGAACCCCATGTCGCCATCTGGGATTGCCACGACAGTGCATTCTTATACAGGATGCTTACAATGTTTTTGACACTTATATGGGACTGTCGTTCGTAATGGAAACATAACGGATAATACACTGTAACATGATAACACATCTTCTTGATTATTTCGGTAAAGTCACGTAGAATGGAAATAATAAAATAATAAAAATAAACATTATAAAATAATTCTCACGACGTTTCGGCCACAACGCAAGCAGCCGTCCTCAGGTGGAGAGCATGTCTGTCGAGTAGACAGAGTCTGAATGACACACTCCAGGCTTGGAGCGACAATTTAAGCTGGGATGGAGGGCAGACCTGCTCTCCACCTGAGGACGGCTACTTGCGTTGTGGCCGAAACGTCGTGAAAATTATTTTATTATGTTTTATTTTTATTATTTTATTATTTCCATTCTACGTGACTTTACCGAAAGATTTCAATTTAAAGCTTTCGTGACTGCAGGGATTCATCTTCTTGGTTCTTTCGGTAAAGTCACGTAGAAGGGAAGTAATAAAATAATAAAAATAAAACATAATAAAACCGAAAGAACCAAGAAGATGAATCCCTGCAGTCACGAAAGCTTTAAATCGAAATGATAACAAATGTAAATGTTAATAGCTTCAAAAAGTCAAAGGGTCTCCACTTGTTCACCAGCATTGTCAACGCGTGCCTGGAATCTTCTCCAAGTGGTCTCCAGAGCCCGGAGGCAGCACATTTTTTGTGGTATTGTTGGAAATTCTCAGAAGTGTTCAAAAAATTTTGACGCACCCTGTATAACAGAAACACAATATAATAATCCCATATAAATAACATGGATCCTCAACACTACTGACCTCTGAGGATCTCACAAAGCTAAGCAGATATTTTGGGCCTGGCAAAAACTTGGAAGGGTGCCCAGCAAGGGGCATGCCAGGTGTTGTGGACATGGGGCTGCGTGGTGGAGATTATTGAATCGACATGCGTTTAGCTTTTGAGTGCCACGTCCCTGTATGCGTGAATTTTCTCCAGGTACTCCAGTTTACTCCCCCATTCCAAAACATCCCAATGCAGGACGTTCCTGAAAAGCAGTTTTGAGAGTGAGTGCCGCTTTTCCAGTGAAATAGTTGGCATTGTTACGTTATTGTAATAAATAATCAGTACAAAGAGGAATACATTAGACTGAAGATGAAGGGGATTCCTTGTCAAACAAGTATGGAACGACACTCGTATACTCAGTGCATTCGTCTGCCAGGGCTGAGGCTGTACACATGAAAATCACTCTTGATATCCCACACTGTCACTCATGTTTATCAGCCTCAATGATGAAGTGTTGAGTCGACCCTGATCGAGATTTAAGCTTGCACCATTTCCATTGCAATAATGTCTTCTTTCCACTGTTCAACCGTAGTGAAATTCCGAGAGGCAACTATTCTGAAATATTCGGTGTGTAGACAGTTGCCGTATAATGTTCCAATAATGAAGGCAATACAGTTATCGAAGTTGTATACAGGGTGTTTGAAATACATGGACCCGATTTGAAATCGCTCTATCTCTGCAACCACGAACCGCCCATGAATGAAACTCTTACCACTTGAAAGTTCGGGGCATAGAGAGGGTGGGGCATAGAGTTTCAAATGATGACCGCTCGATGCCTCTCCCAGCGTACAAACAGCCCCTAGCCTCAGTGATTCACAAGATGGCGACCCCGCAACACACAAGGCGTTTTGCGTTCTGCAGTTCAGCAAAACTGAATCCGTTATTGCGGTGCAGCGTGCGTTTCATCACACCCTTGCGACTTTTTCTTGTGGGGATACGTCAAAGACCGTGTTTTTGTGCCACCATTAGCGACTAATCTGGATGACCTCAAAAACAGAATCATGGCAGCGGTGACTTCAGTGGAAAAAGACACTTTGAGATGCGTTTGGGACGAATTCAGCTATCGTCTCGATGTTGTCCGTACAGCAGGTGGAGGGCACATAGAGCATTTATAAAATGGTTACTAAAACTTGATAACTCATTAAACCGTTTGTAACTTTTTGTGTAATTGTAACATGGTGCCATCGTGAAATATACTACTTTGAAAATTGGTTCATCTTTTTAAAACACCCTGTATATAACACATTTTGTGAATATTCTATCATTCTGGAGGTGCTGAGTTGTGCGCTGCACCACAAAATATCCCATGGGCACAGACTAGTCGACTTTCATATTCTTGGGTTTTTTCGGTAAAGTCACGTAGGTAAATTTTTTAAATTTAAATTAATAAAAGTAAAATAAAAAATAAAATAAAAATCACAGCGTTTCGGAGGCAACACAAGCTTCCGTCTTCAGGTGGAACCGTCACAGCACGCTTGCTGTATCAAATATTTTTTACCTACGTGACTTTACCGAAAAAACCCAAGAATATGAATCCTTGCAGTCACGAAAGCTTCAAATCTAGAATTAGTCGACTTTCCTTTGCGGTGTAAATCACTGTTCTGGAAGCTCAACCTCACCAGAAGCATCACATGGCCCCCCTGTCCCCGGGCTTATTTTTGGGTCAGATGAGCAACCCGGATAACAGGTGAATGTAATACCATACATACCAGACCTTGTGATTGTACAACATATCTGAGGAGAAAGGAACTGTGAACCATTGTTTTAAGAAATATTGTAAAAGTATCGTGGAGTTTATGATCTTCACGTAATATCTGTGGTGGCTCTGAAAGGCTGGAGGCAATCTCTGTTCTTTTATTGCACTGACGATGCCTTCTCCGCTGCTCTGCGCAGGTGCTCAAACCCCCAAAGACGCTGTATGAGATTTGGCAGGGGTCATATATATTTTTTTCATTTTTTTTCTTTTTTTTCACCACTATGCTATCGTGCGTGTCTCCAGGCCTTTTGAAAGAGATAATATGTTACTGCCTTTTTTGTGGAGCTCACTAAAGTTCATCCCCATATAATGAAAATAATAATCGAGAAGATACTAGAAATGGGCCATTTAACAAAATATCTAAAGTGTCAACAAATGGCTTCAAAATTAATATGCTAAACAAATGTGACAGCCTGTTTAAAAATCCACATTAATAACCAGAAAATACCGTACCACAGAGGCAGCATGAAATATTAATAATTCTTGCCTGGAAAAGTGTAAACCTAGAAACGTTTGCAAAGAAAAGAAAGTATGGATTTGTACATCCTTTCTAAAGGGATTGTGATTTTTGTTATGCTTATGTTACACTTAAATCTTGACTTAAAGCTTTCGTCACTGCAGGAATTCATATTCTTTGGGTCTTTCGGTAAAGTCACGTAGATAGAACAATACAATTATAAAAATAATAATAAAATATCACGAAGTTTCGAGAGGGGGTAGGGGGGAAACGTCGTGATGTTTTTATAATTTTCTATTTTTATTCACTTTATTTTAATTTTTATTATTTTATTGTTCTATCTACGTGACTTTACCAAAAGACCCAAATAATATGTTACACTTGTTTATCCTGGTAGATATACGTCTGTCGTGTTACTGGTCAGTAGCAGGAATAAAACACAAACAAACCTGTATTCCAATGAGTGTATACACATCTAAAAACACACGCTATAATGACCCGTGGATAATTAAATTCATAATCGCCGGTGACAAACATGTTTTTTTTAAATTAAGACCGTAAATGCTTCTCACTTGCCCCGTGAAATTGTGAACTGAGTGGGTCGCATTTAGGTTATGATTTCACCCAGATCGCCCAAGCAAAAGAGGCAACGCTGTTTCACGTGCCTCAATTTCATCTCCTGTTTAAATAAGGTGATATTGACTGACCTGACGAGGAAAGGAAGACTGGAAAACAGACATAAGCACAAACAGCCCTGGCACTCTCCCCCGGGTTGCGGTGGGTGCGCGTGTGTTTGCATACACAAGCATACACAGAAGCATGCCACTGTGGTTGAGAACATTTTTCCGTAACCCCGCCAATGCCGATGTAGACTCCGCTGTTTCTGCTCTGACTTGACGCGCCCAAGGGGAAGATTCTGAGTTAGTCACAAACTTACCAGAGGCGTATAGCACGTCGAGAGCCAACGATTGTGAAGGAGTCATCAGCAATTCACCAACACCATGAATGCCCCTTTTGATATGGCGGGTAGCGATCGCTGTAGTCGCTGCGTAAAAAATTTACCCGTAAAAACAAAGTTTTTCACTATAAATCCTTTATATGCGTGGCGGCTAGAGTCCTCTCCTCCTCTGGCTTGAGATGGCTGCCACCTATGGGTCAGATGATTGCCTGCCACCATTAAGCAATTGGTAATTAAATAAATAAAACAATTTCCTAAAAAGTGTCAAATTTTGGAAACATTTTTCACGAAAATAAATTGTCACGCACAACGAGTCTGTGTGCAAAATGTCAGCTCGATTGGATCACGGGAAGTGGGTTAAAAAACGACCGAAAGATTTGCACGGTCGTAAGCGCGCAAGCAAGCAAGCAAGTGAACTTAATATAAAGGATTTAAAAATACCATCAAAGCAAAATGCGTAATTGCAACACAGGGATTCAATTGCTTTTGGGATATGCTCCGGACTTGTTGGTAGAAATGCGGCGGCCACCTACTTATAATGTAAAATAAGCGAGTAAATTCACCGACACATTCCCTCAGCTATGCTGCGTTCTACAGTTACCACCAGCATTATCCTCATCCTGATATGTCGTACAGATCAAAGTGGATGTGAGCTGAAATCACCGAAACGAGGTACTGTCGATGGACACATCGCAGAAGTGGGTGGGTGGGGGGGGGGGATCCAACATCATAACCGCCATCATCTCATGTGGCATGGCCGAAGGAAAAAGTTGAAGACGATCCGAGACTAATTGGATGACAAATGTGACAACACGCACTGATAAGACGCCAGTGCAACAACTGACAATGACTGCGAAGGGAAAGAGTCATGAAAGTTGACAGCCGAGGCATCGGCGACGGCAACCCCATGAGTACTGCGGTTCAGGGATGGATGATGATCTGATAATAATGAAAATGACGACTTCTAGATTTGAAGATTTCGTGACTGCAAGGATTCATATTCTTAGGTTTTTTCGGTAAAGTCACGTAGATAAAAAATTAAAATTAATAAAAGTAAAATAAAATAAAAATCACGACGTTTCGTCACAGCACGATAGCTGTATCAAGTAGCTCTTACTTGATACAGCTATCGTGCTGTGACGGTTCCACCTGAAGACGGAAGCTTGTGTTGCCTCCGAAACGTCGTGATTTTTATTTTATTTTTACTTTTATTAATTTAAATTTTTTATCTACGTGACTTTACCGAAAAAACCTAAGGATAATGCCGACGACGATGATTATTTTCACACACGGGCACCCGGCAGTACCTCTGTAAAAAGAAGTGGTACTTGCGGCGGTATGCGAAGCCTGCCCTCCGGACACGCACGCTCTCCACGAGACCCAGGTATTTGATCTGGTGCCGCACCACCGTGTCGTCAAACGCATCTGCGGTGAAACGCATGCAATTCAACGGTGAATTAACCAGAGTGATTTGCACACGCTTTATACACAGTGCTATATTATTCATAATAATATTTGGTGGAGCGGTGGCGCAGTGGTTAGCGCAACGCGTTTTCGATTAGCGGCCACGGCTGACGTGGCTGGCGAGCGATATCCGAACTGGTCCTGGGTTTTCCCCCACTTCACGAACCCGTAGTATAGTATGGTACAAAAAACCTGCACAGGTGATGAGAGCGTGGGGAGGGCCTTCTTCCAGCAGTGGATTGGCAATGAGATGTATCTTGATTTGAAACTTTCGTGACTGCAGGAATCTATACTGTTTGGTTATTTCGGTAAAGTCACGTATGTAGAAATAAAAATAAATAAAATAAAAATAAAATAAAACAAAAAATAATCGCGTTATTTTTTGTTTTATTTTATTTTTCTACCTACGTGACTTTTACCGAACGAACCAAAGAGAATGGGATGCATATCATGCAGAGATTTGTGTTACCGTATTTCACCAGACCAGTCAGTTAATGTTAGGAACAAGTGAGGAGGGGTCGTGGAGGGGGGGGGCTGTAGATGTTCACCATACATTCACGGAATTGTTATGAACCTGGGGATGCTTTCACGCAGCGTGTTGACCACAATGCCACTGCTCCCCCTACTGCAATTAGATTTGTATTACTGTTATTTCCCAGTGGGGGCTGGTCATTAGGAGCTTGTGGTGGGTGGGGGGCCTTAATGACCACAGAGAAAAAAAAGACAATTGAAAAAAAAAACAATACTTGCACATGTTAAAGTTCACGACCTGCATGTTACGTTACGTTTCGGACTGGATGAAGTGTCCTTATTTGCCTCTGGTACTCTGCCTTGAGGGCAGGTCTTTGGCTGCCACCCATGATCAATCATCCTTCACTGTTCTCTGCCCTTCTCTTCACTTCCACAAGTGACCCTTCCTTAAACTCCTCCGACATCCCAGTCCTCCAGCTTTGCTCCAATTCCTCTCCCGTTCCGTTCTGCCTTCCATGACCTTCTTCAACAAACCGCCCCCTCGCAGAACGAGTCCAATGTGGTTCATCCCACTCCTTCTGCTGACGTCGATTTGTCATTCTTCTTTCACTGATGCCTTTCCAGATCTCTCCAATTTGCTCTTCATTTCTGTCCATCTTTTCATCTCGGCATCCTTCTCCAAAATCCATATCTCAAACAAAAAATAAGGATCTCTTCGTGTTTGGAAGCAAAACAAGGCGGTGTCGTGGCCCCCGGTAACCCACGTGGACAAGATGCCTCCCCACTCGCCGCCGCAGCGAAGCTATCGTGACAAGTGTTCAAGTGTCCTTTCGCTCAAGCTCAATTCTCATTTGCAACAAAAGTGACCTAGGGCGCCAAAAGGGATCGTAAAGCGCAGCACAAACCAAAGAATACGATAGCAGTTGAAACAAAAGAGACGTCAGCACAAAGGACAACTTTGTCAACGTCCCGAGAGTGTGGTGCAACATGAATAGAGCAGATAGAGACCGCCCCACGCATGCCGCTTTGTGTTGTTGTGGGCAACTAAGGGGCACATAACAGCCTTGCTCCCTTGCCCGCAGTGCCTTGCTCTGTGCGTCAAAGGCGCTGTTGGTTATTTATTTTAATGCCAATTAGTTGATACTTTGTTTTTTTTTAATGGCCCCTTTTAAGTATCTACTCTATTATATGGGGATGAACTTGGTGAGCTGCACAAAAAAAGGGCAGTAACCGACAGTTACATATTAACTCTTTAAAAGGGCCTGGAGACACACACGATAGCGTAGTGGTGAAAATAAAATTGGTCAGGGTGCAGGAGGTCGTGGGTTCGATTTTGACCCTGACGCCTGCTGTATAGTTTAAGCCTGCATGTGTCTATCCCCGTGGTCACGTGGATTTTTCTCCGGGTCCTCCTGTTTCAGAGTATTTGGTTTGCTATCAATTGCCACTTGATGAGCCAATTCGTTGAGCTATCATTTGTGGCCAGAAAGAGCTACATTGCTCAGTCGGCATTACCTGGTAAAATAAAAGTAGGAATCGTAAATGGTATTATGATTACACTTGTGTGCCCAGCAAAACCTCAATGAGTCTCAATAATATTTGTCGGGCGTGTCCTACCAGGTCTTCGCAATAGGGGGCGATATAGCTGTGTGTCATTCCAATTGAGTAATTTGCAGGTATTTGTTTCAGCATTGCAACGTCTGTCCAATACCAGTTACCAGTTAAATGGTATGTTTTTGTTGTTGATGTTGTTATTGTATATTGCCACAGGTCACTCTCGCAAATGAGACTCATCCTGATCTCTTGGGTTCTCAAATTGTAAAACAAATCAACTTGAGAGTGAGACTTATTTGACGGTTACTATGCACCTGAATATATTTAGTTGTGACGCATCCACCCACCCCCCACAACTCCACCCCCCCAATGCCCTCACCCCCCTCCCCTTTCCATGAGCTTCCATGACCGTCAGTACCCAATGTACCCCCCCCCTCCCCCAGGCATCCCTGATTATATTTTGGGTATCCAGCGGTAGATTCCAAATCATGGGGCGGAGTTTTTTTTTTTTTTGGGGGGGGGGGGCACGGCAACGCCCCTCCCCCCAAACTGGACACCTTTACAAACTGTACACTTTTATTAATTTAATTTGAGTAGTTTACAGTGAAGATTATAAATAAATACAATTATATGCACCCACGATTACTAATGTGAGGGTCAAAGCGAACCCCCTGTCCCCCACCCCCCAAATATAGAAGCCAAACTCTGCCTATGCTCCCAATAGTGCCCTAGTTGGTAACAAAAAAATAACAACATGTCGTAACACTATCGATGAAGATGGCAACATCATACTGCAAACACAAACATAGCATACAGAACAACGTCGCACATCCGCCCTGACCGATTAACCGCCCACACACGCACTGCAGTATTTGTGTAATGCGGGCGTAAACGGCCCTCCGGAGGTGACGTCAGGAGGGGAGGAGTTAGGTCACGTGGGGGGGTGAGGGGTTAGGCTATAGAAGGAGGGGAACCGGAAGAGGACGAGGAGTGACGGGGAACCAGGAACAGAGAGAGGCCGCGAAGGGCGAAGCGGAGGGTGGCGAGATCGCCACGAACACGGGGGAGCGAGGATCGGCACCGTTGGCCAGCGGTGACCGACCCGAAGCAGCGAGGAGGCTGCAGTCAGCAGCGGGGCTGCATACAGAGTCAGCAGCGGGTCTGCATATGGTAGCAGCCAGAGGGTCTGCACATGGGGGTAGCAGCGGGAGTCTGCATAGAGGTAGCAGCGAGTCTGCAGGGAGGAGGTTACAGTAGATGAAGCAGAGAGTCAGAGGGAAGAAGGAGCTATAATAGCAGTGAATAGCCGGGGGCTACAAATACAGAGTTATAACAGAGTGCCGTGTGGGTGAGGACGAGAACCCAATAAAAGACACGAAGACAGAAGGAAGTGTCCGAGTCCTTTTATTACACTGGTGTCAGAAGTGAAACGGCATGGCGAAACAACTGAGGAAAAAGAATATTCCATCCCCGGCGTCGGCTTCATCTTCGGACGACGACGATCTTCCTCCTGAGGTCGGCTTCACTTCGGCGGAGGGAGAGATCCGTGAGGGCCCGGGCGTCGAGGAGGTGGCCCCTTCGTCCGACCCATCTGCGTTGAAGGACGAAGATTTAAGATGGATCCGGATGGCGGAGCAACTGGCAACCCTAAAAACCGTCATCACAGAGTTGTGTGACCTTGTCACGCCAAGGGCAGCGTTGGAAGGTGATGGTGGTGATCGGCAGGAGCCCGGGTCGTCTTCGATGGCGCCGCCATCGGCCACGCGGCGTGAAGACGCCATCTTGGGCGTGGCGCACCACGGAAGGCGGGAAGCCGCCATTTTGGGGCCGCCGCGAGGATCGTCCGCCATTTTGGCGACACAGCGTTGCGACGCCTTGCTGAACTTACCGCCGGAAGAGTCAGCGACGGACGGAAGCAAGCCAAGGAGTCGCAGTCGTCACCTTACAACCGTCAAAGAGTTCTCCATCGGGGGCGATTGGAGTGCGTTCGCCTGCAGATTTTTGGCGGCGGTACGTACGGCAAGGTGGACGGACGCTGAGGCACTGGAGGTGCTCCCGACTCTTCTTGATGATGAGTCCGTTCGTTTTTTTCGCTCTATAAAAGCTGCGAAGAAGAAAACTCTGCGAGGGGTGTTCGAGGAAATGGCGGACGCGTACGAGCCACCGGATGACGCCCATCGCCGATTCGTGCAGCGGCAACGCGCACCTGAGGAGTCACCTGTAGCGTACAGGGGCGCCGTGTTGGAACTCGCTATGGCCGCTTACCCGGAGACGGAGCCTGACCTGCTGGAACCACTCATCTTGGGGAAGATGTTGGAGTTGTCCCGAGATCTCGGCATTCCCATGCAGGCGTGCGGTCACGAAAAACTCACGTCCCGGACCGCGGCCAAGTGTTTGGACGCCCAGTTCAATCTCCGCCGCTGGAAACAGGTGACGGCGTGGACGGGCGGTCCTGTCGTCGATGGGGGGGCCGTAGGGTGGGACCCTACGAAGGCCGTGTACGTGCCGGATGCGACCGGCCCAAAGGAGTTGTCGGCCGCCTCCACTCCGTGGCCGGCTCGAAGCGGGCCAGGGCCGCGGGCTCCGCCGCCGGCGCGGCCGCGTCGGGACGGGGTGCCCGCTGCGCGCCGCCCCGACGTCGACTGCTTCCGCTGCGGCCGTCGGGGCCACTATGCCAGGGACTGCTGGGCCCGGGTTCCGGGGCCGCCCCAGCAGGAGGCCTCGACAGCGGACGCCCCAAAGAAAGACCCTCCGGCACAGACAAGCCGGCCGTGACAGCGCAGGGGGGAGGACGTTCCGCTCGTGGGACGTCGACTGGAGCCGCAGAACCCACGGGACCTGCAGCTCTTCCTATCCCTCCGCGGACGCGAGTACGGGATGTCTCTGGACGCGAGCGGGACAGTGGCGGGCCTCCAATGGCGACGGAAGAACTTGCGCCCGTCGCCCCTAAAACCCTTCCACGTTCCCGCTCGGCGGGTGGTCTGCCGACCGTCCGGGACGGCCCGGCTGCCCGTACTCGCTCGAAATCCCTCACGTTTCGTTAGATTGTGTTGTGTTGTGTTCTGGTTATATTGTTGTTGCATGCTTCGTGTCTTTTTACGTGTTGGCCCTTTACACCCGCATTTCTTGTCAGGTTGCAATTCAGCCGAGGTCGGCTGGATTTTCTTTATGGGGGAGGGTGATGTAATGCGGGCGTAAACGGCCCTCCGGAGGTGACGTCAGGAGGGGAGGAGTTAGGTCACGTGGGGGGGTGAGGGGTTAGGCTATAGAAGGAGGGGAACCGGAAGAGGACGAGGAGTGACGGGGAACCAGGAACAGAGAGAGGCCGCGAAGGGCGAAGCGGAGGGTGGCGAGATCGCCACGAACACGGGGGAGCGAGGATCGGCGCCGTTGGCCAGCGGTGACCGACCCGAAGCAGCGAGGAGGCTGCAGTCAGCAGCGGGGCTGCATACAGAGTCAGCAGCGGGTCTGCATACGGTAGCAGCCAGAGGGTCTGCACATGGGGGTAGCAGCGGGAGTCTGCATAGAGGTAGCAGCGAGTCTGCAGGGAGGAGGTTACTGTAGATGAAGCAGAGAGTCAGAGGGAAGAAGGAGCTATAATAGCAGTGAATAGCCGGGGGCTACAAATACAGAGTTATAACAGAGTGCCGTGTGGGTGAGGACGAGAACCCAATAAAAGACACGAAGACAGAAGGAAGTGTCCGAGTCCTTTTATTACATTTGTATTATGCTGTAACCATGATCTTTCTATATGATGTTGGAAAAATCCAACGCTTTTTCTCACGCATATCTGCCTACACCTCAGTCTCCAGCGAGTCAAAACGTACGCCGTCGCACCGTATCATTGTACGCACACACACACACCATCACAGGTTGAACGATTTTCAAATCTCTAAAGGCGTAGGCGTGATACATCAACAGCAAATGCATCTCGACGGTCCCGAAAATGCAACACGTGTTGCAATACCACTGAACGTATCGCCACAAGGGCTGCTCAATCCGCATCTTGACACAGGTGTGCTTGTGGTTGCGACCACAACACTGCCACAAATTAAACAGGTGTTGCCCCACCCAGCGAGCAACTTTTTTATTATTATTATTCTTTCACTTGTGAAACATTCGCATGGCAAGAGTCGCTGGGAACCGTTTTAGTTGTTGAAAGATATTCCACTTTGTCAGTCACAGCGGAGAAGAGGGAGAAATAAAACATGACGTCCCACCGGTCTCATTATGAAGTCAAACTAATCTATCATAATTCTCAAAATACGTTTTAAAAATAAATAAAAAAGAGAGAAAGCCCCCATAATGGGTGATGATGCTAATTGATATTCATGGAGGCGGTAAGCACGATTTTCGTTCAGTTGTTGTCCTTTGGGGAAGCTCAATTGAGAACATGATGCTCTTTCATCACATTGTCAACTGAGCAGTCGGCATACATTGTGCACTGCAATAGTTACGCAACAATAATGCATAATAATTGAGTTGTGTTTGATAGAGCACCCTCCCTTACGCAGCAGTGTCTCAGAGTGCTTTACCCACAATAAGCAAATTACTTCATTTCTGAAAGGGGTACCCCCAGTGGCAGCGGTCACTGTGGGGCAGAAGGTGATTCAGCACTTGGCTTGCTCATGGGCGTTAGTCTGCAATTAGGGGGCAATGATTGCTATGCGTATTGCAAATTGAGTAATTTACGGGGCAAATTCAAAACTTGAGCAAATTTGGACCATGATGCCGATATACAATGGCCTTCTCATTTCACACGTCATGAGGGATATTTAACGTTCACTATGAAGTAGACGGCATATTTTTTACGGTTTATACAACTGCAGCATTAACCAGGGCGGCCGCCAGGATCGAACCACGAAACTTTGCAACGAGCAGCGAACATGATGCCACTGGGCCACGTTACTGCCCACGGATCTTTCCAAACACTGTTCGCACATTTGTTCCAATGGCCACTACAAATGTTCTGAACGTGCCAATGGTTGCTACTATGTTTGCGAGAAATACGTGAATATTTAAAGTCAACAGCAGTTGCTTATAGTCTTGAATAAGGTTGTCACCTCTGAGATATAAAATAAGCGGGACATGTCATGGGAAGAAGAATATCTCAGAAAACCAGAAGAGGAGAGATCCACATTGTCTAGAGTGGCACAACATGATTACGCAACTGACAAAAACCAGGGTTTTTATAGTCCTGGGAAGACTTCCTAGTTTTTTAATCGAGGACGATCGTGGGAAAATTAGGACAGGTGGCAACTCTACTCTGAAAAGCCGAGCGAAATCTACACCGGAACAGGCAGAATGGGTTCAACATTCACGACTCAATTGGCATCGTCTCAATTTCTATCGCCCCCATGCGCCACGGCGGGAAATATTTAACGGAAAACATTTTGCTGACTTTGAGGATCTTGTACAGGCGTGTTTAAATCAATTCACCACTACCTAAGTAATCATGTAACTTCTAACGTTACAAATGGTAACACAAATAAAGCGTTGCCCTGCTCTGGTGAAAGGATTATTCATCTCGCGACTCGATGCTGATAGCACAATTGGAGTAAAAATTGAGGAAACATTTCAAAAACATGTTGAATAAATAACAATTACAAGAGCTACCACGACAACTCCACTTGCGATTAAAGAGAGCACACGTCACCGTTTTGTTTACACTATGGTTGGCAACTATAACTTGACATCATTCTCATCGCCGCATGTCAGACAGAAGATTGATTTTCGCTTTTATCAATACGCAGTTGCTGACCCCAGGCCCAAAGGCCCCAAAAATGCCAAGTGGCCAACAACAAACACCACTATCAGAGCTGTGATAGATCATAGTTCATGCGTTTTAATTTTTTACTGAGCGAGCTCGGGAAATTAGATGATATGAACAAAGTTGAGCAGAAGGTGAAAGTTGTGGACTGGGTTTGGAGTGTGAATCTCCAAAATCTACTGTGCAACGGCATTTTCGCAGCCAATTCAACTGTCCTCATACACCGAGCAGGCAGTCAGTGAGTCAATGTGTCAAACGATTCTGTAATGCTGAGAGTGTTCAGGGGGGTAAGCCTTAGGGCAGCAGTTAACAACTCAAAACTGTCATTGTGTCAAGGACCCGCGCGTTGTCATATTAAGCGTATCTTGCACCGATCCTTCATCATCATCCGCCATGGTCAATCCACTGCTGGATGAAGCCCTCCCCCCAAGCCGCTGCCGCCACCTCTCACGATCCTGTGATGTGATAATACACCTGGCACATGCACAACACATTCATGCGGAGGGAGCTGGTAGGAACGTTGGGTTGCTCGGTCAATGGCCAGGGTCAACGGCGGCGAGGTGTATTCCGCAAATATGCCGGACTGTGAGGGCGGGCACAAGCCGGCGTGAGTAGGTTAAACATTGAGTTTTATAAGGGCACCACGGGGTGACCAGCCCCTCCCCACCCAGCCCCACCCCTCCCACCCCCCACCCAGCCCCACCCTCCCCACCCAGCCCCTCCCCACCCTCCCCACCCAGCCCCTCCCCACCCTCCCCACCCAGCCCCTCCCCTCCCAACCCAGCCCCACCCTCCCCACCCAGCCCCTCCCCACCCTCCCCACCCAGCCCCTTCCTGCACGACGGACGGACACAATAATCCCCTGTGGGCTGGTGTAACCAGGAGGTTCCTACCAGTAAAAACTGATTTCATAGCTCCAATCTCCTCGCTGGACGTCGTCATTAAGGGAAGAGAACCCCCTTCAGGGCGTGCTCTATGAAACGGTAAATTAGTCGCGTGTTCGATTAGACGTTATAGAATTTCAAAATGGCGTTGAATTGACTGAATTACCCAGTGTTATGATAAAGATTTACATGAGGTTATGCAATGGGTGGGCGTTTACTTACCAGCTTGTTTTTCATTGTTGGGTTTGATACAGCGAACGTAGGAAGGGTCTTTGGACATCAGGATCTCCATGAGTTTCCCCAGACTGCTCTTAAACTGGGCACCAATCTAATTTAAAAAATAACATTCAAAACATCCCACAGATATGCCGCTATCAAAATTTACCATGAAGTATGTCAGATGAAAATGTGCAGAACTGGTTCAAGTGTGCTTCGCGTAAACAAACATCTATAACTTTTGCTCGATTATAAAATTGAATTATGTATTTACAGTTCCTGGCCATTTCTTCTCGTTCAGTTCTTGGGGGCAGAAGCACTCCTTGATTATCACATTTCCAGCTCCACACATGACCTAATTGTGGCGAAGGCATACATACACACACATATACATACACACACATGCACATATGGGAATTATTGACACGAATAACATATACAGATGATCGTGGCTGGCTGGTGTAAAATTGTAAATGTCTTTCGAGAAGGATTATAAATATAATGCCTTTAACTTAAATAAAAACATCTTTAAACCATTTTTTTTATTATTAAGGCTCCCAAATATTCAGCCCAGAGGTTGACTGGTATCACTCTTAGGGCATAGTCATATTCAGGTGCTGAACTGCGTTAAGTCTTGCGATAAATATGTACACATAAATGATCTCGGTTGGCTATGTACGATGCGAAAGAAGTTCAACATACATACATCCCCACCATCAGTGAACTGAGTCATTTGCCTTCCGTGAAGTGTGACATTAAAACTGATGGAAATCAGGAAAAGGCCACTACCAATTAACTAACTTTACATAGGATTGCCCAATTTTTATAAACAATTCATTTTTCAAGACAACTAAACGACTGCGTTTTTGTTTGCCCTCTAATCTCAAGTTAATTAATTGAATGCATTATTAAATAACAGCCAGTACTCCCATTACTTCAGAAAATTGGCAGTAATACAATACCCATGAAACCTTGACTTAAAGCTTTCGTGACTGCAGGAATTCATATTTATTAATTTTTTATTTTCTTTGAACCTATCTATGTGACTTCACCAAAAGACCCAAAGAATATGAATACCCATTAAGTGTATTCTGTTCCAATTAGCTGTGATGTAATGACAAAAAAGGGGCCTCCATTTATTACAGTTTCATGTTTTTTTACAACAGGATTAGGTGGTACGGATTACTTACCCAGTGACCTTTCCTTTTAAATAATAATACAAAATCCATTCTATACGAGAATAATCACCTTTAACCAAACCGGCGAGCAATTAAGAACATTGCAGTAAGAACATTGCTTGCGAGAAAATATTATAGATACCGCAAAGTGTACTAACGTGCATGACGAAATGTTAAAAACAGTAACCCGTGAAAGTCGAGTTTTTTCGCGCACCATACGTGGTTACCCAGACTCAGAAAATGTTTCGATAATTTACTTTACACCTGACACCCCTTTGTTCGCCATGTGCTGCACAAGTGTGACTTACAAATAATCTATGAAGAAGACGTTAACTTGCACAACCAAGTTTTAAACAAAATGACATTAAAAAAACAAACCTCCTTTAGGTTTCTCAAGAGTAGGTCCTGATTTTTGTCCAGGAATCCTGTTAAACACGAATGATCAGTTACAACGCATACAGTTTTCTAACAAATGACTGTTTGTCATTTAAAATGACAATGAGTAAGAATCATGACATCGAAATGCTGCGAGGGACTGGCATTGGGAGACTATCATCCAGCAGTTGATAGATAATGGTTGTCAAAGGTAATGATGATGGCGATACAGAACAATATATACATTTATTTTGTATACTTGTTTTAGGTGTGAACTAAATCAAACATTACACTCATAATCAACGTTTTTGGGTTTAGATCGCGTTATTTATAAATGTGTCGTAACCCCCCACCACCCGTTGACAAAAGACAAATAGTTCACTGCTTTAGCCCACCGGTGTGTTGAAGCGTGAAACCACAACATTTACAAAAAACAATTTTGGTGAAGTATAGTAAAATTGTAAATGTTGTGGTTTCACGCTTCAACACACCGGTGGGCTAAAGCAGTGAACTATTTGTCTTTTGTCAACGTGACACTTTTTTACTGATTGGCCGTTTCGGGTGGTGGAGGGTTACGACACATTTATAAATAACGTGATCTAAACCCAAAAACGTTGATTATGAATAATATTGGTCGCGAAAGCCTGCTACGTGTTAAACTGACAAAACATTACACTGCAAGCTAATACACGTGTGTGACAACCAGAGCTCGTTGTGGCAGAGGCGAAGAGGTTACCGGTTTTGTCCTATGAACTTAGTGACCTGAGTTTGATATCCGGCCTGGGCTAACATCACAAGAGAGTGATGTGTGATACAGCTGTATGGGCCCCCTTTGCCCACCTGCACTGACCAGCATGGTGAAGTATGGTAAAAACAACCCCCATTAACCATATGGCATGGGCAGGCCTTCATCCAATTTTCCAATGTCGATAAATTATCATAATTATTAACTTTGTGTGCTAATTTTATTTAGCAATTAAACTGCATTTCATTTCATTAACTATAAATACTAACCCATCTTGCTAAAAGCTTTTGGTAAATAAAGTAAATGTAAAGACATGTTTAGTCTGTCAATAACCACAGTAGAATAAGCACGAAGATCTGATGTAACATAAAGTAATTCGATGTACAGTGGCGTTCACGTATCACATTTTCAATTAAACAGTTTTCAAATGGTTCGGTACTTATTTTTGTCTACTTGTCTGACCTTTCACGTTGTAGTTAACCTCTCCAGCATAGTGCCGCAGTTGGAATTCATCTCGTTTGATTTCTCTTCTGTTCTTATGGTCGCCAAGTTTGTGGCTGCAAGTAAATGCATAAACGAACAAATTCTGTCTCACATATGCTGACATTTCCCCATTTTATTCCATTTGTTCGATCACTTATGTTACGTGAGGTTAAGATTCAGTTCAGAAATCTTAGAGCAGTGGAGCTTGTGCGTTCAGGGAATAGCTCCAAGGATTTATTATACATCTTTAAAGGGACCTTCTTACCATGCACGCCTTCTCACAAGCACTGCTGTGACATTGTCGAGGTCGACATCAATAAAAACCTTTTTTTTCGATTTAAAGCTTTCGTGACTGCAGGGATTCATCTTCTTGGTTCTTTCGGTAAAGTCACGTAGAATGGAAATAATAAAATAATAAACGTCGTGAGAATAATTTTATTATGCTTTATTCTATTATTTTATTATTTCCATTTTCGTGACTTTACCGAAAGAACCACGAAGAAAAAACATTTTTATTTTAAACTCTCGCAGTGGAATTTGATTCTGATATTATTTAGCGTAACTTTCTGACCCACCCCTGCTGGAGCTTCATAGCTCATCGGATTCCTCGAACATAAAGATTATTATTCTTATTTAGATCAATCAAGTGCAAAACCAAATGTAAGATGACGCTTTTTTGTGTGCATTCTTTGGTGACCAGGAGAGACCAATCCATAACTTAATACCATTGAGAACCCAGTTTGAATCATGGGGTGGCTGCCCAGAATCGAGGATTTAATCAATGCTAGCTCAGGGCTCTTCACATCTGAACCACGATGGCACCTCAATAAATAGCTTTTAGGAGCACATCCTCAAAACAACACCACAATTGACGTAAACACGTGGGCAGAAATTATTTAACGGGCAAACTACGTCGAACATATACATTTAAATGTCACCCCCTGAAACGTCATCACTCTCTTAGAGTATAGATGTATACAGGGGTGGGTGGGTCAGGGACAATACGAAGACTGCAATGCATATCGGAGTTTTAGCCGGTCCAAATAGGGAGCCGATCCCATTTCTCGAAACCCATGCCCTCGTGGCTGTGGTTCACGTTCCTTTCGTTTCAAGAATCAAATGTGATAGTTTGTGTGATAAACACATAGGCGTGACAAAGATACCACTATCACAGACTTACACACACACTCTACCCCTGTATTTTTTTGGTTATCCTGCGCAATATGCAATATATCCATTTTTAGATTGGATGAGTTTCCTACGTTAAGAAGTGGGGATGGCCTCCAATTCTCCCCTCTAGTTTCTCCAAGAAGCTGAGGTCAGTAGCTTCTCCTGGGCGCAGACATTCTTCATCCTTAGATAGAGGACATTGCATCGTTAGAAAATACATCGAGAGCAATTGTGCACATTTAGAAAAAGCTGCCGCAGCACTGGTTTATTGTCTAGCTACAAGAGGTTAGGTCATCGACATCATATTATTTTGAGACATCTCCCACGGCCAAGATAAGCTCAGATAAATAAACGGTAAATGTGTTGTCATCCCGTATAAATGTGGCGGCAGATTAAACTGTTGAACATTGTGCAAAAAATTACGAGATTAACCCTCAAGCAATTGTTAGTAGGGTTGCTGGAATAGAATTTTTTCATGATACAATTCGATAACGAATTTCAAAATATAACGATTATCACAATATCAACTTTCCCGGAACTGTGTACGGCAAATCCTCGTTGAACGCGTCGTGTTCACACAACGGACTTTCGCTACAGCCCGGTTCTTCCACGACGTAACACTTTTCGCACAATGCGGAACACGCACCGTTTTCACGCGGAAAGCGAAACCATTATAAAGCAGCATCTGAGCCGTCAACGACAAACTACTTGCTTGCGCTGCGTGGCTGAGCGGTATGGGAATTCTGGGTAGGGGCCGTCCATAAATGACGTCACGCGATTTTGTACGATTTTTGACCCCCCCCCCCCCCTTCGTCACACGGCGTCACAAAAAGTCAGACCCCCCCTCAAATATGACGTCACAAAGCTCTGCCCCCCCCCCCAAAATAAAAACATGTTTCAAATCGCTTTAAACTATTGTCATTGTAGTGCGTATTTAATGTGGTGCTGCACTCTGATGTTGTAGGAGAAAACATTTATTAAAAAGTCTATTTAATTAAGTAGAACATGTTGTCTATATTTATTTAAAGTTGCGCATCTTCTAATAATTACAATGCCTATAACGCATGTATCGTCAGTTACACGAGGAACAGTCCATTAACCACACAAGTTACGAACATGACGCAATAATCACCATGCTGTCAATTACTGCGGAATAAGTCTAACAATTAATTGATTGCAATGATTGCTTATATTGTAATTATTTACATCGCCATACCGCAGTCACTTTAGCCATTGGGCACTTCCGGTCACATCGGCCAATGGAGACCACCAGGTCACTTACCAGAATGACCAAGATGCCTTCGTGTTTCTGCTCCACCAGGTCACAAATGATTTTGTTGTCGAAATATAAAATGCTCTCCCACTTCACCACGCACAAAACCGGAGAGCACATCATCAACATTGTTATTATCTACACAAGAAAAATATCACGAATCAAAGGTGGAGTTGAGGTTAAAAAAAAACACGTTGACTGGATAAAATGTATTCTAGATTTGAAGCTTTCGTGACTGCAAGGATTCACACTCTTAGGTTTATCGGTAAAATCACGTAGGTAAAAAAATAATAATAATAAATAATAAAAAATAAAAATAGAAATACAATAATAAATCAATATTTATACATGTATTACTTTATTAAAAGCACGTAGGTAAAACATAAATAATAATAAATAATAATATAAATAAAATAATAAATAAATGTTTCTTGTTTGCTTATTTAATTGCTTCATTTCTATTTTTATTTCCATTATTTATTTTATTAATTTTTTACCTATGTGATTTTACCGAAAAACCTAAGAGTATGGATAAAAATGTGTCTCTCACCTCAATGCCCTCTGCCTCATACTCAACTTGCTCCGTACCCAGCGTGTGAGTTATGAAAAGTTGCTGAAGCTTCTCGTTGCAGTAGTTAATACACAACTGCTCAAAACTTCAAAGAGGGTCAGACAATAAAGCAGATTAATGCTGGCTTACTAATTGCCCCTTAAACCACAATATAACGCAGCTGATTCAAAAAAGTGAGCGGCCTCGCAAACAGAAGGTTACGAGATGAAATCCTGGTTGGATTGACTAAGCCCATCATCCCGCCAGGGTCGATAAAATAACCACCACTTTGTGGCGAAGTTAAGAGTGGTTGTTCTACGGACAGACATGCCCCAGCCATAGGAATATGGAAATTCCACGACCAGTTGAGGGCTGTCAACAAGATACGAGCACCGCCTCAGGGATCAGTTTAAAAATCAATGTGACTTTGGCTATTCATGACACACAAGCACAAATACCCTGCGTCACATTATCAAGCCACACATACACTATGAAGACAAAGCCATACACCTAATTAGTGGTCATGTGTTTTGAGAATGGAAAATTACTTTCAGAATTCTTTAAACTGAGCAAACCACACGTTTTAGTTTCAAGCCACTCCTGCAAAATGTACGGATACATTTATTTTTGACTCTGAAACATTTGAAAACACGTGAACAATTGTGTAGTTTTTTGGAGAATGCATGACCCGGGGGGCTTGTGTCCACCAGCCAAGTGGCTCATCAAAGATATTATTTAGGGGGGCACGGTATAAAGGCTGCCCCCCCCCCCCCCCCCCCCACACAGCTAAAATCGTACTACAGCACTTTTCTGGACACTTTCCTCAAAAAAATTGACCAGCCGATTGTATTTCTACGAAACAGATTCTGTATTTATAATACAAGTCTGTCAATGTCACTTTAGGTCTGTGATGATGATTATTATTATTGTGCAAAAGCTAAAGAAAGGATTATTCACCTGTTATTTTGAAAAACTTCGAATCCATAAATGTCTAGAAAACCAATGACCGCATGTCTCCCTCCTTCCTGCAAAACCGAAAGGTCAGATATTTTTGCATTTACAGTTATAGTAAAAAATCAAACCTAATTAACAGTACAACAAACAGTGCCGTATACAGCCCACTGCTACAGCACATTTGTGGCAAATGTATTAAATCATGTGCATGTGACCATACACAAATTACTGTGTTGATGACTCTCTGTTAAACAGAAAATGGGTTAAACTGAGCATTGAGAATACCCTACAACTCAAGCCTTCTGTAAGTCACGTGACTTGTGTCACCCCCATTCTCAATCCCCCTTCAATCCCCCGCCGCACACCCTCCCCGTGAAAGCAGCTGCTCCTTCTCTCCCCTCTTTATCCTCCCCGCTCATCATCACCCTCTCATCCCCGACTTCTCGGTCCGGTCATTCCTTCTCATCGACGTGGCATCCCTTCCCTTTCCCGGTTAATTTGCCCCGCCTGTCCCCTTTCTCGTGGTGTACAAAAGGGAACACTTTTAATTCAGAATTAAATATTCTGACTGCAGACTGAGTGAATGTGCGATGGAGCAGTCGTGCAGCTGTTCGCACACCGCGCACATTAACCCAGCAACATCAGTGGCAAGTGAAATCTTAACGACTCCTGCTCCCTTTTTTCACCAATTCGCACTGACCAGCACGGCAAAGTATGGTCAAACAATCCTCATGATAGACGTGGCATGGGGGAGGCCTCCATCCAACAGTGTGTTGACAAAGGTCTGTAAATTATGATCATTTAGTCTCACAGCACGGTGCTGATGTGCTTTATAAATGGCTCAATCGCCTTGACGCATCTCTGAGGGGACAGAACAAGTGTTCTGTGATTACCTTGCTTGCCAGTGAATTGTTGAGCTGGCCCACCAGCCAGGAGAAAGCTCGCTCATATATGGCCTTTGCCAGAGCATCCCGGGCATGGGCAGCTTGTACCGGCTCCAGTGGACTCACCACCTGCAAGATATTCCACTCTTCAATCAATCACCACGAGTCCATCAATGGACAACATTGCTACACCCAGCTGAGATTTAAAATTAGCTTCGGTAAATCACCAGGTGCCACTGTTCCAGAAGGCAATCACCTGGTCCAGGAAAACCGATTTGTTTGAAAGTTGTATCAAAGGGAATAATTTTGGAGGTTATGGTATTTTGATTTGACAAGCTGCGAAGATTACGAATGCAGTGTGTAAAAAAAGCACCCCACCACATTGTTAATATCACGTGAAGTTTTGCCCTATAACCTTCCCCATTAGCTAAACTGTTATCGACGCACGTGAAAACCTCGAGGTAATACTTTAACGACTGGTCAGTAACAACGCCTGAATAATGCTTCTTCAAAATCAAATTCATTATTTTTGCGAGGCATAGTCTGCCTTGGTGCAAATCCAAGCCCTCGAGACCAGCCACACCTGTGTAAATATCCGCAGGTATCAAACATGGGTATTGCCTACTGGGCAAGTCCCGACAAGTGGCAATACACTGTCGTGTCTGCCGATGCAATTTACGACCTATCTGTTATAGTGCTGACATACGTAAATATGCTAACTGCAGATGATAACCAAATAACAGTAGCAGATAATGTTTAGATTAACAGTGAGTCGCCCTGTATTTCAGCAAATTCATGTCAGATATTCGTATTATGTAATCGTGCGATGATAATTGGTTCTTTACTCTTTTATCTGGAAACAAAACTGACACCTTTTTTACGAGGAGTCATGTTTCCATAGACTACAATACCTGGAGTCATAATGCAAACAAAAAACACAACTCTGATAATGTATGCACTGTCCTTGAAGTTGATTGGTCCACACCCGAGACAGCTTTCCTTAGAGCCTAGTCTCACATGGGTGGGACCAGATGCAAAAAAGATTTAACTACACTTATTTGCCAATCTTATTTGACAGACAACCATTACAGTTTTACCATGTCTAGTGGTGGTCTCCCTGTTACAGGTTGAGTCACAAACCGCACCTCTCCATAACAAAGGCTCAGCCTTTGTTATGCAGTCTATTCTTAGTCTTAAGCCTCACCTTACCATATTAATAAAAGTATGCGGCCCTTGCCCCACCACCTTCTCCAACCATTATATAAACGGAGTGGTAGCTTCTGCAATCTCTCATTTACTTGATACAGCTGTCGTGGCTGTGACGGTACCACCTGAAGACGGAAGCTTGTGTTGCCTCCGAAACGTCGTGATTTTTATTTTATTTTACTTTTTAATGTGTTTTACCTACGTGACTTTACCGAAAAAACCTAAGAATATGTTTAATTAGTGTTTGGTCACCCAATCGTAATGCATGTGCAGTAACCATTTTGATGAGCAGTCTGGGGACCAGACAAGAATCGGAACTTCATTGTGAAATTTTGAGACTTTTAAACAAGTGCCCTTCTCTTCAGAATCATTATCATTCTAGATTTGAAGTTTTCGTGACTGCAATGATCCATACTCTTTGGTTCTGTCGGTAAAGTCACGTATAAAGATAAAATAATAAATTAAATAATAGCATACTACGACGTTTTGATTGCAACACAAGCAATCATCATCAGGTATAAAAGAAATAGCAACAAAAATCTAACCAGAAAACTATAGACAGACATATAAGCAGACAGATATCACAAAGATACACAGAGAGATAACACGTATCGGCACAAAGAGAGAGATCGTCTCTGTGACGAGGCCTTAAATATAGAGAGGGGGCGGGGGCGGAGAGAGGGAGGGGGCAGAGAAAAAATTAGTATGTCAATGAGTGGACGACGACGTGGTACGGTACGCAAGCTTGAAAATTAGGAGAAAGACACACTAAAATTAAATAACCTAGCAAAATATCGAAATGTAATGTAATGCAACACAGAGAGTCGGTCAACACGCAATTAACGCATAGCCTGGTTGATTACGTGGTGGTGTTTCATTCAAACGCTATCTCCCCAACAGACCTGGTCTTCACATGAGGACGGCTGCTTGCGTTGTGGCCGAAACGTCGTGAGAATTATTTTATTATTATTTATAATTTTTTACTTCCCTTCTACGTTACTTTACCGAAAGAACCAAGAAGATATTTTCCACTATTTCAAAATCGTATCCTTTTTTTACAAAAAGAACCAAAAACTACATCGTGCACTGCAGTTTAGCAGTAACACGTTACCAGAGGATCACGTGACCATTCCGTCACCGTGCGCAAATTTAGTTCAATTCTGCCATGCCGACTCAAACTGTGCTGCTGATTTTCTGTCCGTATTATTAACTATTACATTTAAATCTTTCATACGTAACAAGAATGGGATTTAGTCGCTCTGGAAATAAAACAGGTGTTAAGATGTTCAAACACTAATTAGATACCTATTGCAATGCATCAAGTCTGCATTACCCCACATACTTCTTGCAGAACATGCAAACAGACATGCTCTGATAATATCTGCATTGTATTTGAAACTGATTGGCCTACACTCGAGACAGCCTTCATTATGACCTTGTCTCACCAGTGTTAGACCGGAGAACACCAAAAAGCGAACAGGACAAAGGCAATGCAAATATTTAACCATAACTAACTCGGGTTGGGCAGTTATATCTACGGGACCTTTTTGCCAGATCCCGGGGCCGGCCCAGGACACGCTGGCGGGACTATATCACTCGGCAGGCCTGGGAACGACTGGGAATCATCCCTCAGTAAGAACTAAAGTCCATCGCCAGGGAAAAGGAGGTCTGGACCACCCTACTCTACACGCTGCCAACGCGACCCTCACCAGGACAAGCGGATTGAGAAACGAATGAACAAATTGATGAAAAAAGAAAAACAGGCTTTACCATTTCTATCAATAACGCAGAAGGAGTCAAGATGGCGTTTGAACATCAAGATGGCGTTTGAACATCAAGATGGCCTTTGAACATCAAGATGGCGTTTGAACATCAAAATGGCGTTTGAACATCAAGATGGCGTTTGAACATCAAGATGGCGTTTGAACATCAAGATGGCGTTTGAACATCAAGATGGCGTTTGAACATCAAGATGGTGTTTGAACATCAAGATGGTGTTTGAACAATCTATTCTTCTTACTTCATCATTTTGATCCTGGCAAAAACGGTCCCATAATTGTGTACGTACATCACTTTTTGAGCGTACAATGCATATATGCAAAGTTAATATATACTAGGTGTTTCCAATGGCATTGCTGCTCTGAATAGTCTCTTTGAGCCTCAGGCATTAAGTGGCCTCTAACAACCTCCAAACGTATCTTTGGCTCCGAGCCTCACACATTAACACTGAACCCCGTAAATTTTAAAAGTGCATTTGGATTTCTGAGCATTGGCAATGAACGATGAGCCCTACAAATCCTAAAAGTGCCGTTAGTCTGGCCAGTCGATCCACTACCCAATAAACATGGAACATTGGGCCAACGTTAGTCCAAAAGCTCCAACCAAATGCAAGTTTACTGGGTACTGCTTTGTGACTGGCTACACTGCATATATGCATATACCAATTCCATGTGTGTTGTGCACTCACGTATAGAATATGAACATGAAATCATCATCTAAATGTAACCGTAATTCGAATGCTTGCTGTCCGTTGAGCACTGTGACAACATCCCATGTGCCACTGACTTACTGGTGAAAAACGCAGGTTATTGATACAGATACTGCTTCACAAAAGTTGGAGGGAGCTGACCAGAATATTGTGGTTAGCTAAGGGGGTCAAATGAGTTCGTCCATTTTGTCTGACTCAACGCCTTTAAATGGAGAAATTGCTCCACCAACTGGCCCGTAACGTCAGTAAAACAGAAAAGTGAAAAATGGTGCGACAGGCCAGAGAGCTGCAACGTTTACAAAGCTACGGGTGGCCCGTGAGACGCGACAACTCATGCGAATGTAAAGCCGAGAATTGTTTGAGGGAGAAATCTAAACAAATGGGGTGTTGAAGGTACAGGTTAATACAGGACAGAGGCAGAGAGAGACTTTGTGCAGGTATTTAGTGCAGCTAAAGAATTAAATGGATCAGCGCGGATAAAACCGCAAAAATGTACACACACGCGCGCGTGCCATGCCGCATAATACGCCGTTTCTTAAAGATAGAAGGGTGCCTTTAATCGTTATTTAATTTCATCTGCTGCACGTCAAGTCTTGCAGACATGTCGGCCACTTTGAGGTGCGCCATCATGTCGAGGAGAGTGCTGTTTTGTTGAATTATTAGTTTTGGAATGTTCAAATTAGTACCGATTTTTCCAAAATAGGAAAAATGCCACAGTCACCGTTATGATGCAGCAGGCAAACCACAACGCCGTGCGCAGTTAATAATTAGCGGTTGTGTTTAGAGCTGCAATGGTGTGTATATGTCTACTTCACGATATATGACGAGGACATTTTACTTTATTTTATGACACACGTGGAAAGGTCGTTGTCCTGACTGTGCGCCAGAGGTCGCAACCGGGTACCCTGATAACCTGTACCCTACCCGATACCCGGCTACCCGTACTCGGCCGGGTACGGGTACCCATTTGCGACCCTGGTGCAGCCGGGTACGGGTAGGCCGTGAGTCACTGGTGAGTAACCGTTTGTCACTCATTTCGGGTAGGGTTGGGGTACGGGTAGGGAACGGGTACCTGTACCCGGCCGGGTACGGGTACGGGTACCCATTTGCGACCCTGGTGCGGCCGGATACGGGTACGGGTAAGGAATCAAAACCCGTTTGCGACCTCTGCTATGCGCCTTGACATAATGATGCAGCCTAACACAGTGTGCAATCGTAACTGGACGTCACGTTAACGAAGGGCCGTTATTTCACGAAGTCGCGTGCAATACTTAAACTGTATACGCTAATTTGATTGTTATCTAAAAATGGGGAAGCAACCTTTGAAAAGGACACCGACATTTATTTGAACATTTATATAAATGCAAAATATGGAACATACGAATCAAGATGTTAAGATTCAATTCAACCGGTGGTTTGTTTAAAAGTGATTCTTACTTCTTCTCCGCTCGCTGATATCGTCTTTTTGGTGAGTGCACTTTTGAGAGTTTCCTCTGAAATGTCCAACAGCTGAATTCCACATGAAACACAGCGAACCACACATTCTTGATGCACAAACAAACTACCTCGGTGCCATATAGCATCACAGCAATGATAGAGTATATATTTTAATAAATCTATATCAATTAATAAAGCACATGAATAATTAGCGGTGGCACAGCAGTTAGTGCACTGTGTGATCAACTCGTTAACCTGAGTTTGATTCCTGGCTATAGCTAACATCACTTAGAGGTGACATGTGAACTGGCCTTTCCCCTGCATCAACCCACACTGACCAGCTGGGTGAAGTCCGGTCAAACAATTTCCAGGACTGACACGGTGCGTGTGTAAGGCTTCCTCCAGCAGTGGATTGACAACGGGTTTAAACGCGTCCTTATTTATTAAAATTTGGTCTATTTTAAAACGCATGAGATGAATTTGTCATTTTACTGGTCACGTTCATTTTGAGTCACCAGGTGAGAACACAAGAGACAGGGTGACCTGGGTCACCAAAAAGACAAAATAAAAAACGAATCAAGTAAATTCACGAAGCAAACACGCCACTAAATGGTGATGTCTGCCACAGCACCTGCGCCAGGCTAGGTGCACTTTGAAAGAAAGCTGAAGTAATGCCACGCGCAGTTGTTTTATTTTGTAAGAACACGTACCGCATGCACATGTTGTAACTTTACACCAGCGGTAATATTTTATTTGAAGAGGGACGTTGTGGTTCTTACCTTGCTGATGACGTGGATTTCAGTGCTGTCAGTAATCAGCGCGTAACCTGTCGTGCTCGTGGTGTACGTCGTGTTGCCGAGGTGAATCACGCTGGCGATGACATCAAATAGCGTCTGCAGACACCGGACAACCAGAACATCAACAACCAGAACATCAGCAGCACTGCAATAAACGAGTAGCAGATGCTTCATGGATAATTTGCCTACACATACGCTAGAGCCCACAGTGTAACACATTCCTGCGGAGGGAGCTGGTAGGAACGTTGGGTTGCTCGGTCAATGGCCAGGGTCAACGGCGGCGTGGTGTATTCCGCAAATATGCCCGACTGTGAGGGCGGGCACAAGCCGGCGTGAGTAGGTTAAACGTTCAGTTTTATAAGGGCACCACGGGGTGACCAGCCCCTCCCCACCCAGCCCCACTCCTCCCACCCCCCACCCAGTCCCACCCTCCCCACCCAGCCCCTCCCCACCCTCCCCACCCAGCCCTCCCCACCCTCCCCTCCCCACCCAGCCCCTCCCTCCCCATCCAGCCCCTCCCTGCACGACGGACACAATAATCGCCTGTGGGCTGGTGTAACAAGGAGGTTCCTACCAGTAAATACGTTATTTCTAAAAAAACAACAACCATACATTCAAGATATGCATTGCAAATGTCAGTGTCATTTGTTTATTTATAATTTGTCTAAACCAGGACCAACATGTCAGTATGAATTAGATTTTGATCTGGCAGATAGGTGTTAGCGGTTGTGGAGGATACACACATGCAGTTGTTCATAGTTAATCTATGGCAGTGGCTCTTAAGATTTAATGCAGTCTTGCACCCCTTTGGTTCTCAATCAGTAAATGTTTTTGACTTAAAGCTTTCGTGACTGCAGGAATTCATATTCTTTGGGTCTTTCGGTAAAGTCACGTAGATAGGTTCAAAGAAAATAACAAAAAACTACGACGTTTCGATCGCAACACAAGCGGTCGTTGCGATCGAAACGTCGTAGTTTTTTTTTACTGAAAGATCCAAAGAATATACATTTTTTTATTTGCATAAATACATAGGTTTGCTTAAACAAGCTAGTTGTACCTACGTTCCCGTGCGTGCTTAATTTGTGTTTCGATAATTTACCTTCTAAAAAAAATACGTCCATGTCTCGCACCCCCAGAAAGAGAATCTCGCACGCCCAGGGGGTTGCGTTCACCCCAGGGTTTACGACCACAAATAAAAGTGAATACGTATAAATGGTCCCAGCACCCTAATACACCTCTATTTTTAAATCCTTTATATTAAGTTCGCTTGCTTGCTTGCGTGCTTGCTTACGTGCTTACGACCGTGCAAATCTTTCGGTCGTTTTTTAACCCACTTCCCGTGATCCAATCGAGCTGACATTTTGCACACAAACTCGTTGTGCGTGACAATTAATTTTCGTGAAATTTTTTTCCCCCAAATTTGACACTGTTTAGGGAAAAATAAATAAATATTTATTTACCAATTGCTTAATGCTGGCAGACAATCATCTGACCCTATAGGTGGCAGCCATCTCAAGCCAGAGGACGAGAGGACTCTAGCCGCCACGCATATAAAGGATTTAGAGTGAAAAACTTTGTTTTTAGCGGGTTAATTTTTTATTATTATGTTCAACAGCTGTACCACCCATATTAATCTCAACAAATTCACAGCCAACTGCGGTACTCACAACAAAAAAATAATAATTTCTGGCCTGGATTGTTGCAGCTGTTTTAGACTAATTTCAGGGTGCTGATTCCAAATCTGATCTCAGATTTGCTCTATCACATCTCATTTCTATGCTATCGGCATACCCCATTTTCATTTATTTTACCCGAAATTAACTCTGTCACTTATGATTGCAAGTTGTTGCGAGTCAGTGACTGCTTTAGTGTTAAAATATGGTGCTATATTTTTAGGATAGTGTGTTTATAATATTATTTTATGTAGATATCCACATTTATTTAATATATTTTTTCTCCAGTTTTTATTGAAAATGCAATATTTGATATCTCAAAAACCTGATGTGATAGACAAAAACTGATGCCAGATTTGGAATCAGCACCCCAAAATTACCTTTAAACTGTTGGAATACCTTATGCCAGAAAAAAATGTTTTGACCAGTGTAATAATCCACAGCACTATGCTAATTCCACTTGTGGATGAATGTCTCTCCCGACCGTATTGGTCATGGGGGTGGTCTGATCATACTTCACCATGCCGCTAAGTGGGTGTTGGTGAAGGGAAGACCGTCTTCTTGGTTCTTTCGGTAAAGTCACGTAGAAGGGAAGTAATAAAATAATAAAAATAAGGGAAGTAATAAAATAATAAAAATAAAACATAATAAAATATTATTTTATTATGTTTTATTTTTATTATTTTATTACTTCCCTTCTACGTGACTTTACCGAAAGAACCAAGAAGATGAATCCCTGCAGTCACGAAAGCTTTAAAGGGAAGACCGGTTTAGATATCACTCAACACTCGTGTTATCTAACTCGGATCACCTGGGTGCAGTGCAAAGTACATTGCGCTAATCAATGGGCCACCGCTCCCCCACCGTAACAATACAAGCATTGAATTAACGCACTAACCCCATGTGGATGCTTCTCATTGTCTTTTTGCATAATTTACCTGGAAATATTCCTTGAGATGAAACATCACCTTTGCAAGGTTGTCCGTGCTACCGTATTCATAATGAAGTTGTTGTTTTTTTTACTGCAATTACAACTTTTACGCTCGAAACTTCACGTATAACCCAAAGATGAATATTGATGTTACATCTGAACGCATTGCGAGAGAAAACGCTCCTCCAGATTTAAATGGAAAACGGTTCTTTTGGCACAAGAGGCTCTTCGGAATACACTAAAACAAAACGGAGCCCTCGGGGGGAGCTTCCCATCACTTTTAAATATCGGTGCACTGACGAGTCATCAGCTCAGCGTGCCGGCGCATGTCCAGGCATTCTACCCCCCCCCCCCCCCCACACGCGCGCGCGCGCACGCGCCCGCGATTAAAGTACAAATGGATAGCTGTTCCCTGTGAGTTAGTCCCAAAAGAAAATTTATGCCCGTGTCATGTGTCACACATCCAGCATCTGGATCGGAGAACATGTACATGCGTGCAGAGAAGCGGGGGCTTCGTTGTGATGCACCGTTTGTGCGTAAAGCGAGCCAGCAACTAGTGAGTCACGCAAAAAGTCCATGCTCTACCGAATTCTCATTAGCTTCGCGAGCTATTCTTCTGCACACTCTCTATCTCTGTTCTCCGTGTCCCTTACAAAACAATCCCATTCCATCCACAGCAGTCCAACGCCCTCGCCGCCTTCCTTTACTACACAGAGGGAACGAGGTATCCACAGCGTGTTGTGGCTCTCTATGCTCGCGTCTACTGATGGTTCGACTGACTTGCGTCTGTTTGAATTGTAACTGCGGCCGTTGACATTTCACACCATTTTGATCTTTGGTTTAAGATATTTTAAAAAAATTAACCCGTAAAAACAAAGTTTTTCACTATAAATCCTTAATATGCGTGACATCGGTTTTATTTTATTATTCATTTCTGTTTTTCTTGAGTAAGAGTTTCATTTTTATCACATTGGTATTTTAAATTAAATATAAAAAAAAAATTCCTAAAAAGTGGAAAATTTTGGAAAAAAATTTTCACGAAAATAAATTGTCACGCACAACGAGTCTGTGTGCAAAATGTCAGCTCGATTGGATCACGGGAAGTGGGTTAAAAAACGACCGAAAGATTTGCACGGTCGTAAGCACGCAAGCAAGCAAACAAGTGAACTTAATATAAAGGATTTTAAAATAAAACCGTGGCTGTTCGTATTGTAGTGTACCAGGTGGCTGACATATGCGTCTGCACCATCATACATTTGTCACCACAATACAATAATATGCATACATGAGTATACAGCACTGTACGTGTAAAAGGTCAAAGGTGCAGCCCCGCAATTGCTTTGCTTCCGCCACCGCTGGTGGAAGAATCTCCACTAAAGACAGCTCCAGAGAGCCCCCTCGAGAGTTAATTTCCCCGACTCTTCCACACTGGGCAAGAAAAACATCTTGAAAGAGGTGGGAGTCCCCACACTTTACCCCACCACACACAACCCGCCGATCGATTGTGGTGTACCGATTTATACTCACAGGTGCGCGGAAGTTTTGGTGGGCATGGCAGTTAAGAGACGTGCCTATTGTTTGCAGCTGTCACGCTGGGAGATCGAGCAACAACTCTGCAAGTCCAGAGTTGTCGCCATTTCATGACGGCAACATCCTCCTAGGTTACCTGTACCCATGCGTGAATAAATAAATACGGGTGATGCCTATACTGTACCTCGATCTGTGGTTCATCAAAGCCAACGGTATGGAAGGCCTCCTGGAGAACCCTCCAATTTTCGACATCGTTCAACGGAGATACCTTGGTCTCCTCGCCCTGTTGAGAGACATGTGTGTTTAGTTTGTCCTTCCCCCACCCCGCCCGCATCAACGATTAGCGCGGTTGGCTACGTACGGTGCGAAAGAAGTTCTACGCGAGGACGTACATTCATCGAGCGTCGCATTCACAAACAAACGTTGAAGCATGAAGATGAAACGACAGCGAGCGAGAGTGAAATGTTATGGCAGTGCCCTTGCCACCAATCGAAGATGAACACCGATGCGGGAAGTTGGGTTGCTGGCTCAGGAGTCAGGGCACGGAGCCAGCCAGCACCTCCCTGCAATCTTGGTTTCAAATTCCAGCAGCCACCTGATAGTGTAGCCCTGGTTCTCAAGTATAGTGAGTTCAAGTGTAGGTCTCAGAATGGTCTTGCATGACTGTACAACAACTTCACATTCGATTTCAGTATTCCCTTAATTGAGCGTATTCTATCTTAATTATGGAGCTTTCGTGACTGCAGGAATTATGCTTTGGTTCTTTCGGTTAAGTCACGTCTAAAGATAAAATAATAAATTAAAATAAAAGCATATTACGACGTTTCGATTGCAACACAAGCAATCATCATCAGGCAAAAAAGAAAAAGCAACAAAAATCTAACTAGAAAACTATAGACAGACATACAAGCAGACAGACATCACAAGAACACACAGAGAGAGGACACATATCGGCACAAAGAGAGGGGTCGTTTCTGTGACGGTCCCTTAAATATAGAGAGGGGGGCAAGGACGGAGAGAGGGAGGGGGCAGAGAAAATTAGCATATCAATGAGTGGACTGCAAAGTGCTGCTGCTGCGCAAGTAAGATGACGACGTGGCACGGCACGCAAGCTTGTAAATTAGGAGAAAGGCACACTAAATATATTTCTCCGTCTCATTTTATACGTGAGACTTAAAGGCAATAGGATCAATGTGCAAGAAAGGCGATCTGCATGTCGTCAGGGTGCCATGGCGGTGGCGAGATGTCCACTACCTCGCCTGGTATACAGGAGGTCGTGGGTTCAATCCCAACTCTGACCCCTGTATATTTGGAGTTTGCGTGTCTCTCTGTCCCTGTGGTCGCATGGATTTTTCTCCGGGTCCTCCAGTTTTTCCCTCCACATTTATAAACACGCGCTTTTAGAGCGTTTTGTCTATGAATTTCCACGTAATAAGCAACTTATTTGAGCCAGCATTTGTGACCAGGTCGCTTCTACTACAGAGCCATATAGCTCAGCGAGTAAAATAAGAAATAAGTGTAAAAGTGTATGTTCCAAGTGTGAAAGCGACTGCCACAAGGTGGAACATTGCGCCCTCTCGCTCTCTCTCTGAGAGTTCAACAAATATATTTCTCCGTCTCATGACATAACTGCAATATTTCAATTGCAATGTACCCTGGGAGAATAAAAAAAACACGTGGATAAAATAAACAATTTGTGAATTCTACAGGCAGTAGGATAAACGCGGAGATAACGTGGTCCGTTCATCTATTCAAACGAAGCATCTCTTTCGTAGCTGCAAAAAAGCACAATTTTTCGAACAGACATTTAAAAGAGGGGTGTATGTGTGATGCCGCCGCCACGAAGCCGTTCGGCAGGCGCCAAATCCCCGACCTCGCCACCACCAAGCAACGGAGCCGACCCCTTGTCTCCCTCACCTCACCTCACATGAACACACCCGCACGCATTTCCCCCCCCCCCCCCCCCCCCATAGAGCTCCGAGGGGAGGTCGCCTGGCCGACCGGTTTTTATCCGAGAAACCCTTATCGGGATCAACTCTCACGGTTTCCGGCGATCAGGGAATTGGATGACCTCCCCCGTGCTACGTTGCGCCGCGGCGCTGCGACCGGCCTTAATATGGTGTGGTCGCGGCGTGGGGCATTCGGCCACCGTGGTTGAGGCGCATTTCCCCCCACACACGCCAGTATCGACGGGGCAGGCAGAGGGAATAAGCATTGTGATGGAGGAGCATCATTAGAAAACACGCAGCGCATCTGAACTGCATAATCAGGCACCCCCGCACCGGCAGCGTAGGAACGGCATAATTACGCTCGGGTACGCAGGTGTAAAGTAGTAACTCGGCGGGAGACGACTTCACGGGTAGCACACTCTTTTATTTAACACCAAACTGTTACACGGGTGACTAACACTCACTTAGTTACTCGGGTGACTAACACCCACTCAGCTACACGGGTGACTAACACCCACTTAGCTACTCGGGTGACTAACACCCACTCAGCTACTCGGGTGACTAACACCCACTCAGCTACACGGGTGACTAACACCCACTTAGCTACTCGGGTGACTAACACCCACTCAGCTATACTGACACGGGCTCTTACGCCCCGTAGCCTTCCGGAACACACCCGGCTGGGGTGTCCGTCTCGGCTCTGGGTACCACCGTCCCGACCCACGCGGGCGTCGGACTACGGGTTCCCCAGTCTCGGCTCCGAGCCACACAGGGCCCCGGTCCTGACAAGGACGGCGGGACTAGGGGTCTCGGGCCACTACCTCCTCCACTCCGTCTTCGGTCTTCAACTGGTTAACACTGACCACGAGTGCTCTCGCGCGTCTCCCTTTATGCACCTCCTGCGGACGTCGCTGAGAGCACCCATCTTATTTGACCAATCACTGCGCGCTGGCTACGATCCTCTTTTCCCAGCTTGTGTCAGCGCGCCTCACCACCGGCGCGCGCGTTCATACCACGCCCACATCGCGTGCCCAACCCCGCGCCCCGTGATCCATCACTGTCGGCGCACGTCAACACCACCACTACACAGGCACCATTGTTAGGGGAGTTAAAGGATAAGGCTATTAGTATAAATAATCGGGAGAGGGGAGGCGCGCGGGGAGCCATGCACAGCTTCCCACGACGGGCCTTTGTGATGGACACCGCCGCATGAACGTCGATGATGGGGGCCTGCGTGAGAAAAGGATTGATTGGAATTTGCGCCGTGCAGGTCGCTCATTGATTAGCGGAACAAAGGCACCGCGGAGCTGCCTGGCCCGGGCGAGGGGGGCGCGTGCCATTGTTTGGAGTTCACGCCGCGCGGACAAAGGATTAATTAGCATAGCGAAGGCGCACGGTGCGTGGGAAGGGGGTAGGGGTCCGGGAATCAGGATAAATGGGGAGCGCAAAGGGGAAATCGCTCTCTGACTCCAGCGCCAGGCGACCAGACGCAGCTCCAGCCAGCGACCCGGACGTCCGTGCGACGCACCGAGGCACGCGGTTAGCACAAGGATCAGCGGACCGCCGTGGACACTTAACAGTGAGTAAGAAGGTGAATTAGAATCATAGCAGATAAATCGGGAATAGGTATAGAGGTATTAGCGTAGGCCAGCCTCGTCGACTCACTGATTTAACATCTAGTTCCAGGTAGCGGATAATAAATCATTAATAGCTGATCGTGGCCTCGTGTGATCTCGTGTTATAAGTGTGAACGCGTGTGGCACGGTATATGCGTAAGCTCTCGGCGTGCGTAATCGGCGTACCCCAGGTGCGCGATCATAACGTGAGCGGCCAGCGCGGCGCAGAGCGGCGCAAGAGTGGGTATCGCGTGTGGAGCTGTATGTGTGTGCGCGCACGTTCACGACGTGTATAATACAGGTGCGCGATCCTAATGTGGGTGGTCAGTGTTGAGTGAGTGCCGCGCAGAGCTGTGTGTGGGAGTGCGCATACGTTCGTTACGTGTCGGATACGGATGCGCATTGGTAACGTGCCGCACAGGGCTATACTGCGAGCACGGCGTTTGATTGACGATGATGTGCGCACGTATGCCCGCAGCGTGGGAGCGCGGTGCGAGGCTGTAACAGGAGGGGCGTCGCGTTCGAATGCCGGCGAAACCGTAGCGGGTAATAGGGAGGTGGGGTAACGTAAACGGAATAGGGGATGCAGGCGGGAGGGACCTCGGGGGCCAACGGCCCCCACATATGCATAAAATGTGTGTGTATATATAGAGAGCACAATTCCATCTTTATTCGTAAACACAGAGGACTGGGAAACATTAAGAAAGTAACTCAGATAAATCCCACATATTGTAAAAATAAACATTTCATATATACTATTTGTCCGCATTAAGATCTACGATACATCACAAAAAACCGCTCTGAAACATAAATCATGTCATCTTTAATGTGCGGTTTGACCCTTGTGGCTGAAGTAAGATGATGTCAGAACCATTACGCCATTACGCACACGTAATGTGAACTCGTTTTGACAAAACAAGCGGGTAATGGGAGTGAACACCGTGGCGAGGTAGGCATCTTGAACAAAGATGTCACCAGAAGATTGTTTACAAAAGCTGTACTCTTAGTTTTTTCGGTAAAGTCACGTAGGTAAAAAATGTAAATTAATTAAAGTAAAATAAAAATAAAATAAAAATCACGACGTTTCGGAGGCAACACAAGCTTCCGTCTTCACCTGAAGACGGAAGCTTGTGTTGCCTCCGAAACGTCGTGATTTTTATTTTATTCACCTGAAGACGGAAGCTTGTGTTGCCTCCGAAACGTCGTGATTTTTATTTTATTCACTTGAAGACGGAAGCTTGTGTTGCCTCCGAAAATTAAAATTAATAAAAGTAAAATAAAATAAAATAAAAATCACGACGTTTCGGAGGCAACACAAGCTTCCGTCTTCAGGTGAATAAAATAAAAATCACGACGTTTCGGAAGCAACACGAGCTTCCGTCTTCAGGTGAAGACGTCTTCAGGTGAAGACGGAAGCTTGTGTTGCCTCCGAAACGTCGTGATTTTTATTTTATTTTTATTTTACTTTTATTAATTTATATTTTTTACCTACGTGACATGTGCCCAGCTCTTGAGGGGGGCGTGGTCTCTGAGGGTGTGGCCTCTGTCAGAGAAACTCAGCCTGGAGGCTTTGTGGCAGAGGTCGCAACCGGGTACCCGATACCCGTACCCTACCCGATACCCGGCTACCCGTACCCGGTCGGGTACGGGTACCCGTTTGCGACCCTGGTGCGGCCGGGTACGGGTAGACCGTGAGTCACTGGTGAGTCACCGTTTGTCACTCATTTCGGGTAGGGTACGGGTACGGGTAGGGAACGGGTACCCGTACCCGGCCGGGTACGGGTACCCATTTGCGACCCTGGTGCGGCCGGGTACGGGTACGGGTAAGGAATCAAAACCCGTTTGCGACCTCTGCTTTGTGGATTCGGGTCTTTAACCCAAGACTGCTCTGCCCTGCCATGCAAAGCTTGAGGCGTGCCCTCACTTTGTCCATGGAGGTGCCTCAATGTTGACTGACGCACACCTACAGTTTTTTGTTGATTGATACCTGTCACGGTGGTAAATCAGGATGTCTCTTTTTTTTCTTTTGATGCAAGCTGCACGTGTAAAAGCAGGTGTATATTGTATGGAAGCTCACCGAAATGCTCAGACCAGTGCTTCTCAACTCCGGTGCCGTCAAATCGCCCATGGCACCTTGGTCTGTGACTGCCCACCATCAGGTGAATGCAGCGTGTAGTGGCTTCGTTTGCTTATTCATGGGAAATATCGGCAATCATGACAACTCTTTATGCCTTGTTGGAGACCGTTATGGGAAAAGGCATGTATGAGCAGAGAGACTTTCTGTGTATCCACACTGGCTTGCCGACCATTATTATCTAGCAGCATATGTTTAGGGTTTGAAAAACAAATATCCAGACAAAACATTTATGCGGGGGTTGTGTTCTTTAAAAACGGCGCGAAACTCTAAATCGTGTAAATCAAACATAATTTTCCCATATGAAATGAAGAAAATGGTTGGGGTTAAGGAGAGCACGCGATCGAACCTTATTCTTAGGTCTACATATTTCACTGGTTATAGGAGATATATTTACAATACTACCATACATGTATTAAAGATAGTAACAGCCTATTTAAAGAAAAAAAGATGAGTAAAAAAATAGTTAATTTTGGTAGGCAAAGTCATGCACAAGACAACATTCACGTGGACAAGACCTTCACAACGGCACGCGCGCGAGAAGGAGATGCCAATGCTGCCCACGCTTGTTGCTGTCGTACTGCACTTCAGGCAGCATCGCCACTGAACTTTGTTGCCTGACTAACGATTAGCTCGCAGCGTGTTCCGTACACCATGGCCAACGCACTGGAGCACGTTATTTCAACAATAGTGCGCGCATAACAAAACTACGTGCAAATTAATCGAACGCGTGCGTAAAACACGAGGCGACTGCATATGCTTTGAATCGTAAAGTGGTGGACCTTGGGAGGTCAAGGACTGTAGGTCTTGAAGACTGTGGTACCGTCACAGCCCAGGATTAGTACCAGAGCTTCGCGCTATTTCCACTACACTTGATGACTAATGTATCTGCAAGACCTCTTCCCTTCCCAACTGCAATCCCGCAATGCCTTCTCCCCTACGACGTCTGAAAAATCTCCATATGGCCTCTGCTCCACACAGTAGCGAGGCAGAACGTTCACACCCTGACAAATGCAAGTAATGATGATGACACTTGTTTAAATGAAATGCTTAACACAATTTAAAGGGATGTTTATCTTTTTTGTATGTCGACATTGGTGAACCAGGTTGAGATCATCAACTCGCTACACCTGAGAATCTGGTTTGATCACGGGCGGCTGAAACCCCGATTCGAATCCTAGGAAGGATGATCTCAGCTGTGCTAGCTCAGCACTCTGAAATGTGAGCCGTCTGGACACCACCTCTGCTTGTAAATAAAGATTGCTTAAGCGTAGGGCACTGTTTAAAATGTAGATGTGACATAAGCTCTCGTGTTACAATAAATACAAAGTGTGGGGAATCGAAAAATATATGAGTTGTCCAAAAATGTGCAAATGCTAAAGGAAAATAAATATTTCTTGAGATTAAAGACAAATATAATGTATGGGTGTTTACATAGTTTGAATTTAACTGCTCGGCCTTACCCGCAACGTTCTTTAATGTTGAGAGGTATTTAGCAAGCTTGTTTGGACAAGACCATTTTATGGGACATTTCTTGGCATGCATTATGCCAAGCACAAGCACTTTGATGGAATCATCTCCCTCAACAGTGTGAGCGACTGTCAAGATAAGAATTATGTTTTAAAAAAATCAATGTAAAAAACAATATTATAAAAGTGAATTCGAAATAAAAAATAATGTTTAACAGTATCAAACAGATTGTATTTTAATTAGGGTTATTACAATACACAGTAAACACGTTTACTATAAATATCGCGTTACAGCATTTAATTAGATACACTGATTAAGTGTGGGTTACTCCCACCTAATCCAAGATGGCTGGCCAGTGTAGAAGACTAGGCCTAATACTCTGTAAAAGAGCTCTATAGAGATCCATTTGCTGGAGGCCCCTCCACCAGCAGAGGCATTAGCAAGCAGTTGAAGGGTTGCCCCTTTATCCTTCTAAATAAGACGGCAATCGATCGACACATTCCGTTTCAATTGCAATACAGTTCCTGCGTTTGAGGATAGTGCATTAGTGGCGAGTGCTATGTTCTGTGGTTTCCAGTGCTGGCAAACTCCCATGTGCATCATTGGTAATGAAGGTCCAAGGCGAAATAAAATCATACCGAGTCTACTGGTGCTCCTTCCTTGGCAGATATGCACTTTCAGACAACGTATACAGGGCATGTGCTCCAAGTAGCGGCATGAACAAGTAATTTATGGGCTTCACCTTTACCAGTTACCTATAACTTTAAACACATTTTATTCAATTGGACATCATTACCAATGGCGAATAATTATTTACAACAGTTGTCTTAAACATTGTAACACCATTCCTGTAATCAAAGGTTTAATGAACAAGTATGTAATTTACATTTACTCAATACATCCTTAACACCGCTCTTAAAGAAAGATCGAGACTATATTTCATAGGCAAATTTTAGACAATGGCCTTTCTTCATAGCATCTCTCAGCCACTGCCCAAAACATCAGCTGTGCTATATATATCTATTCCTCATTATAAGCAAGTTTTAATTGACCAATATGTTGAGTTCATCTTCTTGGTTCTTTCGGTAAAGTCACGTAGAAGGGAAATAATAAAATAATAAATATATGCATGACGCTGTCTTTCCGACAGACCTGTTCTTCACCTGAGGACGGTTGCTTGCGTTGTGGCCGAAACGTCGTGAGAATTGTATTTGATTATGTTTTATTTTTATTATTTTATTATTTCACTTCTACGTGACTTTACCGAAAGAACCAAGAAGATGAATCCCTGCAGTCACGAAAGCTTTAAATCGAAATTCAATGTGTTGAGTTATTGTTGCTGGTGCACCACTGGGCAGTGGAAATATCACAACAAAATGTGTGTTTGATTTAACTAAATTAAATTAATTGAATGTTTACCAGGTAAGACCTACTGAGCTATCGAGCTCGTTTTCAGAAGCGAACTGGCCACAAATGATAGCTCAACGAATTGGTGGCTCATGACGTGGAAATTGAGAGCAGCCAAATACTTTGAACCCATGTCGATTCTAAATATGGACCCAGAAAAAAATCCACGCGACCGCGGGGAGAGACAGAGAGACACGCAAACTCCAAATACACAGCAGGCGTCAGGGTCGGGATCGAACCCACAACCTCCTTCATACCAGGCGAGGTAGCAAACATCTCACCACCGCGGCGCGCGCACCATACACTCGTCCATGCACCGCACGCTCACCAAATATCGGTAACGAGCTGGATCCCGCGCTAGTCCCAGACGGTCGAGCAAGCTCTCTCGTCCGCCAGCGAGCAACTGGTAGAAGATGTGGAAGTTTCTCTCCCCGCCGTGCTGAAGCACCACCCGTGACTTCTCCAGTAGGAAGTTCAAGATGTGTCCTCCTACGGGCGTGCCCTGGACCAGTGACCACGTGAACACAGGACAATCAAGAGCTGCTCGTGCCGAGCCCCGGGGGGATGTTGCCGTAGCTAAAATTCCCATCGACCCGTCTGCTTGGTTGGAAAAACGTCTGAGACGTGAGAGGCAAACAAGACAGACATACATAATACAGGTTTTTTGGGGGGGTTAGATTGCGTTGATATAAATGTGTAGTTAAACCCGCCACCATACCCGACAAAGTCAATTAGTAAGGGTTGTCACGTAAACAGAACATGCCAATTCGTTACAGACGTAGCATTTCCCACCAGGCATACCAATAAGTATCTCATTGGTGGCTTTAATTTTGGAAACATCGATAACGTCGTGAGAATGTTATCTTCATCTTGATTCAAATTTGACAAACGTAAAAAAAACGGGAAGCATCATCTCACTAGTTCGAATGCAAGTGTAGGGTAATCAAGCGAATCATAATAATGAAAACGTATAAAGCGTGCTTCACCCAGAGGTCGCAAGACGCTGCACAGAGCTAAAAGAAGTAAGTAAATAACTCGCGCAATTATAAAATATAATATAAGCACAACGTTAGCAGGACGTTGACAACTAACACATTTCTGAAAATATATAATAATAAAAAAACACTTTCTGAGATAGTGTTGTGTTACTGTACTGTATATGAATTTTGTGTAGGAATAAAACTCTTTAATTCACCGTAGTGTGCAACACAAATCCTGCATTAAATGATAAAACAGCGATGGCTTTCTGTTAAAGAAATCACGTATCATGCCCAAGCTGACCCGAAGTGCAAGCGCAAAAAATAAATTTGGAGTAATGAAGCATGATTTTTTACGAGGCATAATCTTGTCATATTCTTGAATTACTGCACAAGAGCAAGAATGGTGTAGGCATCCAACATGTTGCATTCTTCAGTCAAGAATGCTTTTCATTAATGTCTCTTGATGGATTTGCCAACTTCTACCGCAGGTTTGTGCAATTGCCAGCTTATCGCTAGGACCGATAGTTTAATAAATGTGTTGTTACCTGTACAAATCTTGAGGTATGTTGGATACTACAATTGGAGGCTTCCATTGCGATTACAGTTGCCAACATCTTTCCTTCGTCGGTTGATAGCAGACACTTATACCACAGTGCGTAGAGCAATAGAGCCTGACATAGGTTAATCCGCTATCATTAGGCCTATCAATCAACAAGTAAATTCGCAAAGTCCTCCTCTGCTCTTAGCGGTGTCACTTAACAGAGGTGACTCTTTTTAAGATTTTTTTTTCGCTTTGTGACAGCAGATGCACGTGTCCACAAAGTTCAGCAAACTCTCACGGCCATTTGAACATTAGCATTGTGCACTTTTGAAAAACGAAATTCAAACCTTACAATGACCTGTTTTGTAAAAAAAAAAACGTCGACCCATTTTTCCGTGCACAGGACGTGCATTCAATGCGACGTGAAATTCTAAATCTTAAACTTAACCGCATGAACAAAACATGCTTTAGTTAAAACAATTATCGGAGGGGGGGCGGTGGGAGGTTGTCAAGGAATTACTTTAAAACCATCTGTGCCAAGTTCTCAGGCTGCTTCTGCCATAGGGAAGGATCAAATCATAAATTGTTTCTGGAAGCCGGGGTAATCCTTTGTGAGTGCCAATAGCCCTCGTCAGCCTGGGTAATTGCCTGGGTGGGTCACATCAAACAGCGCAGCTGGAGTGGGCCAGCATAATCGCCAGCCCAGCTCGTACACAGCGGGCTCAGCAGCGCCTCTGAAACTCACCTTCACGTTTCGCTAAAAGATCGTCGTCAAAGACGATTCAAATTTACTGCAATTCACCTCGACGATGTTTAGCTATATTTAATGCATCAAATTTCGAGAATAAAAACCAAATAATAATAGTAAGACATTTCTCTCAATTAAAATAGATTATGGGGAGTACATCTACGTTACTACAATATTCTAAAGGCCACCCAATATGCAATCAGGTATCATCCATATAGTCGGGCAGCAGTGGTGAGTTGGTTTTGCACTGTGTTGCATCACCTCCCTATGCAGTGTCACTGAATGGGGTCGTTTGACCATACTTCACCACATTGGTCAATGCAGGTCAACATGAGATAAAATTCCAGCAGCAAGTAACATTAGGGCGGAATGAAATCTGACCCCGTCTTGGTCATACCCCATTCACCAAACTGCATTGACCAATACGGCGATTTGTGGCCACACGCATGAATAACAACACAGCCTTCATCCAGCAACGCAAGGCAGTACATGATTACGGCCATATAATAAACAAACAATAACTGAAGTGTCCATTACAAATGTAAACAAAGTAAGAATTTAGTTTTTCAAAAGTGCACAATGCTAATGTTCAAATGGCCGTAAGAGTTGGCTGAACTTTGTGGACACGTTCATCTGCTTAAAAAGAGTCACCTCTACACTAATGGAACCTCATTTGCCAGTAAAAAATATGATAATTGTTTTTTTACCTTTCTATCTGGCAACAAAACTGACACCTTTTTGTTTACAAGGAGTCATGTTTGCATAGACCACAATACCTGCAGCCATAATACAAACAAAAAACATAACTCTGATAATATACGCACTATCCTTGAAGTTGATTTGGTTCACACCCGTGACAGCTTTCCTTAGAGCCTAGTCTCACATGGTGTTGGACCAGATGACGCCTTTTGGCATGACACCGCAAAGAGCAGAGGACTTTGCGAATTTGATTGATAGGCCTAATGATAGCGGATTAACCTATGTCACGCTCTATTGCTCTACGCACTGTGGTGTAAGTGTCTGCTATCAACTTGTTCATGTCAAAGTCAACGGACGAGAATGTCATTGTAATCTTTTCATATTTCCAGGTTGCTCAGAATACCCTCCTCTTCTTCTCTGCGTCTATGTCTCTACCATGGCTCTATGTATTGACTGTAATTGACAGTAATGCATTAACTCCGTTGAGCAACTAGTGAATATTGAGGGATTGTCTTTAAACTCGCCATGGTGATATGTTAACTATCTCGCACGGTGCACAGGAGGTCGTGGGTTTGATCCCGACCCTGACACCTGCTGTATATGTGGAGTTTTCATTTTCTCCCCGTGGTCGCGTGGATTTTTCTCCGGGTTCTCTGGTTTTCCCCTCCACGTTTAGAATCGACATGGGTTTGGAAAATTTGTCTGCTATAAATTGCCACGTCATAAGCCACATCGTTCAGCTACCATTTGTGGCCAGGTCGCTTCTGAAAAAAGAGCTATATATCTCAGTGGGTTTTAACTTGTAAAATAAAAAAAAAACTTTTTTAACAGGCAAATAAAAAAAACAGGAGGCGTGGCCTTGAAGATGACAAACTTGAGGATTCAGTGGCACCCAATTAAGAATGTACAGTATTAAACCTTAGAAGTATTGTAATATTTTTTCATTATGAATTGATCATCTCAATCGGGCATGAAAAAAAGAAGCTGTCGTTGAAGATACAGCAACCTTTTTTTTTTAAACAAACATACATGATCAGAAAAAAAAACTAATTTTTGGCTTTTCAATTATAAATTTGAGAAGAGAAAACGATATGCATTAATAATAATACAATGGTGAGCAATATCGTGATCGGATAATATAATTAAAGAGTGTGATGTTGAAATATCTTTACTGTAAAGAATAAAGGTTGTCCTTTGAAGCAAATAAACACATTTCCTCAAAATAATTGCACAACGCAGTTTTTTTTTTCTGATTCCATTCCAGTATTCTGTACTTAGGTGGACAGGTTTATATACTTTTAAAGGTTTACATGCTCATAATCAAAGTTGTATCTTTATTGCTGCAAAACCCTTGTGCATTTGATGGCCTTTTACATGAAATAAAATTTCAAGGGGCACTATGTAAGTGCAGAAGAAATTCTCTTGCATAATAAAAACTGCATTAGTTCTAATTTGTGTTTGCCTTCCTGTCATTCTGTATTTAGAGACGGCTTTGCACAAATGATCGTTTTTGCTTTCATTCTCAATCCAAACAAGGCAACATTTTACGATTAAACACACGCAAAGTCTTGTTGGATTAGAGTCACACACAGATAAACAAATATTATTCCCATCCCTTGCGTCAGCTTCCACGATGGTGGAACTAAATAAAGTCCCTCCAATGGTGTACGTTCTGTACTAATTCGAATGCATCGTTAATGTCTGAACCTGTCTGCTCCACGTCCTTCTTCATTTTGTCTAACCGGCGCTTTCTTGCTCCGTCCCTACTGCTTGTTCGGTCTACTCTGGTAAGCATCGCCATGCTGTGGTATCCTTTCAACATCCATTCCCGATATTTTCCCAAACCATTGCAATCAACATTCCTTATTTTCTGAAGTTCAGGTACTGCAAATAAATAAATGCATTTATGAAATTTGAAAAATATATATGCTTAGAAATAAGAAAACATTTTTAAAGAACCCAAAATGCATGCATTTTTTTCACTTATTTTGAGGGCATATTTTTCACATTATATAGTAGAGGCATGGCTCAGGTTTCTGCCCTATGATCCACTTCGCTGGCGCCGGTTGGCTATGCAGTTTTTAATTGAGATATCAGCGGGAGTGCCCTTGGGAGAACTCATGTCTGGCTGCATTGTCATGGGTAAGTGCCCTGGGCCGCTCCCGTTTTTGCAGATTTTTTTTCCTGCTAGAAATGAAGTTATAGGGACTCCTCTACTTACGAACATTTGTCTCATTAACTTTCAGAGATACGAACAAATCTGTCCAGTTGCCTGTTCGGACCGAGAGTCATAAGTTAAACCACCGCGCAATAAATAGCGGTGGTGGCATCTAAATCTGCCGAACATGAAAAACCAGTGGCATCTACATCTATAGGAGATTATAAAACTTTTAAAGCCATTCCGTGTGTTTAGTGTGCTTGGAATCGACACGAGTAAAGTTGGACTTACGAACAAATCGACTTACGAACAGACCTCCGGAACCTAACTCGTTCGTAAGTAGAGGAGCCCCTGTACATGGAATATGAGTAAATGAGCTGTGTCTCTCTTGAACCGCATCTGAACTGCTCGGGAGCTCCATGTGACTGGCGAGTCACGGGCTCACCACCCCCTGGTACATTTACAAAATGTTGTGGCAGAAGGAGACAAACACCAACGGACACCTTACCGTAAAGTCAAACTGGATGTGCATGTACTTTCCAAAACGACTGGAATTGTCATTGCACAATGTCAGTGCATTTCCAAAGGCCTGTTAAAAAAAAAGAGAGCACTGGAGGTTATTGGTAGCATTCGCTTATTTGTAAATCACACGAGAGGTTTGCGTGCTTTTACTATTGTAGAGAGTTCATGACAATGGCAAAAACAAGCTGATGCCTGGTGATAGGGTTAAGCCTATTCTCATCATGGGGCTGATTCAGATGGGATGAGGGTGGCTATAATGTTGAAATGGCTGTAACCAAACTCCCCAGAAGTCACTCAATCTCTTAAGATCCCAGAAGCTGGATAATGCCTGGATGGGACACCGCCATGCAAAACAGCGTGCTTCAGCCACACCGAACCTCACAAAAATAATATCCAGGTGCCTACCTTGGCTCCTCCCACCCTCAACCAGTATATATACAAGGACTGTTTTCTTGGAATTTCTCTCACTTGATACAGCTATCGTGCTGTGACGGTTCCACCTGAAGACGGAGGCTTGTGTTGCCTCCGAAACGTCGTGATTTTATTTTATTTTACTTTTATTAATTTAAATTTTTTACCTACGTGACTTTACCGAAAAAACCTAATAATCTGCATAAAAGAGGCTGCTGCAAGGCCACGTTGTCAGCAGCGAGAAGTGCAACAACATCCATTGTTGTGCTGTACTATGCTCCGACATGTATGCTCCCCAGTCTTCACCAACCCGCACTGAACGGCGCGGTGAAGTATGGTCAAATAACCCCCACCACCCTCACCCCCCATCCAGTAATGGATTGGCAAAAAGGGCTGTATAGGTGCGTACAATATACATGATGTTGTACAGTAAACGTGAAATGTGATTTCGATTTAAAGCTTTCGTGACTGCAGGGATTCATCTTCTTGGTTCTTTCGGCAAAGTCACGTAGGAGGGAAATAATAAAATAAAATAATAAAATAATATACTATCATAAATTTCTTTATTTTATTATGTTTTATTTTTATTATTTTATTATTTCCCTCTTACGTGACTTTACCGAAAGAACCAAGATGATGAAATGTGATTGTTTGGTGCTGGCGGTGACGCTGATGATTGCAGTATACAAATAAATCCGAAGGCGCTGGCGGGCGGGGGGGTGTAATGGGTGGTAGTGACCTCCAGGATGGGATTGGAGTGTACGAGGCGGTTGCGCAGGCTGTCCACACTGGGGCTGGCCTCACAGACGTTGGACAGAAAATGCAGAACCTTCTTCGATGCCTCGGTCTTGCCAGCTCCACTCTCTCCTGTGATCAGAATGCACTGGTCCCGGTACTCAGAGCGCATGGCCCTGTACACGTGGTCCGACAGTGCATATCTGTCGAGGAAGCAACACCAGGTGGGCACGGTGTGATTTGACTTTGCCTGGGACCTTCATTCTAAATGATGCCGATGGGTTTGCGAGCACTGGAAACCACAGGAACATAGCACTCACCACAAATGCCCTATCCTCAAACGCGGGAACACCATCGACGTTTAAACGGAATGTCTCGATCAATTACCATCTTATTTGTCATGGTGCAGCCGTGCAATTGCTTGCTTGTGCCTGTGCTGGTGGAAGGGCCTCGATTAGAGGGAGCTCTATAGAGTCCATCTAGAAGGTGTGTTTGGCCTACTCTTCCATGCCGGCCAGATGTCTTGGAAGAGGTGGGAGTACTCACACTTTAACCACCGCACACGATCTTCCATTTGACTTTGTATATACCGTATGTTGAGCTTCTTTTGCAACCGTGCATAGCCAACCGTGCTACTCGGAGGTGTGTGGGAAGGACATCAGACTAAAAACAAAAAGCAGTTTTGAAGACGTACATTTTCAATCGAGATTTAAAAGTGCATAGCTCCAGCGGCTTCCTAATATCAAAAGGAAGAGCGTTCCAGACGGCCGACTAATTATGTTCAACCCATGTTTTACTGCTGTGAGGAGGGAAGTGAATGGACGGGGGTGGGGGTTAAAGAAGCATACAACTGCCGTGCCTGGACCTCAGCATTTTGGATTGCTATTTAATTCTAGATTTGAAGCTTTCGTGACTACAAGGATTCATATTCTTAGGTTTTTTCGGTAAAGTCACGTAGGTAAAAAAATTAAATTAATTAATAAAAGTAAAATAAAAATTAAATAAAAATCACGACGTTTCGGAGGCAACACAAGCTTCCGTCTTCAGGTGGAACCGTCACAGCACGATAGCTGTATCAAGTGAGAGAAATTCCAAGAAAACAGTATATATAAGAGATATCGTGCTGTGACGGTTCCACCTGAAGACGGAAGCTTGTGTTGCCTCCGAAACGTCGTGATTTTTATCTTACTTTTATTTTACTTTTATTAATTTTAATTTTTTACCTACGTGACTTTACCGAAAAAACCTAAGAATATTGCTATTTAAATTGCACGGTGTCTCAATTGAGGGATAGACAAACACCTCTGAGCTGGACTGTCACGGAATGTTTGCAAGCCAAACCGTGGCAGGAGAAGATGATACTCGAAAACACTCGCGCTATTTCACAGGTTCTCTCTCCAGTGGAGGAGCTCTCTCATCGTGGAGGGCCTTCTACCAGCAAGTGGAATGAGCAAGTAATTGCAAGGTCGCTCCTTTACCTGTACTTTTTTTGTTTCACAATACCCAGATTTTGTTAATTTTCTGAAAGTGTCAAACTCCCAACTCAAACAAAATATAGAAATGGCAGGAGCGTTAAGAAATTTCGAACAAAAAAAACCACAGTAACATTAGCTTGGTGTGACACGATTTAGTCACTTCTTGCCGAGGTAGAAAAATACAAATTGCTCACCGATAGCCTTTAACTGACTGTCAGGATAAGTCAGAATCAGAATACTGTATTTATTTATAGTGAAAGAATCAGATTAGCTATAAAAGCTCTTTTTCACTGACGTCCAGTAGTGCTGTTAGCCAGCACATATGAAGACAAACGAGAGAGTGGGTGTCCAACACCACGCTCGGCTCCTAAACTGATATTTACACACTGCACCAGGTAGTCATTCGAGGCTGAGTCGACCTAGGGTAGGTCTAGAACCAGTTCAGATACTCGCTACTGCTTTTGACTGTAAGCCGGAATCGAACACGAGTTGCCAGGTTCACAGCTCAGTGAGCTAACCACGAACACTACCGCTCCTAAATAAAAGGTCCGAGATAAAAGGTCAAGAAACACAGGACTCTGGTTATATCTGGTCAGCAAGATTCCTTTCAAGACTCTACAGAAAAAACAAGGAAATGACCCAAGAAAGTGCTCTGACTAATGGGCAAATGAAGCTTCTTCTAGTGTAGATACCCATGATGAAAGTTGAACTTGACATGCTCCAATATAATAGAAAACTCGAAACGTGATCTACACTCAACCGCTTGGTGTCAAGCTGCATAGCATGCAGCTTTACCGGATCGGTGAGACTTCATCGTAATGAAACTACTGTATTACACTGTCTCTCCAAGACATGGCCTGAAGACATTGTACTTTCTTTTCATATAATGACAAAAAAAATCATCACAATGTCCCTGACCAGCACGGCTACATCGCCGCGCTGTTATGCCGGAAGCAAATTGCGCAGATGTTTAAATTACACGGAATGAGCATCAGAATTTTCAGAAACTGATGGCTTGCACATTGATAACACCATCATTAGCAGCAGCTGTGATCAATCCACTGCTGGATGAAGTCCTATCCCAAGGCGTCGCCATCTCACACAGCTCTGCGATGTTACTAACTTGCACATTTACCGATTTATGATCAAATGATAGCAGCTATATTATACTTGAAACTAACGAGTAGGGATGAACGTGCTGTAAGGCGGGCAGGCGATCGCATGACAGAAACTGATTCGTGATTTATTTATTTAATTCATGGTGAGTGGCCCCCACATCCCATTGCAGAACCCTCCTGAAAAATAGTCTTGAGACTCTGTGAGGCTTTCCTCGGTAAAGGGAAAAAAAAAATAATTACATTACCATATGCCCACACTCCAAAAAAGCGACACTATAAAGTTATTGAGAACGTTGTTGCAACGTGTGGATTTCTTTAATGCAGAATTTAATCTGTTGTATTTTATAAGTAAACAAACAACGAGAAGTTATGACAGGAGTTAATATTCTCCATCTAAGCGAAATGTTTGAACGCATGATTTAAACGCTCTCTGTATTAGGCCTTTCACAATTCAACCCCCTCGTGATTCAATAAATTGCCACAATTCAGGGAAGTAATTCAGGGATATATTGTTTTTTTTATTGTGGTCTCTATAGCTGCACGGTTTACCTTAATAATTTCCACACTGATTCTCATGCCCATAATTTAATTAATGTATTTTGAGCATAATAATTGATAATGACCAATGAATCGATGCTTCGTTGCATACGTGCATTTTATATTTGCTTCACTGATCCTCTCGGATACGCAGTATTTACGTGACGGCTTGTAATTCATAGAATCACCATTGTTCGTCTGAGCAAACACAATTAAAGTACTGTACTCACATGTGAGGTGCAAGTTCATAAAAATGAACCCCTTGGTATCGGTTTATATATTCCGGTCCATACAGTCCAAGGTCCTTGTAAGGATTTATAGAAATCAGCACTGAACCGATGTATGTCTGAAAGAGAAATAATATATATATTCATGTCAACTTTTTAATGGAATCCCTGACAATGAAAGTTAAGTGCATCACGAAACCGTACGTTACATTTTTTTTTAATCACGGGATTTCTAACATTGTCTTTTTTACAAGCGTGCACAATAATACCTGTGCGAGAAATGTTCAGACAATTTACATCTCGCGAACGAAATATTCTCTCAGCGAAATTAGGTGACGGAATTCCACAGCACCCTAATCGGTTGGAACATGCACTTGCCCAAATACCTTTTATTATTTTAATATATATACACACATAACGTTTTTGATACATTCTAGTTCGTTTAATTAATCATCGCATTAGCCCGCAGCTACGTGGAAGGTTGGTGGTGCATTCGACGCACGTGTGGCAGGTGTCTGGGCTGTGCCCCCACGTGCGTGTGCTTTGCGGTCAAGCGAGTCAAGCCGGGGCCTGAGGAGTACGGGATCTGGCAGCCCCCACCCACCCATCAGCTCATCTGCACGTGGCATTAACCGCAATAGCCCGCAAGCTGCCCAGACCTACGCCTGATGCGCGCCACCACCCGAGCGAACGGGACGGCTCTCAGGTGTTTCGTCGCTGGCCCTCTGGGCCTCTCGAGTGAGTGGCACGTGGGAGCCCCCTTGTTTGCCCAACCACACGCAGTGTCGCGCTGATGGATCCACGTGGCGTAGAAGTTGGGTCTATTTCGTGGCTGCTCACAAAATAAAAGGGTTATTCTAGGGTTTTCTTGATGAAGATCTAAGCACTCGTGAAAGTCAGCAATGTCGTCGTCGTCGTGGTCATCAACATCATCAGCCACTGTCTATATGCTGCTGAGTGATGGTCTCCTCATGATGGTGACTGAGTCTTGGTACTCTTTGAGATTTGGGTAGACATTAGTAGTCTGCATCATTATCAAAGCATAGTTACATAATTTTTTTCTTCTGCTCTGAAAAAAAAAGAATTCCTTTGAAATAAAAGCCTACTATTTTTATGTTACAAAGCAATGCCATGATGATGGTGCAATGTTTATTTTTGGCCCATCTTATAAAATTGACAATATAGTAAAAAAAATGTAATGGAGAGTAATGGTTATCACAATGGACTCCCATGGTCGCAGATTTGATAGATTTATCTCAACACAGTTGAAACACATTTCCACAGTTTTAAACTCCCCTCCCCAGCAATGCAAATAAGGTGGAGTGTGATGGAGTAAAATGTTGCTACTCCCACCTCTTTCAAGACATTTGGCCAGCATGCAAGAGGAGACCAAAGACTTCTAGTGGAACTCTGTAGAGCTTCCTGTAGTCGAGGCCCTTACTCCAGTAGTGGTGTTAGCTAGCACTTCCAGGGCTGCACCTTTACTAAAAACAGGGTGACTGCCAGGATTATATTCTTGGTTCTTTCGGTAAAGTCACGTAGAATGGAAATAATAAAATAATAAAAATAAAACATAATACAATAATTCTCACGACGTTTCGGCCACAACGCAAGCAGCGTCCTCAGGTGAAGAACAGGTCTGTCGGGACGACAGCGTCTGAATGATTTCTCAAATCATAACAGACGCTGTCTTCCTCAAATCATTCAGACGCTGTCTTCCCGACAGACCTGTTCTTCACCTGAGGACGGCTGCTTGCGTTGTGGCCGAAACGTCGTGAGAATTATTTCATTATGTTTTATTTTTATAATTTTATTATTTCCCTTCTACGTGACTTTACTGAAAGAACCAAGAAGATGAATCCCTGCAGTCACGAAAGCTTTAAATCGAAATTTAACTGCCAGGACTTATACATATTTTACCCCAGACCGATATGCAGTGGGAATACCCAAAATGGATCTGATGTTGTGAAGGGAACCTTCGTCTAAAAAAAGCAACATTGTTTTAACATTCTCTCTCAAAAAAGGGATAATTGCCTCAGAAGGGTTTATATTAATGTCACAAAGCAATGAGCATTATATCATCATCTGTATTTAAAAAATGGCTGCTCGAAACACACAGGTACCACGTTGTCATGGAAGGCGTAACGTTCTCAACAACAACAAAAACAAAAACGTGGCCACATTATGTTTCCTCGTGCCCGAAATTCCGGTTTGCGGTGGCGAGGTGCAGAGTGGTGGGCCCGTACGTAGACGAGATCGCTAGCAAAGCGCAGGCTGATGTTGTGGAGGAAGGCCTCCTCGCTGGAAAACTCCTCGAGCAGGATGAGGTCCTGCACGCCCACGTGGTCCCGGGCCGTGAGCCGGCTGCTCGGGTCGATTCGCACGCCCCCCTCCACCACCTGCAGTCGTCACGGCGTTGTGCAAAGACAAAAGATATGCCAGCCATCGTTTCCCCACCCCCGCCCGCTCCTCCCACGCCAAACACCACGATTGATTACGCATTTTTGTATTTACTTTAGTATGAATACATGTTAATTTTGAATAATTTGTTGTGTTTTTTTCCGGACTTTTTTGTGAACGAAAAGACACAAATTCGCCCGTTTTCTCATTGAAAATAGGTACATTTCAAAATCACGTAGGTAAAATATTAAATTAATAAAAGTAAAATTAAAATAAAGTAAAAATCACGACGTTTCGGAGGCAACACAAGCTTCCGTCTTCAGGTGGAACCGTCACAGCACGATTGAGTACTTGATACAGCTATCGTGCTGTGACGGTTCCACCTGAAGACGGAAGCTTGTGTTGCCTCCGAAACGTCGTGATTTTTATTTTATTTTTATTTAACTTTTATTAATTTAAATTAAAAAATTTTACCTACGTGACTTTACCGAAAAAACCTAAGAATATGAATCCTTGCAGTCACGAAAGCTTCAAATCTAGAAATACATTTCAAAATATCACTGTCCTGGTCACAGAAGCTAAGTTTGTGGGGAATAATAGCCGTTTTCTGTACTTTTTAGGCATAAGCAATTAGAAACTAACAGTTACTACCCAGCAACAACAACAAATGTTCGTTACACACACAGTGTTATTTAGATAATATGCCGCTATACATTTCCACGTGTGACAGAGATCGCTTCTGAAAAAGAAGCTAAGAGCTGAGTGGGATTTACCTGGTAAGATGAGAAAAAGTTTTATTTTATTTGCGTATATATTTTTTTTAATAAAAAAAAAACATTGCACTCCTATCGTGTGTTTGTATTGTTTGTTGTTGTAATGTTCTGACCCGCTCCTACTGGACATCTGTGAAAAAGAACTTTATAGCTAATCGGATTCGTCCAGTATAAATACATATTCAGATTCTGATAGCCTTAACAGACTTTGGGGCGAAGCCTATGAAGGCTGGCACAGCATACGAGAGGGGTGGGTGATCAGCACCACGTCTGGCAAACACACAAACACAAAGAGCTCCTTTGAGCCCATGCATTGTCAGTCGGAGCTGAGGGCTTTTTTTTGTCCGCTTTCCAATGAAGATTGAAAGCGTTAATTCGTTAGCTCTATCCGTCCGTAATGAGGGGGACGGGCGATCGAGTTGGTCGTAAAGATGGTCCAATGTGAACGAACCTACGACGTTAGAAGTTGCTATGAAAGAACTTCTCCATTGAAAACTTGCCGAATTTACCAACGCCTGGACACGCAAACCAGAGCAAAAGTTACAATTTGCAAATATGCAACCTGTATTTTGCCCTGACAAGCACCCCATTAGCTTCCATATTGATGAAGAAATACTTCCGAGGGCAGAATTTATATTTGGATGTTTTTTTTACAGAATACATGCATATACGTGAACTTTCCTAACTCGTCTTTTAAAACATTATACCGGATCTTATTCCCCAGCTTCATCCCACGTGTGTTATCGACGTTGCGTCACGAAAAAAAATTAACCCGTAAAAACAAAGTTTTTCACTATAAATCCTTTATATGCGTGGCGGCTAGAGTCCTCTCGTCCTCTGGCTTGAGATGGCTACCACCTATGGGTCAGATGATTGCCTGCCACCATTAAGCAATTAGTAATTAAATATAAAAAAAGAATTCCTAAAAAGTGTAAAATTTTGGGAAAGAATTTTCACGAAAATAAATTGTCACGCACAACGAGTCTGTTTGCAAAATGTCAGCTCGATTGGATCACGGGAAGTGGGTTAAAAACGACCGAAAAAATTTGCACGGTCGTAAGCGCGCAAGCAAGCAAGCAAGTGAACTTAATATAAAGGATTTAATAACAACACATCCGAGCAGTGCAAACCTAAACGGCCCATGGAAGTGCACATCATGGCTACTTCTGAAATAAATCTATTCAAATGACCTCTCGTCCATACAGTCGAAGGAATCATTTTCCCATCATTACTAGAATGTAGCCAAATTTTAAAGTACAGATTCAAATTTAGCGTGATGGTTTTTTTGTGTGTGCAGTCATCGGTGACCGCGCTGAGACCCATGACCTCTGCGCTCTGACCTCTGATCCACCTGCCAGAGTAGGAGCAGGCACAGTGCACATGATTGTAGTGTGGGCAGAAGTAGGTCGTCCCTGCATCTTTGTGTCCCCAGTTCAAATGTTTTATTTACACGCTTTCATTTAACTCACTCTGTCTGTTGTTGTTGCTGATGTTGTTGTTGTCGTTGTTGTATCCTCAAATATTGTAACTCAATTTTAACCCACTTCCCAATGTGGTATAGACTGCAAACTTGGTATACTTACGTCATACTGATGACAATACTATATTCTACCATAAAAATTCTATATTTTTAAACGATCTTTTTTATATGTTATGTTTCGGCTTGGCTCTAATTGTCCACGGTAAACTGACGTTGGCTGTCAATGACCACGGTCCCTTATGTTGTGGCAAGATTCGGGGCCACTTCCTGGAGTCGTGGAGTTCTTCCATTACTCGTACATTTCATAAAAGCGTGTTTTTTTAAAGTTTTTTTTTAATATTACTTATTTACACCCTGCACTAGATACTCATTTAAGCCTGAGTCAACCTAGGGGGGGCGGGGGGGAGGCTCAGGATTAGTTCCAATATGACTCATCACTCATGTGATCCATGGCAGGGAATTGAAGCAAGGTCTCCATGTTTGTAGCGCAATGCGCTATCCACTACAACGCAGCTCCACACTTACATGCCTACCACTCACACACACGTACACAGCCAAAGGGCACAAGTCGGCATACACTGCGCGCACACACACAACGATTCATGCAAGTCCATGTAGAGGTGTGGATGCAATGCATGCACGCATCACACACACACACGTCAGGTCAAACGAGGTCATGGCTTCGCGTCACATCAGATCGCATCGATTGAATAAAGACAGCATCTCTTAGATTGTCTTTTAAATACAAAAAAACAGAAACGCCGTACAAATGTTATTCATTTGCCACTTTAACTTTAAACGTTGCTGTCTATGTTGAAGCTGCGTGTAAGAAAATGACGAAACCGTTTACAAACAATAAGTGAAACGCTGGGTAGAGACAGGGAGGCATTTACTCTATTATTATGTATACCATATTGTTCAACATTCACATGGTTCAGGAAAAACAAACATTAAAAGGACGATGTAGTCAAAACAGAGCAATGGTTTTAAGGGATGAGGCATCTTGAGTACAAGTGCATGCAAGGTGGGGAGTAAGCACATCATGAGTTGAAGAGATAGCCATCAGTAAACAGCTGGTGGCTGCAGTTTGCAGGTACCATGGTTTTGCTCATGGTGTTGGCTATCTGCATACAATGGATAATTTACAATTGTCGCAAATGTTATTTTAATACCGGTGTTGAGGTTTAGCCTTACGTTATGTTTACTGTGAGCTCCCGATGAACTCCCAGGTTGCGTCGTGTTTGATCTCCCACACACTTGTTTATTATCTCTATTTGGAATGTGTTTTGAAGTGGAGATTAAAAACCAACATGGTTTCAGATGTCGAAAAGAAATTTCGGACATTTGTATCGACTCTTGGAATTTTTGGATGGCTTCCATGATGCACAAATTTAAGAATGCCTTCATGCTAACAAAAGTGGCATCGCCCGATGCCACGTGAAAACTTGTGGCGGGGAAAGTGTAGAGGTGGCGTCACATCAGCTCCATCACCAACGGGGTTGGGGTCAATCTACAACGGAGCGATTTTGATATCGTCTCAACTGTTGTAATCAGGCCTGAATTTCGAGTTTTTCTGATTATTCTGGAAATTGAGACCATACGCGTAATATCTATTTTGAGTAGCTAACTTCACGAATAGGCAACTATACATATGTAAATATAAAACTGTTAATCAGGAAGCATGTTTCATTGTTATCCCGGCCCAAAAGTGTAAAGTGTAAGTCTCCAACTCTTGTCCACTATCTCTCTGGGCTCTCTGTTAATGTGTTATGAAGAAGGGCGATTGGCTGAACTGTCGCCTGTGATATATTTCTCGTTTTAAGGCGACGTTATTGACACATGTCACAATCAGAAACTGCGGGGGGAATCCGATGAGCTATGAAGCTCTTTATCCACAGATGCCCAAGTATGGGCGGGTCAAGAAGTTACAACAACAAACAACACAAAAAGACGATAGGAGCGCGAAATATAGAAAATCGTAAGCAGCTCACTAAATATAAATACATAATAAAAATACGTTATTCATATAGGTCTGATTTAACAAGCTTGGGCAAGACAGCAAAACAGAGTCCCAGACCACACCAAGACAACACGCAGTCCCTCAATAAATGTGTTTTTCGTTACATCTATTGACTAAATAATGAACATTTCTCTCATGGTCGACATGGGCAAACATTTGGCACAATTGTATTCCCGTCAATGTAATGCAAAATATACATACAGTTAATGTATATAAACGTACAATAATGTCACGTGCAGGATGTGTATATGTCGTCATGGTTATTTGGATAAAATGTCCAAATACTGTACCTTAAAGTTGTCAATTGGACTCATGTTATTGTGAAATTTTTATTTGTTTTTGGCATTAGAATGAAATATCAAACCTCTTTTTTGTCAGATAACTTAACTCATTACAATCAACAGCCACCACTATAATTTATTACAATATGTACATATTACAGTATTTGGATCAAACGTAACAAATACATATTAAATCAATCATTGGCAATCATGAACGTAAATATTTAGGAGATTCATAATGCAGACAATATTTACCAACTATCTCAAATATATATATATATTTTTTAATACTCAATGCTCACTTAGAACATTTAGAGGCTCTCTATGGCAGTGGCTCCCAAACCTGTGGTGTGCGGACCACAAATCCACGGCAAAGTGGCCTGCGGATCTGTTGCAACAAAAAAAAACATTACCGCCCATTGCACAACGATTTAGATTGTATTCA